TTGTGAAAGAAACGGTGTGGAATCGATCAGATAAGGTTGTTCATCTAGCATAAGTTTTGGTGTGTACTGCAAGCTAGGTTCTGGAATCATCAAAATTATAAGAAATTTGCCCCAGTCTTGGTAAAGTTACAAGCACTGTACACAGAAAGATGTATATCGGTGGGGTGACAAAACCTCGTATCTCAATTTTTTGAGATTTTGATTTTTTTGCATAATTTTGTACCTAATCGCCTAGGACACCACCTGATAAATCCATGGAACGAATCCTTCTCGGTTTTTTTCACAAATACCACACAAACACCCTTAAACTAAACCTCGTAACTTTAACCCCCTTTGAAACTGCACTGACAAAACCTGTTAACATAAGATAAGTAATTCCTTTTTCCTCGTAACTCACACACGGCCTAACAGTACCGAAGTTAGTGTATTCAAATCCTCGTAACTTATTTAACCAAATCCTCGTAACTCATTCAGATCGAGTTGAAAGTAAGAACTCGTATCTCAATGTAGATAAACGCAAAAACCTCGTAACTCACTTTCAAATATAAAAACAATTATTTTACTGTATTTCAACAATGACATTAAAAATTGTATAAATATTCCAGTTTTAAAAAGAAAGGACGGTGTCACACCACTAAATTTGTTGAGACAGGAAAGTGTTTTCGCTCTCCTGAAAATTCATGATTTTTGAGATACGAGGTCTTGTCACCCCACCGATTATGTTACTACAAGACAATGTGGCATAAAAAATACGTCCCGATTTGTATGATGTTACATGCCATATTTAGAATATTAGGGCATTTGAAGAGCCATGCTTTTCAGGGAACATGTTTTATCTGATGTTTGATTTGATTTGATTTGATTGATTTATTTCTGTTTGATTTTCTTTTTCTTTTGCATTTTTACAAATATATAACAAACAAACATTACAAATGTACATGTTCTTCCACACTTGCATTTTTATACATGTTACAATACATTATACACTGATAACACTCACACATTATTTTTCACCTCTTCCCAGAAATCAACCTTCTCTTTAAGTATAATCTCTCTTGACATCCATAGATTAAAATTGTCTAGACAAGCAGAAATGTGAGCATTCAGTTACACACATTCAACAAACATATTATGGCACTCTTTATCCAAATCTCATTTATTTTGGCATGCCGAGGGTAAATATAGGGTTTCGATCAAATTATGAAATTGCGTCCTATACGCTAATTCCTGACAGATATCAGCTTAAATAATCTGGCGAGACTATATATTTTAATCTTTTAATCTTTCCTGCTCTCAGTTAAGGAATTATCATGATGGCACTACATCCCTTCATATGGCCTACATGACACATACGCAGGGGCGTCCTAGACCTTTTTCAGTGGGGGAGGGGTGAAGAGGTCACCGATTACCGACAAAAGTAGCCGACAATTACCGACAAATATATTAATCCCAATGGCTACAAATTGAACGCTATATAAACCGGGGCCATATAAGCTAAATTATTTGTCAGTCCCCCCCCCCCCCCCCCCCACGCGCGAAGGTTTGACGTTTCATTAAATTATTACTCTTAATCCTTGTCTGAAATCAGTTTTCCCCCTCTCCCGCGAAGCGCGGTAGCTTTGACGTTTCATGAAATTGTTAGAGAAAGAAGACGATTCGCTACTGTTTTCAAATCTTAATCCTTGTCTGAATTAAGTCCCCCCCCCCCCTCGCACCCCACCCCCTTAAAGCGATACCCCTGCACATACGTGCCCGCCCCCTCCCCCCCCCCCCACCAAAAGGTCACCTTTCTACGCCCATTTCTGGAACACTTGCACCCCACCCCCCCCCCCCCCCCCCCCCCTCTTCCCTTCCCCACTGACGACAATGGCTAAGCGGTGTACATACAAAATCCCATTCCAATATATCAATATTCTCTAAGTATACGCTGTTTTTAAACACTTGTCAATGTTTCTGGAATTGGAATACAGGGTATATTTTTTAAGGGGTTAAATTGACGTTCATAATGCTAATTGCCCTAAGCTTTTAATTAACCCCACATTCCCGTACAATTTTGTTTGCTCCTTCCCTTTGTATTTTTCTTGTTATCGATCTTTATCTGTATATCATGTTTGTATGTTTTTATGTTTTTATGGAGAATGAAATAAATGAAATGAAATGAAATGAAATGAACTTTCTACTCTTAACAAATAGCCATTGGCGCCGTCCTTTATAAGAAGATCATAACAATTCGAAGTGACAACGTCATATTCGCTCGTCGTCGAGGTTAATTACTAGTTCTCAACAAAAGAGCCTGCGCATGCATGAGGTTCACCACGAAACCATTCAACAAACGGGCTGGAGCAGAGCAAATTCATCGTTTGGGGCTGATGTATGTGAAGTTGTGAACACCAAACCATTGTCCGGAACCATTGTTTAGCACAGAAGGACGCCATACTTCGGTACTACATTATCTTTTTAATATTCTAATTAACACACAATAGAACCTTCTTTAATTAGAAAACGCTAAGTGGCAAATCAAATGGGGCTTCAATAAGCATAAAGGGCATGTGACAAGACAATATTTTATCGGCTAATACTAATACGCGAGTGTCCCCTACAAACATTCCGACAATTATCGTTTTGCTCGTTATAGATTAGACGTTAATTATGCATCAAGAAGAAGGAAACCCCCTTATCTGTTACTTTTCAGAGATCACTGGACAGAATCATTCATATCTAAAACGTTAAAGTTGTTGTCTTTCATCTGTAAAATGACATCACCATTGGCTTTGTGTCTTCTTTTCAAACCCTAATTGCATGCATACCCCATCTCTTCTTCTTCTTCTCCTCAGGTATTTCTTCTTCTTCTACTCTCAGAGTCTCAGAGTCTACTCTAGGCTAGTCTCCCCATCTCTCTGTCTCCTCTCTCTCTCTCTAGCGCTCTCTCTCTCTCTCTCTCTCCCCCTGCCTCCTCTTATCCAAATCTCGGATCTACCATATAGGGATCGATGTATTCGGTCTTCGTATGTTTTAAGATTTTCATTGAGTGAGCTCGTTGTCTGGAAATTTGTTCTTTTATGTGATTTCTAATGAATACAAAGATTTCAGACAAATATTAACAGGAGGCCGAAAGAGTATTAAATTACTCCTTCATATTTCTATGAACACCTTACTTGACTACTTTTAGAGTTAGTTTTTAAACTAGTCATTACATTGTACTCAAAATTAGTTTCCATGAACTCGAATGAAAACATCAAAACCGAAGAAGATATTGTGTTCAATTAACTTTATTGAATAGAATTGCAGTGAACATACCAAATGCAGTGAAACCTTACAACTCACTTGAAACACATAAACATTTCTCTAAATATCAAGCACTTTGTTTTTCATGTCAAACCTGCATAAACAACAAGGAATTAATCATTAATCAATTTTGTTTTCCTCTGTACAAGAGTTTTTATGCATCTTTTTTTTTTCGCCCTCCTGATAATATTTGTGTGAAATGACCTCTTGTGGAATTCAATTCAATGACATGTTTGTATTTTGATCACTTACGTACATGCCTCAGCTGTTGCTAGTACCATATATGTATATTTCCAGGACAATGCTGTCGGATAAAGCTGTTGTTTGTTTGATGATTTTGCTTGTTTGTAATGATATGTACCCGCAGTTTTAAAATTGTAGTACTTCGTTATTTTTATTATGTAATCACAGACACATGCACAGCCCAATTGAGGTAACTTCTTTAAGTGAACATGCCTTCCTATACTTAATTCTCTCCTCATTTTTTTTTTCTTCTCTCTGTTCCATTTACTATTTTTGTACTTTCCTATCAACTTTCTGTTATATAAAATGTAATTTTCATAATAATATCTATAATGTTCTTTCGGTAACTGTGTTAATTTATTATGGGCGTTCCCAACTCAAGCTATGCTTTCCGGGTTTTCGCCTCCTTCCGTATCTGAATTATTTACTGTATACTCTATGTTGAAATAATTGTTACATATATCATGTATATATACATTATGTTTCATATTGTACTGTTGAGAAGGAAATAAATGTTAAAAATATAAAAAAATGAAAAAAACACCCTCTTGTCATCACTCTCTAATATTGCTTTAAAAAATTATAAGCTTGGACATTTATTTCAGATTTAGTACCTTTTACTATTCATTGCAATATTACGCTCCATGTTATTTTGTTGTCCTTCAAAGTTTTCTCGATAAAAACATAAAAATACATAGAGAAGTCGTACTTAGTATCTCATTATTAGTTCCCATGTTTGGTAACCTCACTGTTAAAAACCCCTCTTACTCCTAGAATCCAATGTAACAGAATGCTCAAGACTACTAATAAACTAATTCGTTCCATCTCTGATATTACTTTGTTTAGATCAAAATTAAAAACCTACCTAATGGAAAATGCATATTCAACCTAGCTCTTAAATTGTTACCTAGTTCTTAAATTGTTACCTAGTCCTTATATTGTTACCTTACCTTGTCATCTTATGTTTCATAATTTCACTTCATATTTGTTTTCTTGTCATTACTCTGTTTAGTTTTAATTGTATCAATATTGTAAAGCGCTTTGATATAAATGTTTTATGAAAAGCGCTATATAAGTATAAGTTATTATTATTATTATTAAAGGTAAAGCCCAGTATTGGAAACGCCCCAATTTCAAAAAATGAAATGGAAGCTCTCATTACCAATCATGTGAAAGAATATGTTTTGACTAATACACGATGATAAAAAATTTGCCGGGAAACCGCCTACTAATTCATATATTTGGTAAATTTGTTTCTCTCATGGTCTGTGAGAGATATAGGGTAGTCCCATATACATCTTTCTGTGTATAGTGCTTGTAATTTTACGAAGAATGGGCCAAAGTTCTTATCATTTTGATGATTCCAGAACCTTGCAGATGCTAGATGCTAGATGATCAACCTTTTCTGATCGATTCCACAACGTTTCTTTCACAATGCAATCGCATGACCATAACTGGTCTTTACCTTTAAACGAAATCAATAACTAGAAACTGTAGAACAGAATGAGTAATGAGCAACAACAAAAAACAATACTATAAATAATTAAAAAAAGACCTGACTCATTAGCCTCATAAGTGAAACATAGGGTCTCATGTGTTTTTCAGTGAATATAATTTTTAGCAAATCTGTCTCTGACCTCTTGAATGGTAATACCCAGTGTAGCTTCAGCTAGGGTAGACTGAAAAAGTAAAATTTATTCATTCAGGTATGTCAAAACGATCTTCTCATTGACAAATATCAGTAGCTATTACGCACTTTGCATTCTGGACTTTTGAGCCACTACATTTCCTTATTAAAGCTACCTTAGAATGGCTATGCCTTTCTTCCTGAAACAGGTGCCGTCATTGTGAAGTTTCTTTCCAAGGAAGATATCCTATGCTCCAGTTATCAATGAAACAAAGTGTTTAAAGTTAAAGCCCCACTGCACTACTTATAGCTACTTGCGTCCTCTATATAGCAAACAATGCCTAAGCGGTGATCGTTGGTCCCCATGGACCCCTTTTTTCTTATGTTAATTGAGAGCTGATTTGATGAGATAACCACCTGTCAGTGACCATGTAGGGAGGTCTAATCCCTCCTGGCCACACTAGTGCAGAGAGGCTTTAATATATAGTCAAACCCGACTATTGATGTCACCCAACGGAAACAGGGAAAGTAGTACCTGTAGACAAGTGGCCTTTCTAGACAGGTTCTACAGCATACATTTCATCCTGGAGGGAGACAAAATACATGACCACTATAGACAGGTGGACTTAATGGAGAGATGGCCACAAGGGCAGGTTTGACTGTATAACTATTCAAACCTTGGTGGCACAAGCGTGAAAGATACACTTCAAGTTTACTCAACAAAGTCCACACCAAGAACATTACTTGAATAATGGAGATATATAAGCCCTTCCTTCGAGACTGCTAGCAGCCGACTTCACCTACAGATGAGCATTCACTACTCACCAGTACCTAAAAACAAACAGAAACAAGGACATGCATGATGTTAACATAATTTATAAATAAAACCGACTTTTAAATCCCCCCCCCCACCCCCCGCCCACAAAAATATATATATATATAATATGTATGTACATGTTCATTCGATGGACTTTTGAGCAATACTAAAAGGGATTTTTCTTTTTAAATTTTTTTGTTTAAATGTTGTATTTTCATTGGATGGGGACTAAGGGGGAGAATGACTTACCTGATAAAGTCTTCTTCAGGTGACATAGAGGCCGGGGAATCTTGCATCATTTGGGTGAAGCAGGTCAGACAAGAAGTAAATCGTACCAGCCATGCCTGCATGTAGATACCATCGATAAACATTCATGTAATGAGTTATGAAGACAGAATCAACAAAGATGTCCTTAAAGTTCAAACTTGGACAAACTACCATCAAAATAGGAAGAAAGGGAAAGACCGATGTTTATATAACAAAACATTGAATTGGCTAAATAGTCTCTCTCTTTCGTTGGTGCTACAATATTTATTTTTCTTCAAAGGGGGTCTGGATTATGCAAACTATGGTCTATTTGCATTATTCATACCCTTGGAAACATGTGCCCCAGTTGCCTCTCTTTCCCTCTTTCTCCCTCTCTCTTTCAGTTCTCTCTCTCTCTCTCTCTCTCTCTCTCTTTCTCTCTCTCTCTCTCTTTCATCTCTTTCATCTCTTTCAGTTCTCTCTCTATCTCTCTCTCTTTCAGTTCTCTCCCTCTCTCTCTCTCTTGCAGTTCTCTCTCTTTCATCTCTTTCAGTTCTCTCCCTCTCTTTCTCTCTTTCTCCCTCTCTCTCTCTCTTTCTCTCTCTCTCTTTCTCTCTCTCTCTTTCTCTCTCTCTCTCTCTCTCACTCATTGTGTCTTCATATTTTCTATTTTATTTCTTCTCTCGACAGCACGTGATGCTAATATTTACTGCATCACTTTCTGAGCAAATATCCTACCTTTGCTGGAAGGAGCCATATACATGTATATAGTTTCTTTAAAATGAACTTTTCATATCTACTTTTTGTTTTCCTCGAGATTATTGAAATGGATTCAGAAATTGAAAATGATTTGTTATATTATATTCTTTTGTTATGTGATGTTAACTCCAATGATTAGTGAAATTGTAAACATGCATAAATAAATATATATATATATATATATATATATAAGATCCAAAATTCTTCCCAATTTTTGTATTTCTCTCCTGGTAAACAAAAGAAATATTTCACAATGCTTCAATCCACTTTAAAAAAAGGTCTCTCTAGAGGAAGGGTGTGGTTAATCCAAGGAGATTTTACAGAGCTTCTTTTTCATAAATGACACCCAAACAAAATCTTGGAGGATTTCAGACATGACGTGTTTTGAGTGGAATATTACACGATGTAACAAATTTTTTAAAGGATATCTTTGGTCTGACAAATCATTTGACTGAACAATCAAACCAGAACGTAAATGACGTAGCGCTCATCCGCATCTCGCAATATCGTAAATTTTATGTGGTACACTTTTGAACTGGTCAAAATATAATTTTTTTGTTATTTTTGGAATAAATTTGCATAAATTACCATAATCAATTATTGGAGAACAATTTCAAAATTCTGTGTAGAAGTTTAGTGTATCAGAGTTAGCTCTACGATATAAAAGCAAACCAAATCAAAATCGGTCAAAATATGAAGGAGAAGAAGCATTTTTTGTGATTTTGTTATTATTTTTGGAATAAATTTGCATAAAGTACCATAAATAATCAATGGAGCAAAATCTCAAAATTCTGTGTAGAAGTTTAGTGTTCCAAATTTAGCTCTACCAGATAAGGCAAACCAAATCAAAATCGGTCAAGAAATGAGGGAGAAGAAGCAATTTTTTGTTATTTTTGGAATAAATTTGCATAAATTACAATAATTAATTAATGGAGAACAATTTCAAAATTCTGTGTAGAAGTTTAGTGTACCAAAGTTAGCTCTACGATATAAAGCAAACCAAATCAAAATCGGTCAAAATATGAAGGAGAAGAAGCAATTTTTGTTATTTTGGAATAAATTTGCATAAATTACCATAATTAATTAATGGAGAACAATTTCAAAATTCTGTGTAGAAGTTTAGTGTACCAAATTTAGCTCTACCAGATAAAGCAAACCAAATCAAAATCGGTCGAGAAATGAAGGAGAAGAAGCATTTTTGTAATTTTGAATAAATTTGCATAAATTAGCATAGATAATGAATTTCACGATTCTGTGTAGAAGTTTTAAATCCCCCTCCTAGCCCTTTCATATGAAACAATTAGAATCAAAATCGGTTGAAAAATAACAAAGAAGAAGCATTTTGAAAACTGTGGATGGACGGACGGACCGACGACGGACGCCACGCCATGACATAAGCTCATCGAGCGCTTCGGGCCGGATTAGCTAAAATGTATTTCCTGTTTACATGTATGTCATTTTTGTTTTTGTCATCCTCCTCTATCTGATCACTTACTATGTGTACCTCATTTTCTTAAATTTACTCCATCTCCCCCTGTCTCCATCCATTTCTCTATGACCCTTTCTCGACAGCATGCACTTATGCTAATATTTAGTATCTCTGAGAAAACCGCATCACTTTCTGAACAAAGATGTTTCCTTTGCTGGACTGAGCCATATAGGTCAAAATACGAACTTTATTCATATAGTTTCCTTTCCTTTTAAATCTACTCTACTCATTACATCTACTCATTAAAAAAAAAAAGATTATATAGGATCCAAAATTCTTCCTGATTGATCTATTTGTCTCCTTCTAGACAAGATAATTATTCCAAAATGCTTCAATCCACTTAAAAATAAGGTTTCTTTACAGGAAGGGGATGGTTAATCCAAGGAGATTTTACGGAGCTTCATTTTCTTAATTTTGCTCCACCTCCCCTTGTCTCCATCCCTATATCTCTGACCCAGCCCACCCCAGTCCATTTCCCTCTCTTGACCTCTCTACTGCTCTCCTGGCTTCCTCCCCATCTACAATGTATTTATCTGCCTCCATCTTTCTCTCTCTAATCCTCTTTCTCCCACCTCCCCCCCCCCCCTCTCCCCCAAGCTCTATCACCATTTTCTACTCCCCCTTTCTCTCTCTCTCTTTCTCCTCCCTCCCCCTCTCTCCTTCTCCCCCCTCCCCCCTCTCTGTCTCACTTTCTCCCTCTCTCTCTCTTTCTCTCACTATCTTACACCCTCTTACCAACTTCCCAGAATCTCTTTCCTACTGCTACTCAAACCATATTTACCTTCCATAAGAGAGTAAGGTCTGTCTGCTAGCTTGCAGCCATGTTTACCATAGTCCATACACCATTCTGCAAACTGATCAAATAGACAAAGAAAACCGAAAATTCTATTTGAAATATTAAAGTTAAGGACCAGTTCTGGTCATGCGATTGCATTGTGAAAGAAACGTTGTGGAATCGATCAGAAAAGGTTGATCATCTAGTATAATTGGTGTGTACTGCAAGGTTCTGGATTCTGGAATCATCAAAATGATAAGAAATTGGGCCCAGTCTTGGTAAAGTTACAAGCACTGTTCACAAAAAAGATGTATACGGGACTACGCGACACGTGCGCGACACATGCGCGATATCTATCAGGTCCAAATAGATAATACCTTACCAAATATATCAATTAGTAGGCGGTTTCCCGGCAAAATTTGTATCATCACGTATTAGTAAAAACATATTCTTTCACATGATTAGAAATAAGAGCTTCCATTTCATTTTTTGAGAGGGGGGGGGGGGGCGTTTCAAAAACTGGTCTTTACCTTTAACTTAATTGCCCATAACCAAGAGAACTAAATCAGAATCCTGATCATTGGCAAACCAAGAAACACTATCCGTTTCAAATTTGAACTTTAAGAAGTACATGACTGCATAATAAAGAATCCCAGAAAAATCAGGTCACTGCATGAATCAATACAATACAAAGTAATGGGGACCCTGAGTGAGAGGGGTCTGGTTTAAAATGGGATCATAAACTTGACATACAACAGAAAGAGTCACTAATATGCATTAAATTTCGTATTTGATATGCAAAAATATGCAGTATACAAACTCTCTGATTTAGAAAAATTAATGATAATAATAATACAGTATAATAATTCAATTTTCAATTCAATTCAATTCAATACAGTATATTGAGGAGCGCTAAAAACAATAAGTACCATAGCACTTACAAATACAAATATATGAAAAGAAGACGACAAAAATTTAGTCTCACAGGAAATAGATAACACAGATCACTGGGGGAAAGATAAGTTTTTAGCGATATTTTGAAGGTGGCAAGACAGGTGATTTCCCTTATGGAAAGGGGGATGCTGTTCCACATCTTGATTCCTACAAAATATTCAAACTATGACAGACAAAATTTACCTAAATGTCTCTTTATAAGGATTAACTTATTTACAACAAATACCGGAATTAATTTAAAAAGAAAAGAAAAAAAAAGCCCTCTGTGATCTCTTAAATAAATGACAAAGCCACTTGACTTTGTCTTGAGGCAGAGTGCAGTTGCTAAATCACTTTGGACACAAATATTTAAAGGGACTTGGTAACATTGTTCAGATGAGAGAAAATGGTGCGACTTCAATGCTACATGTAGATGTACAATTAAAGATAATCTGAAAGTTTGAGTGAAAACGGACCATTATTAACGATAGAAATTGGGAAAGACTGATCTGATCGAATTTACTGTTAATCACTATTAGAAGGTGTTGCACAGTTACGCCTTCAAAGAAAACCATAAATATCTTTTTTGGTTTGAGAATTTTCTCAGGATTTTTTGCCTGTTAGAGGGTAAGTACAGTAGAAAGAATATAATAAGTAACATTTTGTACAAAAATTACACATTTTTTTCACCTTCAACAATGTTACCGAGTCACTTTAAATTAACCCTGCCCCTCAAAACAGTCAACATTCGTACCTTACACGCCTTGTATAAATACTGTTCATCCTTTGTAGCCTGATAGAGGGCCAAGAAAGCGTAAGCGTTGCCGGCCGTTCCGTGACACAAGCCGTAACCCTTCCGTAGGATGCCACGCTCCCAAACGACTGTGCCACAATCCACTGCTGCACTAAGGTACTTGGCATCACCAAACACCTACAACAACAATAATAATAATATAATAATAATTATATTCATAGTAATATAATATTGATAATAATGAAAATAATAATAACATTAATAATAACGATCACAATAATTATAACGATCACAATAATAAAAGCAATTACAATAAAAATAATAATAATAATGGATATTTTTATTGTGCACGTATCTAACTAGCAAGGTGCTCATAAGGCCCTACAATATTACCTGGGCTCTGATAGAATACCGATTTGGGCGCTATCAGCATACAAGGAATTCATTCCTACTGGTATCCATTTAACCCATGCTTTTGTCAGAGATCTCAACAACAACAATAATGAGTCGGAACAAAAAAATCATGGCACTAAATGTTCTGGTTAGTAGACGTTAGTTGAGTGTCATGATTTGCTTTTGTTTTATTATTTGCAGAAAAAAGGGAACTTGGGAAAACGGGTCAGGATTTAGATCTGTAAGGAACGTTAAATCACCTTATGAGCTTGAAGCAGCATGTGGACCACGCCCGGAGCCCCATGGCACCAGTGAATGAGCTTGTCTGATTGATTACCGAGCGACGATGGGAAGTTACCGGAAGGAAATCTGAGTTCGAGGATGTAGTCTACGGTAGGCTTGATGAGAGAGGGGAGGGATCCAGTTACCGTGTCAGATTTCACCTAAATAATAGAAAATATTATGCCGTATTGTTAAGCATTTATTTTTTAGTATAACTGAAGAAACGATAGAATTGAATGGTTTATTAAATATACTGAAAATAGCAGTCTGGGACCTGTCAGTTTACAATAAAAGCACCTGAAATACATAGCAATGTTTAAACAAGTATAACATAAAGCGAGAATACATTAATCTAAAAATTAATAAGATATAATATTATAACAAAAAAATAAGTATAACCAACACTATTCTAAAAGTTAATAGAGGGGTTTAATAGAACCTAAATCTGTTTCCAACTGCTGGAAAACCTAAATTACAGGTTACAGGCAAGAAGACCGTTAATTTGTCAAGCTTATTCAAGGAAATACCCATGAATATCTTTAAAGCATTTTAGTCTTTGTGATTGTAGTCCAGAACTCAAACTGGCTTAATGAAAGTGTGGAGGGATCTGCGAGACACGGTGGCAGAGTATTAATTCAGCTTCCTCTTTTATACAAATAACTAAATAAAAGAAAAGGGTAAATTGTGAATACTGTAAGTCCATCTTTAAAGGTATATACCAGTTTTGGAAACGCCCCACCCCCCTCAAAAAATGTAATGGAAGCTCTTATTCCCAATCATGTAAAAGAATATGTTTTGACTTATACGTGATGATACAAATATTGCCTGGAAACCGCCTACTAATTGATATATTCGGTCAATTATTATATCTATCCAGACTGGATAGATATCGCGTAGTCCTATATACATCTTTCTGTGTACAGTGCTTGTAACTTTACCAAGACTGAGCCAAATTTTTTATCATTTTGATGATTCCAGAACCTTGCAGTACTCACCAATGCTTATATGCTAGATGATCAACCTTTTCTGATCGATTCCACAACATTTCTTTCACAATGCAATCGCATGACCAGAACTGGTCTAAATCTTTAACTGCTTGAGAAAAAAGTGCTCCAAGGATACTATAAATCATGTTTACATGAATTCATAGAAAACAGAAATATGCCACTGTTGTATTTCTATCCAATCCAATCCAATCCATAAGATATTTGATATAGCACCTTTTCCTTGCATGCAGTTACAAAGCGCTGCACACACGCTCCACAATGTTTGGGCCACTTAAAACAACAGTTAGAGACTTCTCAGAGATCTATCTCTTCATAAACACCCGCAAGGATAATGCTCAAGTATTGAATTCATTTTTGGAGACACGGATTCACCGGGTGATTATTTCTAATGGTTATCTTACAGTCCAAAACACTTTAGGTCGATAATTCATCCCGGTTAGGAAATATGTTACATATTATACTGCCCTTGCCTCTTTGTAGAGGTGTCGTGGTCGAGTGGATAAGTCACCGGACTGTGGATCACAAGGTCCGCGGTTCAAGTCCCGCTGCGGCACTAATGTCCTTTGGCAAGACATTGATCTACATTTGCCACTCTCCACCCAGGTGTTAAAATGGGTACCCGGTAGGATGCGAAAGCTAATGTGGTTTGATTAGCAAGTGGCGCTTGTAAAATGGCGACTGGCTGGAATGCTCCCCAGGGAGTGGAGAATGTGCATACCTTGTGTGCGGGTAAGCCTGAATCCGATGACCGGGGTAATAATAATATGTTGTAAAGCGCTGTGATACACATGTATGTCTGTAAGAGCGCTATATAAATGCCAATATTATTATTATTATTATTCTGAGTCTCTTAAAGATTAACATGCATTCATATCATGCAACAATTAATATCTTTAATCAAGTGACAAGAGAAGGCAGAATATATTCTTTGACCCATTAAGAAGAGTATGGAATAATTGAGTTACCTGCATGAGCAGAGCAAGAATTCCAGCCATGCCATGAGCAGCTCCTACGTACTTCTTATTATGCCATTCAAACAGGAGAGGGGACTTGGACTTCTCTTTCTTGGCAAGCTTCTCACCAGAGTCTAAGATACATCTGCATACCTTATAAAAGAAAGGGGGAAGAAGCTGATAATAAGCCGAACCTGCTTTCAAAACTACCTGTTCAATAGATCTATAATAGACCATCCTTATGTATTTCAATAGAATAGTATTTTGCACAGAACCTTACAAAGAAGGGGAGGAAACTGATAGTAATTAAAGCCAACGTACCTGCTTTCAAAACTACATGTACCTGTTCAATCTATAATAGACCATCCTTATGCATTTCCATAGAAAAGTATTTCAAACAAAACTGATCTTACAGGTCATGTTTAAAGATAGACCACCTATAACTCTATTGGTTCCCTTTAGTAGATTTCATACAGTCTTTACTGTTTGTATTTTACTATGATGCATACCAATGGAATTTTGTGCATTTTTTAAAATTGAGATAACTTTCTGTACATTCAACTTGAGAAACTCTACCTGTATATTTAATATTAAGTAGGGTAGTAGCAAGTAATTAGGATAAACTAGTACCAGAAAGAAGGAATTTAAGCAGAAATTGTATAACAGTATCATTACTCACATTGAGCACAAGCATTTTATGCATCATCTTCCCATTTTTTAAAGATCATATCACCATAAGGACTAGAAGAACTTACAATGCATCTATTGAATAATTTTAATGAACTGGCATTAAAGAGACACTAGTATTACTAATACCTGGTACCAATTAGACTCACATTTTGGACATCCTAAACTCTTTTCACATGACATGTTACCTTGTTGATGATACCTGGATCAATGTTCCCCTCCCCGAGGTGCTTCTGTAGGAAGAGCAAAGCATAGAGGTACCCCACCCTTCCATAGAGGAGTTCATCAGGAAGGCTTGGATCCTCGGTCAATCGGACAAAGCTCTGCAATCTAAGAATAAAGAAGACTAACAGACCTTTGATGATATCTGGAGCAATGTTCCCCTCTCCAAGTTGCTTCCGCATCAAATTCAGTAGAACTTTGCAGGAATTATGAATATATGTCATGTATATCCTATCTGTGAAATTTAAACGTTAGCAGTGTCTTAATATTCAAATTATGCAAGGAAGCCCGTTATTTTCTAGACTTCACTGTAAGACACTATTGAGTGACTGACTGACTTTTTTTTCTTCTTTGGTAATAACATACATAAAATGAGCTGTAAAGGGAATATGAGCATTTGTCTACATCAATAACCCACTTCTTGTAATGGCCAAAATTAAACTGATTGAATCTTTGCGCAGCACAAAACGTACAACCATTCAGTACAATGGTCTGAAAATCAGATTATTACTTACTGGCTCTATAGCTCTTAAGTCGATTTGACAACTAATAGTCTTTATTTTCCCACTTAAAGTATTGTTTAAGCCCCCTTTTTTTAGGGAAGTTTTGAACTAGTATTATCATTCAAATGCTGTTGGAATTTAACCTCTTTATTTTTTGGGCCTGCAAATAGGACAGAGTACCTTTAAGGCTGAATCACATGCAGTACGCACTGCACCAAAACTAGAGCATTGCATATAATATCTTTACAGAACTACAAAGAGCTCTTACTTGTCGATACACTGCTGAGCTTCCGTTTGCTTGCCCATTTTGTGATAAAGCAAGCAGCCCACCGCCAGCGGGCCTGCATCTCCACACATGAAAGTCACTCTGCGGCCTTTCAAGTGCTGTAGAGGGCGCTTTATATATTCATAGCCCCGACTGAGGTACTCTTCTGTTTTGTTTAGGGTGTACAAGTGAAGGTACAACAGGGATATACCTGGAGTGGAAATGAAATGATATAGAAGGTGTTAAATAGAAAACATGTTTTTGTATTCATTGTATGGCCCTTTTATCATATTGCTTTAGGAATCAAGTAGGTCTTGAGTTCATTTGTCCAGATTTAGAGTGAAGAACTTGCTCTCACTCCTTCTCTCTCTGTCTCCCTCCATCGTCTCTGTGTCTGTCTCTGTCTGTCTGTCTCTCTCTCTCTCTCTCTCTCTCTCTCTCTCTTTTATGCATTTGTATTCTCTGTTTTATATCAATCACTGAAATTTGGGACTGGTATCACATTAGTATTATATAAAGCTGATGGGGCCTTTTCTTCAAATGTTGCAGAAACTGGAAGATTGTCTACATGCCATTCGCTCCTGGTTGACTGAAAACTTTCTTCTCTTGAACGACAACAAGATGGAAGTGCTCCACCTGTTTTCTCACCGAAGAAGAAATACAATAGAACTCCCTCGGATTCAAATAACAAATGGTTCTGTAAATTCCTCCAAAACAGTTGTTAACTTAGGTGTCACGTTTGATCAAAACCTTTCAATGCGCCCCCATGTAAATAGTATCTGTCGTAAAGCATCCTTCGCCCTGAGAAAAATTGGTAAAATTCGTAAATTCCTTTCCAAGTCATCCACTGAAATCCTCGTCCACGCATTTATCAGTTCACTCCTTGACAGTTGTAATAGCTTGCTCCATGGAATTCCAGAAAAAGATATGGCCAAGCTGCAAAGAATCCAGAACTCTGCAGCACGTCTAGTGTCTCTCACCAAAAAACATGACCATATTACACCAACCCTTAAACAATTGCATTGGCTCCCCATTCAATTTCGTGTCCAGTTCAAAGTTCTTCTTTTAACCTTCAAGTCTCTTCATGGTCATGCCCCAAATTATCTTTCTGAACTGATTCAATTATACACACCCAACAGGCCCCTTCGTTCTGCAAATCAAACTCTCTTGACTGTTAAAAAAGCAAAAACAAAATACTTTGGTGATAGGTCCTTTTCATGCTCTGCTCCACGTCTGTGGAATTCTCTCCCAGCCTCCATTCGTTCCATCTCTGATATTACTTTGTTTAGATCAAAATTAAAAACCTACCTAATGGAAAATGCATATTCAACCTAGCTCTTAAATTGTTACCTAGTTCTTAAGTTGTTACCTAGTTCTTATATTGTTACCTTACCTTGTTATGTTATGTTTCATAATTTCACTTCATATTTGTTTTCTTGTCATTACTCTGTATAGTTTTAATTGTATCAATATTGTAAAGCGCTTTGATATAAATGTTTTATGAAAAGCGCTATATAAGTAAAAGTTATTATTATTATTATTATTTCTCTACAATACGCTGCAATTTTGAGGATCATACAAATGTCATGGATGGTTTTACAAGTTTATCTCATGCTTTCTAAAACACAATGTCAAATTGCTCTCAAAATTTGAATGACAGTGAGAGAGTATAATGTGAGGTAGACTAAAAATTGTGATTATTTCTTCATTATCTTGTAAGCTTATTAAACCTAGTAGTCGAATACACAAAATGTCCGCTTGATTCCGCTATGTTTGTATTTTCTGATATTTCTGCTTTTTCATCATTTACCTGTGACTCCTGTGTAGACTGACTGGTCACTTTCATCGCAGTCCCTCCGGAGTCCAGACTCCATCTGACCGACCAGATGACCGATCGACTGGTACAGCCGCTTTGAGAAGGAATCTGTAAGCTTCATCAGACAAAGAGAATGTAAGGAAACGGGCTCAGGACGAAAATTATCAATGTGTACTTTAGTCTATATCCAATTGGTTTAAATTGGTACTACCGTATGTCCCTTTAGCAGCCAACATCAAATTCTGTAGAACTTTGCAAGAATTATGAATATGTCACGTATGACCTATTTGTGAAATTTAAACGTTAGCAGTGTGCTAATATTAAAAATAGAATCTGTATAATTTATTATGAATTAATCTCTTATATATAATTTACCTTTCCATTCTGTATGATGTTGGTTGCTAACTCTGCAGAGAATGGCGAATATGGATTTGTGAATTCACTCCCGTCCGAAGACGATGCTTCATCGTGTTTCCGTTTACTCATTACTGAACAAGCGAAATACTTCTCTGACCAAGCAGTAACTCCTAGCTCCTAGCTTGCTCCGACTGTGCAGATTTTATTCATGGGTGCGAGAATGAAAGAAATCAAAATGACGAAGAGTGTACGGTTAGGCCAAGAAACTAAAAGGGAAGAGAGAGGAGCAGAGGAGGGGAGAGGCGAGAGGCAAGGAGTGGAGGAGAGAGGAGGAGAGAGGAGAGAAGAGATTCATCGAAAGAGAGACTGTACATTACGAACAACAAATGTTTTTCTTTTTTGTTCCACCAACATTGACAAATGGAAGAGAAGAAATATTATAATTTAGGGCCGGGGTCAATCTTGTTTTTTATTTTTATGTCATTAGACTTCAGAAATTACATTTGCTTTACTTATCATGTTGGTAGATTTGTATTTCTTCCAATCAACATGAAAAAGAAAAGAAATTTAAGTGTTTGATCGCTGATCTTCCCATTCGAATTCCATCACATCAACATTTTAGTTTGATCTAGATCTGGACTTACGCGAATACAAGGATGTGGGACCGAACATACTGTTTGATGGCGAAATTAATAGACTCTAGTCTACTTTTATTCATCAGTAACAATAAGGAACTAAAATCTTGATTCAGATTAATTATTCTACATATTTACCCATATGACCCTTTAAATTCTGAATTTCCGTACAGATGATTTTATGATGATGCGGGACTTCGTCCTTTGGATGCGCGACGAGCAGAAAAAAGCGATGGTACGTGCGTAACTTATCATTACACATGTGGGCGTGGCAGATTTATGAACCCCACATGAGCGGGTCCAGGGGTGGGAAAAGGGCAGGCGTGGCCAGGGTCGGGTCCAGCCGGCGACGAAGGAGGGGGTCTGAGAAAACATTTAGCGGGGACTCAGCCGACCGGCCGACTAACGGGGGGGGGGGGGGGTATGGTGAGGGGAGGGGGGGGGGGTAGTGAGCACCTTTTTTTGTGTGTGTGTGTGTGGGGGGGGTATGAAGCTCTATTTTGTTTTTCAAAGAGATTCGATCATACACAGTATGTCCTCCGTAGGAGGACTAGAGGGCCAACTAAAATCGTGACCTTTGACATTTCATAGGTTTTGCATTGGATGCATTATGGGGGTTTTGTCCGATTTGAACGACGGTTTTGGAGGGTCAATGAATATTCATGAGCAATGACGTCAAAAATACGCCAACTTCTGTTTGTTGATTGGCCATCGACAAAATGTTTTATGTATTAGGTCATGCATAAAACATTTTTTGCATTCCCAGAATTCCCTACGATTTGACCACGAAAATGGCGGTTGTATGAACTGCAACTTTCAAGTTATTCAATTACGAACAATGAAACATTTTTCTTTTAAGTGAATTTCTATTATAATAGAAGTTTGTCAAGTACATCTCAGTGAAGCAGAAAATCTTCAGGCGAACATTGACATCGAAGTGATACCCTATGATATCAAGAAAAGTAAGTAAAGATCCATTTTGTGTGAAGGTCTCTGAAATGATTGTGATGTGTTCGTCATTGCAGTGAGCGGCTCTCCGCATTGTCACAACGTATTACCCGGTTAACCCCCTACCCCATCCTCTTTTCTTTCTTCTGACCAAAGAATATTAACTGATTGAATGAACTAGTAATATAAATCATCGACGGTAATATTTTTAGAAACAATCAGGATTTTACCGTAGGTTATTTCATTAGAGCACATCTCATAATTTTAAGTTCAGTTCATAGCTTGATTACCGATAGTAATCGGTCGTAGATGTGGACCTGTTGTAGACTGCGCAAATGGCTCATTGCTAGTCCAAGCCGACGAGATCTCGTCGAGCGGTTTATGATTTTCAATTCGCCGGTGCTAGCCGGCTGTAACACTCCACCAAGAAGCGACTGCGTATCCTGAGGTGGCGTGGCTATAACTTTACAGTGTGTTACTGTAAAGCCTAGACCTCTACTAGACTAGTATTCATAGCATAGTCTAGCCTGAATTTTCTGTCTCTTTCGTTCGTTAGCCTCTGATTTGGGTAGGGTCGCCTCCTCTCTTTAGCTGACCTACCCAAATCAGAGGCTAACGAACGAAAGAGACAGAAAAATTCGGGCTAAGGCTATATTAAGCAGAGCCTAGGCTAGGCTAGGTCTACCGTCTAGTCTAGATCTAGCACTTAACTAAGTATAAACAGCAATTAACCCCGCATCTAGTATAGACCTATATCTAGGGCTAGATTCTAGGCCTAATGCATTCTAATAAAAATAAAAAAGACTAGAAATCTAGACCTAAATGCCTGGTTTAGGTGGGTCAATGTGGAAGTTATGGAGGGGGGGGGGGGGGTGCACAATCATTCTGTGTCCCCTTATTCAGATGTGGCATAGGGACGGGTCTAGATGTAGGTCTAAAGCCCCTTACTAGTAGGGTCTACTAATAATATTAAAAATAGGCAATTAGATCTAGATCTATAGCTTGTGTTATGCCATAGCTTAGCAAAGACTTCCATAGCCATGGGTCTAGGCTCGTTTTGCTCCACTACTAGACTAGTCGTGCGCATGTGTCATTATTGTGATCCAGGTCCAGATTCAGCTTAGTTTGAATGTAGATCTAGGCTAGATCTACCAACAACAACAAAAACAAAACAAAAAAGGTATCTCCTCCCCCCCCCCCCCCCCCCCCTCCCACTTCCCCTGATTTCGCTCTTAGTTATGTCATTGTGCCTTGTTTGAAATAATTGGTTTATTTTCAGGATTTTATGCCACCCCTTTTATGTCGGTGAGAATTCTGGATCCAACCCTACATATGACATGGATATTTCTTTCTCTAGGACATGAACAAAGTTATAAACTGATAACTAATGCATGCATTTGATATTAGCAGGAACCTTACTAAGTTTCTGTTTTCTTTTAATTGTAGATCCTATGGAACAAAGAAGCAGATAATGATCACAGAAGTGCAACAAAGACCACCAGGACCTGATCATCAAATGTTATGGTGTAGATCTAATCAGGAACAAGACACCTAAGTTGAACTCTGGCAAGGTATGTTTGTATGAAGTTCAAAAATATTCAGGCTGTATAATCTAAGCCCATGCGAACACCGCACTCGACTTGGACTATATACAAAGATTTGGGGAACTGTCATCTTGTGTTGCATTATATCTGGTAATTCTCATTTATTCTCTAGCTTTATTTAGGTGACAAACTATGGTGTTGCTACAGTTTATTCTCTCATCATATTAAAAGACATACTCAAAGGCATTTTTTCCTAAATATTACATTATATATAACAAACTTTTGTTCACAAAAGTCTAGCAAATAATAACTTAAAATAAATTGGAAATTACTTTTAAAATAATTGGAAATACATCTAAACCTCTACTCTTCTCTTAAAAAAGGCCCTATCAGATAGACATAAGTTTATCATTTTTTAGTAAAATTAAAATGCAAGACCTAAACAAAAGTGGGGAGGTACTATTTTTGAAAATCCAATATAATGCAGCAGTTTTAATCTTATTTGATTTCTCCTCTCTTTTTGTTTTTATTATTCAGGTTGTCCCATGCAGAAGGTTTGATACCCAGGCTTCTTTTGTACAAGTCCCTAGTCCACCCTCATCTTGAGAACTGTTCCGGTGTCTGGGATCCCTACAACATCTCAGATGTCCAGGACGCTACTTCACAATGGGGACCACAAGAGAAGCAGCAGTTTGACTGAGATGATCAGCACCTTTTAGTTGCCTACTATATCTACAACTACAAGGCACTCTGCAAGAAGACTGGGAATGGTGCACAAGATAGTCGATGGTCTCTCCGCTCTTCCTTGAAAATTTTGCCACTGCACTACTTATACCTACTTGCGCCCTCTATATATCAAACAATGCCTAATCTGTGCCTGTTGGTCCCCCATGATCCTCTTTTTCTTATATTAATTGAGAGCTGATTTGATGAGATAACCACCTGTCAGTGACCTTGCAGGGTGGTCTTATCCCCCAGACCAAACTAGACCAAACGGGCTTTAACAAATCACGAGCAGGAAGTACCATGACATGACCCTCCAGTTGCACCAAGCCAGAAGCGACATAGGTAGACAAGTTTGTATGTGCCCAACACTCTGTCCCAAAGTTAATGGAACTGACTTCCAGCAAATATAGTGCATGCTGACAGTCCAGAGAACTGCCAGGGACTACTTCTGAGGCATCTATTATCCTTATCCCACTTAGAAACAATCTGTCTTCCTCACACCACTTGTAATCTTTAGTATTAGTTCATCTTCCTGATAGGCTACAACGCCTTTTGAAGATTACCAGAAGAAGAAGAAGAAGATATATCGAGGATCATGAAAGTAATCATTTGTTCTTTTAAATGCGTGTACATGTAACATAGTCTTTTGATATATTTAATCTTAAGTCAAGTTCTGACAAAATATGAGTGATGCTGAACTGGATAGTAAATTGAAGGGGAGGGGGGATAAAATGATGTAGTTCAATAGTAAGACTGTATTAATATAATTAATATTAATAATAATAACAATATTAAAAATAGTAACAATAATGACAATGATCATGATAATAGCAATAATAATAATGATAATACAGGTAGTAGTAAAAACAACAACAATAATGTCCAATGTAAGATAAAGTACTCATAAAACTCAGTATATACCTGTGCTTTACATAATAAAATAGCATGTTGATATTATTGGAATATTTTTTTCTTCAAAATCTACAGTAAATTTTTACAACTGAAAGATTTGAATTCAAGAGACAGCACCCCCCTCCCCCCATCCATTTGTCATCATTTTGTTGATGTCATGTTGGATTTAAAAAGACTTTATAGAAACAAAATATGTTGATAAATGAGTTCATAAATGTTAATAAATCAGTTAATACTGCTGAATTCTGTTCTTTTCATTTTCTTATTTTGTGAAATATATGTGATGATGCTGGTGATTATGATGATGTAGGCACTCTGTAATGATAATGCTGTATGACTGAGGTGAGATGGGGGCTGATGCAGTCTTGTGTAGAATTGAGTATGGTGTTCGACCTTTTGATGTTTGTTTATATCTGGCATCAGCGAGATAGATTTAACCATCTTTCCTAATGAGAGAGAAAGCGGAAATGTAACAAGAGAGTGGGCAAGACTAATGTATAAATGCAGTATAAAAAATGGTTTACAATAAAGATGAGGGGAGGGGGGTTAAATAAAGAATAAGTCGATGCCGAAATGATGAAAGCATAGGTAATAGGTAATAGAGCCTATGGAAATGTCACTATTAGAAGGGGTCTCTGTATTGAAAATGTTACTGTTGGGGGGAGGGGGAATTAAAAAAAAATCAGTGGCGACGAATGCAAGAATGAAAAGAACGAGACAAAATTGAAATTTCATTGGGGATGGGGCACAATATGAAGATCATTGAAGTCGAGGTGAGAATGATTCATTAATTGGACACTAACAATATGAAAATATCACTTGTAAAGTGGGCTAAATGATCGGTGCAATTTGTCTGATTTAAAAAATATTTAAGTTAATAAACGAACAAAAAAAAGAGGTAAAAAATGAATTGAGTGAAATGGGGTCATTATTTTTGCCTTTTAACTGAACTGAATTTTTTTAAATGTACTTTCCATCCTAGTGACAGTGAAGTTTGTGGCCCCAACTAATTAAGTCAACCATTTAAAAGTCTTTCCCCCTCCCCCCCCCCCCCCCCCCCCCCCCCCTCCTCCCCACACACCTCCCCAACTCTGACTTTTGTTCTACATTTATATATCCGGCCCAATTAGGATTCTGTCGATATAGTAACGCATGCGCATTGTCTTTTTTTCATTGCGATAATATGCTAATAAGTGGAAAAGAGCTCATGAATATTCAAAATTTTAATTTAAATATTTTGCGCGCTGCGCGCAGTCCAAAATCCCCATTTCGCTGGTGCACTAAACACTTGTCGTCTTCATAGGCTAATACACGATAAATGGAAGCAGTGTGCACTTTTGACCCTCCAAAATTTCCCCATGGCTAGACGGATGCAGAAGCGGAGTTGAACCCCCCTGCACAGTATGTCCTCCGTAGGAGGACTAGAGGGCCAACTAAAATCGTGACCTTTGACATTTCATAGGTTTTGCATTGGATGCATTATGGGGGTTTTGTCCGATTTGAACGACGGTTTTGGAGGGTCAATGAATATTCATGAGCAATGACGTCAAAAATACGCCAACTTCTGTTTGTTGATTGGCCATCGACAAAATGTTTTATGTATTAGGTCATGCATAAAACATTTTTTGCATTCCCAGAATTCCCTACGATTTGACCACGAAAATGGCGGTTGTATGAACTGCAACTTTCAAGTTATTCAATTACGAACAATGAAACATTTTTCTTTTAAGTGAATTTCTATTATAATAGAAGTTTGTCAAGTACATCTCAGTGAAGCAGAAAATCTTCAGGCGAACATTGACATCGAAGTGATACCCTATGATATCAAGAAAAGTAAGTAAAGATCCATTTTGTGTGAAGGTCTCTGAAATGATTGTGATGTGTTCGTCATTGCAGTGAGCGGCTCTCCGCATTGTCACAACGTATTACCCGGTTAACCCCCTACCCCATCCTCTTTTCTTTCTTCTGACCAAAGAATATTAACTGATTGAATGAACTAGTAATATAAATCATCGACGGTAATATTTTTAGAAACAATCAGGATTTTACCGTAGGTTATTTCATTAGAGCACATCTCATAATTTTAAGTTCAGTTCATAGCTTGATTACCGATAGTAATCGGTCGTAGATGTGGACCTGTTGTAGACTGCGCAAATGGCTCATTGCTAGTCCAAGCCGACGAGATCTCGTCGAGCGGTTTATGATTTTCAATTCGCCGGTGCTAGCCGGCTGTAACACTCCACCAAGAAGCGACTGCGTATCCTGAGGTGGCGTGGCTATAACTTTACAGTGTGTTACTGTAAAGCCTAGACCTCTACTAGACTAGTATTCATAGCATAGTCTAGCCTGAATTTTCTGTCTCTTTCGTTCGTTAGCCTCTGATTTGGGTAGGGTCGCCTCCTCTCTTTAGCTGACCTACCCAAATCAGAGGCTAACGAACGAAAGAGACAGAAAAATTCGGGCTAAGGCTATATTAATAGGGTGTCTGAACGATTTTTCAATTTTCAATTTGGGATCGTTTTTCACCATTTTTGTTTGATATTTGAATAAAAAATGTTATCAGAATAATACATTTCAAATTTCAAGTCTCACCGATGTTTCTATCAAAAGTTACAGCCCCTCCAACACGCTGGTATATTCATATCATTTTGGTCAAAATCGACGAAAAAGACGTCCACGCAGAGTGATGTTGTTTTGCTAAATTTAGCCAAACAGCTGTATCGCGCGATATGCAAGCGTATGCATATCGTACGCATGCTGCTAAGCCAATCCGCGACTTGCAGCTTGAGCTACGCTGTCTCCGCGACATGTGCGATTGACTAGTATGGTTGGCGTTCGTCACACAATAAACCCGGAAGTGAATGCACGTTATAGTCAATGGCAATATCGCGGAGACAACGCACGTTGTCTCCGCGATATTGCCATTGACTATAACGTGTATTCACTTCCGGGTTTATCGAGGGAATTGCCAACCATAATTTCAGTCACTATAACGTGTAATTGAATTTGGGGTTTCGTTCGTGCGCGGAGATGTTACGCGATGTAACCATGGTTTGGACTGAGCGGAGCGCACGCCTCCTAATTAGCTGATCCACCAAATAGCGAGAAGGGTATTTTTAAACTGTTATCAGTTGTGATCCCTGGGGGCTAGCGAAAATATAATCACATAGAATTGTTCCTTAGGACTGGGACTACTTATCGATCGGGGCGTCATATCTCAAAAGTGACAAACCTCAGAGTTAGCCAGGACACAATGTTTAAATTGCTGTTTTGACCAAGATATTTTTAGAATTTCGGGGGCTACGCCCCTTTGGAAATATTGGAATTCACCTGCTCTTTCATATGACACCTCATTCATTGATTATCACCTTCAGGATCACAACTGATAAAGGTTTGAATCTCGATTTGAAAAAAAAAATTTGACTTTTTTTGCATGGTCGCGCAATGCACGTAGGCTGCATAGGGATGCGTGTAATCTCTATGGGAAGAATTTTAGCACACAACATCGGGTGCGCGATCAGACACCCTAATATTAAGCAGAGCCTAGGCTAGGCTAGGTCTACCGTCTAGTCTAGATCTAGCACTTAACTAAGTATAAACAGCAATTAACCCCGCATCTAGTATAGACCTATATCTAGGGCTAGATTCTAGGCCTAATGCATTCTAATAAAAATAAAAAGACTAGAAATCTAGACCTAAATGCCTGGTTTAGGTGGGTCAATGTGGAAGTTATGGAGGGGGGGGGGGGGTGCACAATCATTCTGTGTCCCCTTATTCAGATGTGGCATAGGGACGGGTCTAGATGTAGGTCTAAAGCCCCTTACTAGTAGGGTCTACTAATAATATTAAAAATAGGCAATTAGATCTAGATCTATAGCTTGTGTTATGCCATAGCTTAGCAAAGACTTCCATAGCCATGGGTCTAGGCTCGTTTTGCTCCACTACTAGACTAGTCGTGCGCATGTGTCATTATTGTGATCCAGGTCCAGATTCAGCTTAGTTTGAATGTAGATCTAGGCTAGATCTACCAACAACAACAAAAACAAAACAAAAAAGGTATCTCCTCCCCCCCCCCCCCCCCTCCCACTTCCCCTGATTTCGCTCTTAGTTATGTCATTGTGCCTTGTTTGAAATAATTGGTTTATTTTCAGGATTTTATGCCACCCCTTTTATGTCGGTGAGAATTCTGGATCCAACCCTACATATGACATGGATATTTCTTTCTCTAGGACATGAACAAAGTTATAAACTGATAACTAATGCATGCATTTGATATTAGCAGGAACCTTACTAAGTTTCTGTTTTCTTTTAATTGTAGATCCTATGGAACAAAGAAGCAGATAATGATCACAGAAGTGCAACAAAGACCACCAGGACCTGATCATCAAATGTTATGGTGTAGATCTAATCAGGAACAAGACACCTAAGTTGAACTCTGGCAAGGTATGTTTGTATGAAGTTCAAAAATATTCAGGCTGTATAATCTAAGCCCATGCGAACACCGCACTCGACTTGGACTATATACAAAGATTTGGGGAACTGTCATCTTGTGTTGCATTATATCTGGTAATTCTCATTTATTCTCTAGCTTTATTTAGGTGACAAACTATGGTGTTGCTACAGTTTATTCTCTCATCATATTAAAAGACATACTCAAAGGCATTTTTTCCTAAATATTACATTATATATAACAAACTTTTGTTCACAAAAGTCTAGCAAATAATAACTTAAAATAAATTGGAAATTACTTTTAAAATAATTGGAAATACATCTAAACCTCTACTCTTCTCTTAAAAAAGGCCCTATCAGATAGACATAAGTTTATCATTTTTTAGTAAAATTAAAATGCAAGACCTAAACAAAAGTGGGGAGGTACTATTTTTGAAAATCCAATATAATGCAGCAGTTTTAATCTTATTTGATTTCTCCTCTCTTTTTGTTTTTATTATTCAGGTTGTCCCATGCAGAAGGTTTGATACCCAGGCTTCTTTTGTACAAGTCCCTAGTCCACCCTCATCTTGAGAACTGTTCCGGTGTCTGGGATCCCTACAACATCTCAGATGTCCAGGACGCTACTTCACAATGGGGACCACAAGAGAAGCAGCAGTTTGACTGAGATGATCAGCACCTTTTAGTTGCCTACTATATCTACAACTACAAGGCACTCTGCAAGAAGACTGGAATGGTGCACAAGATAGTCGATGGTCTCTCCGCTCTTCCTTGAAAATTTTGCCACTGCACTACTTATACCTACTTGCGCCCTCTATATATCAAACAATGCCTAATCTGTGCCTGTTGGTCCCCCATGATCCTCTTTTTCTTATATTAATTGAGAGCTGATTTGATGAGATAACCACCTGTCAGTGACCTTGCAGGGTGGTCTTATCCCCCAGACCAAACTAGACCAAACGGGCTTTAACAAATCACGAGCAGGAAGTACCATGACATGACCCTCCAGTTGCACCAAGCCAGAAGCGACATAGGTAGACAAGTTTGTATGTGCCCAACACTCTGTCCCAAAGTTAATGGAACTGACTTCCAGCAAATATAGTGCATGCTGACAGTCCAGAGAACTGCCAGGGACTACTTCTGAGGCATCTATTATCCTTATCCCACTTAGAAACAATCTGTCTTCCTCACACCACTTGTAATCTTTAGTATTAGTTCATCTTCCTGATAGGCTACAACGCCTTTTGAAGATTACCAGAAGAAGAAGAAGAAGATATATCGAGGATCATGAAAGTAATCATTTGTTCTTTTAAATGCGTGTACATGTAACATAGTCTTTTGATATATTTAATCTTAAGTCAAGTTCTGACAAAAATATGAGTGATGCTGAACTGGATAGTAAATTGAAGGGGAGGGGGATAAAATGATGTAGTTCAATAGTAAGACTGTATTAATATAATTAATATTAATAATAATAACAATATTAAAAATAGTAACAATAATGACAATGATCATGATAATAGCAATAATAATAATGATAATACAGGTAGTAGTAAAAACAACAACAATAATGTCCAATGTAAGATAAAGTACTCATAAAACTCAGTATATACCTGTGCTTTACATAATAAAATAGCATGTTGATATTATTGGAATATTTTTTTCTTCAAAATCTACAGTAAATTTTTACAACTGAAAGATTTGAATTCAAGAGACAGCACCCCCCTCCCCCCATCCATTTGTCATCATTTTGTTGATGTCATGTTGGATTTAAAAAGACTTTATAGAAACAAAATATGTTGATAAATGAGTTCATAAATGTTAATAAATCAGTTAATACTGCTGAATTCTGTTCTTTTCATTTTCTTATTTTGTGAAATATATGTGATGATGCTGGTGATTATGATGATGTAGGCACTCTGTAATGATAATGCTGTATGACTGAGGTGAGATGGGGGCTGATGCAGTCTTGTGTAGAATTGAGTATGGTGTTCGACCTTTTGATGTTTGTTTATATCTGGCATCAGCGAGATAGATTTAACCATCTTTCCTAATGAGAGAGAAAGCGGAAATGTAACAAGAGAGTGGGCAAGACTAATGTATAAATGCAGTATAAAAAATGGTTTACAATAAAGATGAGGGGAGGGGGGTTAAATAAAGAATAAGTCGATGCCGAAATGATGAAAGCATAGGTAATAGGTAATAGAGCCTATGGAAATGTCACTATTAGAAGGGGTCTCTGTATTGAAAATGTTACTGTTGGGGGGAGGGGGAATTAAAAAAAAATCAGTGGCGACGAATGCAAGAATGAAAAGAACGAGACAAAATTGAAATTTCATTGGGGATGGGGCACAATATGAAGATCATTGAAGTCGAGGTGAGAATGATTCATTAATTGGACACTAACAATATGAAAATATCACTTGTAAAGTGGGCTAAATGATCGGTGCAATTTGTCTGATTTAAAAAATATTTAAGTTAATAAACGAACAAAAAAAAAGAGGTAAAAAATGAATTGAGTGAAATGGGGTCATTATTTTTGCCTTTTAACTGAACTGAATTTTTTTAAATGTACTTTCCATCCTAGTGACAGTGAAGTTTGTGGCCCCAACTAATTAAGTCAACCATTTAAAAGTCTTTCCCCTCCCCCCCCCCCCCCCCCCCCCCCCCCCCCCTCCTCCCCACACACACCTCCCCAACTCTGACTTTTGTTCTACATTTATATATCCGGCCCAATTAGGATTCTGTCGATATAGTAACGCATGCGCATTGTCTTTTTTTCATTGCGATAATATGCTAATAAGTGGAAAAGAGCTCATGAATATTCAAAATTTTAATTTAAATATTTTGCGCGCTGCGCGCAGTCCAAAATCCCCATTTCGCTGGTGCACTAAACACTTGTCGTCTTCATAGGCTAATACACGATAAATGGAAGCAGTGTGCACTTTTGACCCTCCAAAATTTCCCCATGGCTAGACGGATGCAGAAGCGGAGTTGAACCCCCCTGTTGTTTTTAATCAACACCCCCCTCCCCGGCCTCCTTTCCTTTGATCTGCGACTGGGCAGGCGGGGCTGCCACACCCAACCAGTTGATGATGATGGTGGTGGTGATTGTAGTATTATTCAGACGACAAAAGGAGAATGGACACAAAAGGGTAGTACGATTTGGTTATGTTTTACTTTCACTTCGTGTCGTCGTTTCAACGTTGCAAATATATAGTCTTGTATAAAGACGTTATTAGATATTCCCACATCTCCCCCCAAGCTTATTATCAACAGTTCAAGAGTTCTTATTGATTTCCAAATAGTTTCAAATCCAATAAAAATCCGAAATATAATCCTGTTTAAGAGTTCACGGATATTCTCCTTAATTGTGTTCTTCGAGTCCCGAGTCCATTCCAGTTTACTATTAAACCCAAATAAACACTGTCCAAACCTTTAAAGTCTTGTTCAGTTTCAGTAGTCTTGTATAAAGACGTTATTAGATATTCCCACAGTGATGATAATAATGATGATAATGATGGTCATGATGATCATAATACTGCTGCTGCTGATGATGATAATTGATAGGGGCCCTCTCATCTGGTGGCAGACTAGTCATAAAGAGGGCGTATCCATAAGGCCACGGGCATTTGGCGTATCAATATGGATTAGATGAAGGGGTACACTATATGGCCCAGAACCGATCGATGGCGATTGTTGTAAGGGTAAGCTTGAGCCCTGCCCACCTACCTGCCTACTATATAGCTTGTCAGCTGGAAAAAAAAATCGCCTCAAATTTCCTCTATTTTTCTCTACTTGAACATTATTTTCATTTAATGATCTTAATCCAAAACTAGTAACCAAATTAAGTTGTTAATATACTAGCGTAGGAATACGAACTCTATGTTCACCCTTTCTTATAATAGACAGCAGCTGACAGTTAAATCTTTATCAAAGTTTGAACATCCAAAAACGATTTCACTTATCGCTCATGTCAACATCGAGGGATCAAATTCAACAAATGACATTCATAATGTTCATCGAACTCTAGCTTGTTTCTTGTGTATTACCAGGCTGTAAAATATGTATGTATGTCAGCAGACGCGTACGCAAAGGGGGGGGGGGGGGTGTTTTTGGGGTTAACGCCCCCCCCCCCCTCCGGCCCCCTCTCATTTTTTTGAAGAAAAAATGAATACAATTCTTACCCCCTCCTTTTGCGTTTTGCTTTTCTGCACCGTCTACTAGTGCTGCTTTTCAGCTTGAACTTGAATAGGCCCATAGTACCATATTTTGATATACTTTGATTTATCGGCAGGTATCGATCTTCAGATTAACAAAAACAAAGAAACGGCGTTCAGCGTTTGGTATAACAACAAACTGCAATATATTTTATGATTTAGAACAACACTTCTTCTTCATTTTGACTTTTCAATCATTCATTTGGTGGTTTCTGAAGCAAGATTTTACAGTTTAGCTGAGACTGTTTTGTAGCGGTTTAGCGAAAACAAGTTGTTTACTTTATAAAAGTAAGGCTTCGAACTGTATTAAAGACGGAAGCCTTCGCACAGCATAGACCTGAATAAACTCCAAGAATACAATAGATCCTTGGTTATGCTGTCTGTTGAAATACAGGATTTAAATTGTCCAGCGTAGGTCCATCGCAAGTCCGACTGCTTCGAACTGTATTAAAGACGGAAGCCTTCGCACAGCATAGACCTGAATAAACTCAAAGAATACAATATATCCTTGGTTATGCTGTCTGTTGAAATACAGGATTTAAATTGTCCAGCGTAGGTCCATCGCAGGTCCAGTGCGTACTCGCCTCTTACTATCTTAAACTGGGATTCAATTTTGTATTTTAACAATGATGTTCTCACATGTTAAATCATTTCTTCATCATCGGACCTAATTATAATTAATAAAGCAATTGTCACATTTGGTAAGCAGCTAATCATTTGATAAAGATGAAATCGAAGAAGAAAGTGATTATATTTCTACTATCTTTCATCTTTGGGAGTGTTGTTGTGTTTAAGTTTAAGCCCTTATTGAAGGAAGAAGCGATGCATGTCCAAGACTTGACGAAGATGGAAATCAGATCTCATCGAAAAACAAATGCGGGTTAGTATGATTCTTCGGTTTGATTGAATGTTAAGTTGTTGATTGGTTGGTTACTATTGTTTGGTAAGTTGATTGGTTGGTAAATTGGTCTATGATTGATTGATTGTATGGTTGATTGAATTTTTGTTTTGACTGATTGCTTGATTTATTTATTGCACATCACTGCACATGTGATTGCTTGATTGATTAATTGATTGATCGACTGAATATTTGCTTGATTGACTGATTGAATTTGTGAATGTTTGCTTGATTGACTGATTGAATTTGTGAATGTTTGCTTGGTTGACTGATTGAATTTGTGGATATTTGCTTGATTGACTGATTGAATTTGTGAATGTTTGCTTGATTGACTGATTGAATATGTGAATGTTTGCTTGATTGACTGATTGAATTTGTGAATGTTTGCTTGATTGACTGATTGAATTTGTGAATGTTTGCTTGATTGACTGATTGAATATGTGAATGTTTGCTTGATTGACTGATTGAATTTGTGAATGTTTGCTTGATTGACTGATTGAATTTGTGAATATTTGCTTGATTGACTGATTGAATATGTGAATATTTGCTTGATGGACTGATTGAATATGTGAATGTTTGCTTGATTGACTGATTGAACTTTTGAATGTTTGCTTGATTGACTGATTGAATTTGTGAATGTTTGATTGGTTGAATGATTGAATGTTTGAATATTTGCTTGATTGACTGACTAAATTGTTGAATGTTTTCTTGATTGACTGATTGAATTTGTGAATGTTTGATTGGTTGAATGATTGAATGTTTGAATATTTGCTTGATTGACTGACTAAATTGTTTAATCTTTGCTTGATTGAATGATTGAATTTGTGAACGTTTGAATTGATTGAATGATTGAATGTTTAAATATTTGCTTGATTGACTGACTAAATTGTTGAATGTTTGCTTGATTGTCTGATTGAATTTGTGAACGTTTGAATTGATTGAATGATTGCATGTTTAAATATTTGCTTGATTGACTGACTAAATTGTTTAATCTTAGCTTGATTGAATGATTGAATTTGTGAATGTTTGATTGATTGAATGATTGTTTGATTGTTGTTTGTTTAATTGATTGATATGAGTTTTTAAATTTTGATCGATTGATTGATTGAACGACTGATTGGCTATAGTTGATTAAAATAAGTACGGAACATGCTCACACTATGATAAATTGCATTCCATTGTGCTTAACATAATTGCAAAAATAAACTTAAAATCATTTTTACTACATTATTGCTATTATCATTATTATTATAAGTAGTAGCAGTATAATTATTATTATTTTTAGTAGTAGTAGAAGTAGAAGTATAGTAGAAGTGGAAGTAGTAGCATGAAAATGATAATAATATTTAATATCATTATTGTTGGTGTTGTCGTTGTTGTTTGTATTATCATCATCATCTTTATCATTATTAATCATATTGTTATTGTTGTTTTCACTACATTAAAGATAATTGTACTTATGACTTTGCATGAACCTAACTTTGATTGAATATCGGTACAAATTCTTGCAAAGGGGAAAAATCTACTATAATATACGTCTTTTGAATTAAAATAAAATGAAATATTCCGAGGAAAAATGTAAAGCGTACTGAAATTTGAAATTTTCGATTCGTATTTGCTTAATGCATGACTTCGTTCTTTCATTATTCTATGGATCCGCTTGAGCCATAAAACAAGTTAATTCAATTCAATTCAAATTAAAAAACTTCCCACTTAAACGGTAAAACATGAAATACAACAAAGACAAATATATTATAGATCAATATTTCAAAATAGGCCTAGGCATTTGAAAGATTTAGAAACTAAATTTGCAATGCAAAGCAACCACTCGCTTTCTTCTTCTTTTCGTATTCCATTTTAATTCCTCCAATAAAATGAACATTATTTGTCCTTTATCAATTATATGATTTGGACTACGAATCTCATGATAATTGTATTTTTTTAATTGTATTATTTGCAAAATAAATTAAATGAATAAAACACCTTTTGTTAAATCCACGGCTGCTTTAAAAAAAATATCCAGATGGAATATGTATTAAAGGTTACTTAATGTAGTTCTTTGAATATCATAAATTGTCATATTTTTATCATCAGATCATGGTATTGTTATCTTGGTTACTCCCTTCTTCCCTGTCGATCGCTCCCCCCCCCCCCCTCTCATTCGAAAATGTCTGCCTTATATCTCTATTAATGTTCACCTTAAATTTACAATTCGAATAAAACAACACAAATAGGAACACGCATATAAGTGAATAAAAAGCAGAAAATGTATAAAAGAAGCAATAAATATCAAAATGTGGGATAGGGGTTAACAGAGCCAGAGGCCACTTAATAAAGAAACATAATAAATTTGGTGTAGAAAGTGTCGTTTTTAAGAAGAACACAAACCCACTGTGTTACGTTTCCCATTAACCTGTACCAATCTCAACTCAACAAAATTATAAAGAAAAGTATAAGTTAGAAAGAGTAATTTTAAAATGGGATGATGGAATAACAGAGCGTAACGGCCAGCCATTCAGGTCCAATGTAAAGATACAGGATGAAACTCAAACAATCAAACAAGTTGAAAACAGTTATTGTTCTTTCTGCTTGTACGGACAAGCAACGAAAGTAGTAAGGCAAACATTGACATTGCTGTTGTTGAATTATCTGGCACAAAAGCCAACTATATCGAGGTTTTCGAGGGTATAATACTCCGCCCGCTGGCCATGTTTTTGATTTGCATACGGAACTATAAATTATAAGGTGTCTCAAGAAGAGCGCAATACTTGAGATCTGCAATTTTAAAAACATCTTTGGCACAATAATTGACACAATAACATTTTTTTTTTTTTTGTAGAACATCATTTTCCTATAAAACAACATGCATGACATACGGATCAGGTGTGTCGAAGATAGCAGTCATATAAGAGTTCGTCAAATTACCAGGAAAAGGCTTTAACAAAATTAACGTTTAAAGGGTGCACCCTGTATGTTGTACGCCAGCATATAGAGCTACAAAAAAAAAATGTACAGTTACTAGTACGCGATCTCCACATGCAACCATCATTCTTTCACTTTTCTTAGTCAAAAAACAATTCTGATCATTAAAATAGCATAGATATTCTCATATTTGCTATTATCATTGTTATCCTTATTTCTCGTTATTATAAGCGTGTATTTTTTCTCTGTCGTCCTTCGATCATAATTATAAGATATGATATAAGCTTTGTTTGTCTTACCAAACGTGTACGATACATACAAACATAATAAACGAATATGAATAATTATCAAATACTATTATAACTATGACTTTGTGCTGTAATAGTTAAATAACAACAATTCAACCAAATTGTAGAAACATCTAATATTCAGTATTTTATTATTTTATCTATTTAATACAAATTAATCAACTTGAGTATTGAGTAGATTTGCAATATAATGGCAACTATAAACCATCTGAATAAAAATAAATAAATAAAAAAAAATCCGTATTCCATTTATCAATATGATTTATATACTCAATCATATGATTACTTTCCTATGTTCCTCTCACAGAAGGAAATAGTAGGCCTATATCTCTACCCACACAACATGGAGAATCACGATACGGTGACGTGGTTCATGGACAAGTAAGTCGTTTTGAGATAAGATTTATAATAATTTGACATCATAGACAGTAGTGGCATAGCGAACCGGGGGGCGTTTCACAAAACTTATCATCAGTGACAAACGACAATTTGTATTATAAGCTACTGAAATCCTTGCTTCTGATTGGTTATCAGCAGATTTATCACTGATTTTTGATATTTTGTCATTGAAAAAAGGCTTTGAGAGACCCCCCCCCCCCCAGGACTAAGGGTAAGCGGACACTTTTTTTTTTTGGAGTCCAAAAAAAATCGCAACGACTAAGCCAGCCGCTGAATAAGCGGGGGGTGGGGGGAAGAGGACACTTTTTTTTTTTTTTTTTTTTTTTTTTTTTTTTTTTTTTTGGGGGGGGGGGGGGGGGGGGGGTCTCCAAATTTGAAAATTTGACATTTTTCTTCGTTGGTGGGGGGGGGGGAGTAAGGTTACCTTTTTTAGGTCAGCCATGTGCATAATTTTTTTTTTTTTTTTTGTTATAATTAAAAAAAAAAAAAAAAAAAAAAAACCCAAAAGGGGGGGGGGGGTTGGGTTTTATTAGGGGGGTTTACACACATAAAAATACCAAAAGGGGGGGGGTTCAACCCCCCCCCCCCCCCCCCCTGCGTACGCGCCTGGCTACATAAATAGCCTTTGTTTCTCCTTTTCAAAGCATACGTCCACCTGTGTATGTACCATGGAGTGCACCGCTTGTGCATAAAATTGAATAATGATTACATAACTTTCATGAGCACGCATCCAGTATTTTGTCTCCGTGTATTTCACAGTTCGGTCTGTAATGACCTTTATCTGCTCATGCTCAGACTGCAACTATCACCTGGCTAGCTAAAGACCAGCTTTACTAACATATTTAAATTGTATGCAAATTGTTCAAAATAAGGTTGTTCTTGACAACCGTAAAGCTTGCCCGGAGCTTACCCGACATAGCAACAAGTAATGTATGCAGACTGGTAGTTCATTCATTAATAACAGTTTAATAGAATAACTCGCCACTATGTCCCTATACTATAGGAAAGAGACACCCATAACTTTGAATGTGACAGTAAGCCGGTCTATTGAAAGGAGAAAAGGAAAATAAAGGAAATTGAGTACATGAGTGAAAAGGGGATAGGAGGAATAAAAATGAAACGTGAAAAGAAAATTCAAGAATCCCCTCCCTCTCCAATAAAGGGCAATTTTTTTCTTTCTTCCATCCACCAATATGTTAGAACGATGACCCCTATCATAATGCCGATGTATACCTGTAAAATGTAACCGTGTTTGTGCAGTGAGTTCATTGTTTTTACTAGCTGATGTGTGCAATTATGTATCAATATAGAAAACACACAGGATACCATACAATTGAAAATATATTCCGCCGCCCCCCCCCCCACCCCCAAAGGCATACATAATTGATTCTGAATATGATGATGTGCATTTTGCTCAATTTCGTGAAGCTGATATAATGTTTGTCTATTTCAGGATCACATAATTATATACAACAGCGTACCAAAATGTGGTAGTCGGACGTTCGGAGATACAAGCCGAAAGATCTTCAACAATCGCTCCATTAAATATAATCGCTACAGTCTAAGGAACGAAAATAGACCCAAACGTGTAAGTCTTTTTCTCATTTAACTTAGAAATAATAATAATCAATAAATAAAAGAAATATATCATTCATTTCTTTGACGCGGAATAAAAGTGTGAAATACCAAAAAAATGTTGATTTGGCTGATTTACATAAACTATCTTCAAAAGTAAGACGTTTATTACTTTCGATTTAATTTCACTACAAGGGAAGTCAACCTTGGTTTTAATAAAAGCAGAAAATGGGAGAAACAAATAAGTGAAAGTTTGAGCAATATACGATTGGAAATAGGAAAGTTATAATTGTTTGAAGTTGTCATCAGTAAAACACAAACGGGCAACACTCACTGAGCTCCTTTTTCTAATTTGCTCTATACAGATATTATATTACCTTAGTTATAGATGACGAAATAGATTTATTTTATGCATAGGTTGTATACAAACTTATTTGCAATAATTATATTTAGGGGGGATTGTATGATTTCTTAAAGTGACTCGGTAACATTGTTGAAGATTGATGGAACAATTGCTTAATTTTTGTATAAAATGTTACTTATTATATTCCTCCTACTGTACTAACCCTCTGACATGCAAAAAATCTTGAAAAAAAATCTCAAACCACGAAGATATATGGTTTTCTTTGAAGACGTCACTGTTCAGCACCCTCTAACAGTGTTTAACACTAAATTTTCCCAACCATTTTTGAATTTTCCCAACCGTTTTTGAATAATAAAAAAGACATAAAACAGGCTATTAAAAATCTTTCCAACACTTAAAAGTCTGGAATGGTATGGAGAGCCAATTTATTGCTTTAAGACGATTTAAATTCACATAAAATGTAAATAAATTGTTCAAATATAGTTGGGAGAATTAAGGAATCGATCAGATCAGTTTTTCCCAATTTGTATCATTAATAATGGTCCGTTTTCACTGAAATGTTCAGATTATCTTTAATTGTACATCTAGCATTAAAGTCACTACCTTAACACCACTTTTTCCCATCTCAATAATGTTACCAAGTCCCTTTAAGGAAAAATTAAGATTTTTGAAAGTTTCTTTTTTCTTCTTCTCTCTCCCATGCAGGAAAAAAGACGAAGTATCGGCGAGATAAGGCGTCTGATCAAGGGTGTCAAGAGGCCTGCTTATGTTCAGGGTCATGGTTTCTTTCTGCCATTTCATCATCAGTTACATAAGTAAGTCATAAAATTAAAGCCACCCTCCCCCCCCCCCCCCCCCCCCCCCCCCCCCCCCCCCCCTCCCGTCCCCATCCGCGCATCATGCCATAAAACTATGTCACAATTTAAATTAATTGATAACTGAATATATTTTTATTTATTACCAGGTAAATAATACTTCGTTTAGGCGTACGAGCACAATTATTTTTTTTTTTTTTTGGGGGGGGGGGGCGAATTTTCTTGCCCGCATATAAACTTCCAACTTTATAAACTAAATTAATCCGCGCTTCTCGATGAAATATGTGCCTTGTCGTATAACTGATTTCATGGTTTGCGATGTCCATTCTGTGCCAACAAAAATGAGGTCCATCAAACTGCCTGAAAACGAGGCAGGGGTAACCGAATATTGAGATTGGCAAAAATATTATAAAATTATTCTCGGAGCGGTGGGCTGCATGCATTATATTATGATTAAGTTGAGAATTCGTTAATTCATTTTCATTCGATTTAATTTGTTTTCGTTTGACTTATTTTTGCAGTCCGCAACCTGTTTATATCAATTTCATACGAGACCCTGTTTCACGTATGGTTTCTGCGTTCTACTTCAATCGTTTTGGAGATGGATTTCTAGAACGAGGAATGCTAAGCGAAAAGCGAAACAATATGGTAAGTTTATAACTTATCGGCTGCCGGCAAGTGATAATGCCATAAAGCATAATTACCCGCATCCGAAGCCTATATTTAAAAAGATTGACTATAATATGAGACCTGGGGGCGTTTCACAAAAGTTGTCATAAGCTACTGAAATCCTTGCTTCTGATTGGTTATCAACAGATTTGTCACTGATTTTCGTCATTTGTCATTGAAAATAAGAATTATTAAATGGGTCCCTGGTTTAATTCAATACTTGTTTTTTTATGTATTGAGCAAAGTTTCAAACCTCTTCAACGAATTACTGGACTTTCCCCATTTTTTAAACATTACGAAAAATGAAAATCATGGAATTTCATAAGCAGATGATCCAAGATGAATATTATGGATCATGGCCAAACAGAGGATTTTTTTCTGTTGGGGACCGCGGGAAAATGCAATGAATTATTGATAATTTATTGCATTTTCTTTGGGTTTTTAATTTGTGGGGGCTGCCCCCTACCCTAGCCCCCGCTGCGTACAGTTATGATTCAGTGGCAAAGCAATGGCCTCGTAACTGTGAGGCCCCAGGATCAATACTGTGTCGATATGCTATATAAGTGCCCTTTTGTGGGGCATTAATCCTCATTACTGTCATTTATGACTTAAGGGCGTAGGTCCCCTAGTTGATAAACATAGTATCATACACATGCTTTAGCAGTCACGCAAAACAAACACTCGCCACTTGTTATTCAATAAAATATGAGAATGTATACTATTATCTAGATCTATTAGGAATAAATCAATGTCAAAATCATTTAATTTTTTTTGGTTATTTTATTCGGTCAAAAATTCTCAAACATAATACCAATTAAAATGAAACACATGTATTTCAAATATATGATTATTATAATACAAAATGATGACAGATCCACCCTTTATGACCAATAGTGTATGATAATAATGTAAAACACTTTAGAGACACGTTATGAAAACCCAGATTATTATTATTTTTTGAATTATTGTCATTATTATTATTGTAGTTATTATTATCATTAGCAATATTATTACTATTTAATGTTTTATTATCAATATAAGTAATATTATATACCTCACTTAAGAAATCCAGCCATCTGATTGGTCGAATTGCATTCATAAACTTCAACTGTTCCTGTAAAATTCCCGGTAACCATGCATAAAACATTTCAATATTTTTAATAACCATGGTTATTAAAAAAATAGGTCAGTCTCCATGGTTACCCCATAGGTTTACATGTTAAAAAATGGTTTGAGCGATGGAGGATACCATACGTGTGCGAAAAATTGGTCGGCAATTTCAATACAATTGAATCTCGATCGATCTTACCGACAATTTTATCTTGCATTGTTGACATGAAGACGAAAATTAACTCTCAAAAACAAAAAAACAACATCTGCCGATAGATCTTGATCTAAGTTCGTGCCAATATGCATTGCAAAAGTAAAAGAAGAGTCCGTATATGGAGCTTTTGCGAAGCATTCATCACACGCGAAGCCGGTTTCAATCCATTTTAATGTATATATTGTACAAAACTGCCATGCAAGTTAATAACGCGCGATGGCCGAGAGGTCTGAGGCGCTGCCTTTAAATAAATCACCTTTTGTACGCAAGAGTTCGAATCTCATCTTCGACCAAAAAAAAAAAAGTATTTTTTATTTTTTATTTTTTAGTCTATTTTTTTTCGGCATATAAAAGTATTAATGACTGCTTTAATATTCGAGAAATAGTTGTTTTCATACGCTCTCGGGAAGGTTACAATTGGGCTATTCCCCTCGGCAAGCCTCGGGGAATAGCACAATTCTAACCTTCCCTTGAGCGTAATAAAACAACTATTTCTCTCAAAGCAGTCATTAATACTATATTATTCTTATCATTATAGTATTAGTAACTATAATTATAATTATGATTTGTATTATCATCATTATCGTTATCAATATCTTTATAATGTTATTATTAATATCAATATTATTATTCTTATCATTTTTATCAAAATCTTTATTGGTATTTATTATCATTATTATTATCATTATGATTATTATTAATATTAGCATCATAACAATAGTACCGGTGCCTCTGCGGTCCAACCTGATATTGCTGATGCCCCTCGATGATTGGACCCATACTACGTCACTGGTCTGAGTCATCATTATCTCCCCCTTTCGAAGTATTATTATTATTATTTTTTGTTTACATCTGCCTCTCTCGACCCATGGTTGTGAAGGAAGTGGGTGTCTGGTATGCGCCATTCATTGAATACACTGAGTGCTATGATTCCCGGAGCTAAACTTAATTGAGTTCTGGTAAGAAAAAAGAAAATGAATTCTCTCAGAATCAAACAAAACTTACACTGAATGTTCAAGATTACAAATAAATATCATTTGCTAAACAATTTACAATAAAATATACTGGCTGAGTAATGAGCATATTGAAAGATAAGGAAATCAAAGTTAGTAGCCCCGACACCATTTGTGTAGTCCCATACACATCTTTCTGCATGTGTGTACAGTGCTTGTTGCTTTACCATGACTGGGCCAAATTTATTATGATTTTGATGACTCCAGACCCTTGCAGTACACACCATTACTTACATGCTACGTGATCAACTTGTTCTGATCCATTTCACACCTTTTATTTCACAATGCAATCGCATGACCAGAACTCACCTTTATCTTAAAGCGGAGGTAATAATATTCAAGTTCCCTTGGAAGTGACACAAACACGTTATGTGCCGTAATACATTTCTAAATAATATTATCATTAATTTAAATGTTCAAATCATTTCTGTTTTATCTCGTTTTCACATAAGTCTATCGAAGAGTGCATTCTAGACGGACATAACGAGTGTACCAACGCGGGCATGTATCCGCAAATTTTCTGCGGTTTTAATCCAAGATGCGGGTGAGTATAATTTTATCTGTATTCTGAGATTATGATGATTTAAAATGCGTTTTTTCGCCATGATAGTTAATGTTGACTGGTCACTTTTTAAACAAACATTAAAATGGAACATGGACAGCAATGTCGTGTTGTCGCCCAATTCCCTCGGTAGTGTGGAGAAAGTATAAATGCGGTCCTTGATTTTTTTATTTTTTTATTTGTTTCTAAAAAGAATAGAATCTTTTTGATTGAAGGTCCGAAAGATACAAAATTTCTCTATAATTATGACAAAAATTGTTTTTCCTCACAAAAAACAAAGTTTAGAGAATCTAGCCAGGCCCCCTTCCCGCCTCATTCGGCTGAGGAAGGGGTAAGGGGAGGAAAAGTAGAAGGGGTGGGGAGACAGTGTCGTACGCAGGATTTTTTCAAGGGGGGGGGGGGGGTTAACATTTTGAAATCGGGCCAAAAAATTTCGCAACGACTCAGCCCACCGCTGAATAAGCGGGGGGGGGGGGGGGGGGGTAAGAGGGCACTTTTTTTTGGTCCCAAAAAAAAATCGCAACGACTCAGCCAGCCGCTGAATAAGCGGGGGGGGGGGGGGGGGTAAGAGGACACTTTTTTTTAAAGCTAAAAATTACACACATAATACACACATAAAAAAAAACTGAAGGGTGGGTTTAACCCCCCCCCCCCCCCCCCCCCTGCGTACGCGCCTATGGGGAGAGTGATAGATGAATAGGTAAAGGGGGAGCGATTTTCATTTATTAACAGAAGAGGACAATGAAAATGAAAACCAAATTATGCTCTTCTCGTGCATATTTCAGGAGCTGTATGTAAATTTGAATACACCCCTTCCCGTCTCTTCTTTTCGCTCTCTCTCTCTCTCTCTCTCTCTCTCTCTCTAACTCTCCTCTGTATTTTCTTTTTAATAACAGGAAAAACACTACGTGGGCTTTGGAGCAGGCCAAGTCAAACATTGATAAATACTATACTTTCATCGGTATCACCGAAGAGTATGAAGCATCTCTGAGAGTCTTAGAACATCTCATGCCAGACATATACAATGGTACGACGGAGCTATACCTTTCATTTCTGAACGAAGGTAAGTCAAATATACGATTCCTTCATACTGGCATGGCCTGAACGCGATAAAACTATTGTTTATCTTATTTTGTATATATATATTTTAAAGTTCGTCCGAAATTTAGAGGTAAAAGCAAAAACAAAAACAAAGTGAATTTAACCAAGTGGCAATTGGGTGGAGAACTGTCTTCAATAAAACCAACGCTAGGGAGCAGATTTTGTACAATTCATGACGGAAAAGTTTCATTTTGTTGACGATTAGGTCCCTCGAAGAGGACCTAAGGCCGTTGGTCCTCTGGTTACTATATATAACAAGCATTTTATGCTTCCTTAGCAGTCAAGTAAAATAACCACCACTACTACTATCAGTTTTTTTTAAAAAATCTGTCTTCCGTTTCTCTTTATTCTACAGAAACCAGCAGAGTTCATTCAACCAAAACGAAAAATAAGCAGCCCCTATCTCAGGAGCTTAATGACACCGTCACAAAACTGTTTGCTGTCGACTACGAGCTCTATAATTACATCTATGACAAACATCGAAAGCTAAAAGCACGATTCGGAATCGACTAAGCCAGTGCGTACTGCCAGACCTCGCTATCAAGCTCCTGAGAATGCTAATCAACTCATTGCACACTATACCAGTAAAGGTTCAAGAGGTTTTTTTAAGGGGGGTGTTAAGCCCACCCAATTGTTTTCAAGACAACCCCCCCCCCCCCAAAAAAAAGGGGAAAAAAGAAAAGGGATTCACATGGAAAAAAAATTGAATGCAAGAACCCCACGCCCCCCCCCCCCACCCAATTATATATACTATTTATAATCTATGGAACTATTTCTGCATGCAGTATGCCAACCTACTTTAATATATTGTAAATGAGTGCTTTTGCTGTGTCTGTGTTGTACAAAACCTACTAGAGCCCGACGTTGCTTCAGTGATGAGTGATCTGTGCTCTTGTCGTATACGTTTGAAATTGTCTTTGTACTTTTCATCAAAATGAAGAAAAAACTGTCATATCGTTTCGAAATCCCTTTTTGCAATTTAAAAACACTGATTGATGATGATTACTTCAAGCCACTGCAATGTGTCTTGAATTGTCGAGAATAAAACGCCCTGGAAAATCTCTTTTTTTTTTAAAAAAACGTTTATATGACTCTTAATTTACAGCGCTTCAACAGTTGCAAAAACTATTCCAAAATAATTAAATTTGGAACTTGTCATATCTTTGAAACGCTTGTAGAGTCTCTTCTTACAAAATGAGTCCGGCTATACCAATATCCGAGTATAAAGCAAAAGCCATTTGAGTTGTGAAAAGGTGCAAAATCGATCAATTCTAACTTAAAGTAAAATTATGTTGGCTGGTATTAGCAAACTTGAGAGATGTGAACACGATATGGTAAAAAGGATTATAAAGTTTTGTATTCTGATCATTTAAAGAAGTATTTATTAAATATGTAGCTGTATATCTTTACATATGCAATCAACATTAAATGCTCGAGTGAACAATAAACTACTTTATTGAGTGATTTGTAAGATTGGTATTACGTCTCTAACTTTATATCTCCGTCTCTCACTCTATAAAGAGAGAGAAAAGGGTGGTAAGGGAGGGAGGTAGGAAGATAAGAGGGAGAGACATATACATATTTATATATCATAGAGAGAGAGAGAGGGAGAGATGGAGAGAGAGATAGGGAGAGAGAGATATAGAGAGAGAGAGAGAGAGAGAGAGAGAGAGAGAGAGAGAGAGAGAGAGAGAGAGAGAGAGAGAGAGAGAGAGAGAGAGAGAGAGAGAATGGTGGGGGATTCAGATTATAGCCCCACGCGACACAACCCCTCCCCAATAACGTCCAAACAAAAAGGATACCTGCCCTATATGGCTATAAAACAAAGGCACACGCATCTGCTTATAGTTCATTTGTCAAATATATTGAATTGAACTAAATGGCTTATTGAAAATACTGAGCATGCAGGGGCAGTACGAACGAAGGCTGAATTTATTATGTTCAGCTTACAATAACTAGCTTACACATTATTGTCATTATTATTAAGTATTTCGTGTCACCTGTGGATGGGAGGCGAAAAGCGAACTGAATCAATAATTATTATATGATTATGCACAATATGCAATTTATAAAAGATTGTTAAGGGTTCTGTTTATTACCCACAAACTTTGTTTTTTAATTCAAGTCGTTGCTAAGATTATTTTTAAGATATGAATGTGTTAGCAAAGGAAACAATACAGCTGGAAGAAATGTTGATTATACTTTAATTTTTATGCTTCACTCATTCATTGAGTCATTAATGTAAATATGTATTGAATTTATGAAAATAAAAACCTCGCTTGAGGATATAATAAGAGAAAAAAATATGTAATTATGTCAGCCTTGGGCCTCTCCTCGCCCAGTAAAATTGATCATGGGAATGTGTAGGTGGGCCTGCACACTGCACATTTCCCATTTTATAAGAAGGCTGCATGGGTTTCTAACGTGGAAAAGTGGTGGCTCTTCTCGGGGCCTTCATTTTAATGTCCTATCCGAGCGATAGCAATGTTTAAACAATATCGAATGCGAGAATACATTCAAAGATAAAGTTACTAAGATATGATATTATGAAAACTGTGAAATTATTATTAATCTCAGTGATATCAGTATATTGACCCGATTTAGTGACCCCCTCTTTCTTCTTCTTCTTCTAAATAGACTTGCAATGGTTAAAGAAAAAAATAAGCTATTTATATGTATAATTATTATGTGCCAGGTATTCTGTAACAAAAATCAATTATATTAAACCGTTCTCCTCGGTAATTGACTCGGGACTTGGTCAATCGTCATTACCATTGTCATTTTATAGATTTGTGATCTCACTGATACATTATGGCAAGGCTAGGCGCCCGGCTGTTGCCCCCCCCCCAGTAGTTTATAACACCCTTTTTGTACTTTACCCCCCCCCCCCCCCCCCCCCCCCACAAAAAAAAAAAAAAAAAAAAAAACGAGTTGTGGCCTAATGTTTGTTTCTTCTTCTATAATTTAAATCATTAATTCATTCGATTATTTTCCCCTCCCTTAATTCCTCTTCTTTGTTAATATATGCCTACTGGATACGCCTGATTGGTGCTTATGATACGTGGCGTTTGGCGTTTGGGGGCTATATACCGCGAACGGTACGTGTGTAAATAATTGAGTAAATATAGGCCTATATATTTGGGCCATAATATGCTCATTGTATGATCGATATTTGCCATAGGAGAAATAAAAAGATCAATATAATATATTATGCTCCATTACGTGTATTCAGAGATCATTTATTTTTTATTATTATCTATTTCGTGGATAATTTTTTATGAAAAATTTCAGCTGAGCTACAGAATCTCATCGAGGCAAATTAAAAAAATAAAAAATCGAGGATATCTATGGCTTTCCATACTCTGCCAAGGCTCTTCTTGATACACCGAGGTCCGCTCTTGAATTGAGGTGAGTTTAGGCTTAGCTTATTCATTTCTAGGTATAATTTGCGTTTTTTGGTGAAGCTGATCGTTTTTATCTCAGTATAGAATGGGATTTTGTAAGTGATAAATTGATGCATTTGCAGAATAAACACTGACAAGATCTGACTTTGCTACTCTATAGACAGCTCAGCTCAGCACTCGCGCAGTGCAACTGCACTGCCTCTGCTCTGGTAGTCAATCGATTCGTGGCAATATTGGCATTGCATTTCCATTGCATTGTTGACATTGTCTAGATTGGCGCTACGCTATTAATTTAAAGCTACGATGCATGTGGATCCTCTTGTCGTGTGATACATGGGTCCTGTGTCGATCCCGGGGGGGGGGGGGGATTGGGGGATAATTAATTAATGATATAGCCCGATGAGAGTAGTTATAATGGTTATTACTCGCAAGATGACCATCAATATACACATTTTGCTTTCTCATTTTCATAATAACATAATAATAGACTTCGAAGTGAATGAGACGACCGTACATGATTATGAGACAAGAATAGATCTAAATTGAATTCTCGCTCATACGGCTTCATTAGGAATTGATGATTTTATTCAATTTATTCAATCAACAGCATCATATAAATGCAGTGCGCCAAATGCAAAACCGCAGCAACGAGCTTAGTAAATGTTAAGCGCGAAGCGCAAAAGTGCTAAAAAGAAGAAGAGAGTGGGAGAGAGCGATAATGAGAGACAGAGAGGATACAGGCGCCTAGCCAGAGGTGGTGGAGGTGGTCGCCCCCCCCCCCCCCAAAAAAAAAAAGAGAAAGAAGAAAGGAAGAGGACGTAGGAAGAAAAAGGATTTAGAGTCGAGAACGGTACAACGAATCGTCTTCCTTTCTCTAATAATTTAATGAAATGTCAAAGCTTCCGCGCTTCGCGCGAAAAAGGGGGGGGGGGGACTGAATTCAGCAAGGTATAAGAGTCGAGAATGGTACAACGAATCGTCTTCTTTCTCTAATAATTTAATGAAACGTCAAAGCTTCCACGCCTTGCACGGGAGGGAGGGAGGGAACTGAATTCAGACAAGGATTAAGAGTCGAGAATGATACAACGAATCGTCTTCTTTTTCTAATAATTTAATGAAACATCAAAGCTTCCGCGCTTCGCGTGGGAAGGGGGGGGGGACTGAATTCAGCAAGGATTAAGAGTTGAGAATGGTACAACGAATCGTCTTCTTTCTCTAATAATTTAATGAAACGTCAAAGCTTCCGCGCCTCACGCGGGAGGGAGGAACTGAATTCAGACAAGGATAAAGAGTCGAGAGTAGTACAATGAATCGTCTTCTTTCTTTAATAATTTAATGAAACATCAAAATACAGGCCCCGCTGCTGTGTTGAAGTGCGCGCGATGCTGTAGCGCAGGGCCTCGATAACGAGTATAGAAGTATAGTCGTGATACAGGCCCCGCTGCTATGTTGAAGTGCGCGCAATGCCGTTGCGCGAGGCCTCGATCACGAGTATATATAGTGAGTTGGCTGAAGTTATAATCAATTCAAAACAGTTGCGGGGCCTATATCACGAGTATGCCGAATTCTTAAATAAAACTGACCTGAGTTTGTCAACCTTACCCGACATGATACTGACAGATGCCTTTGCATTGGTAACCCTTTCTCACTCACACTTAGCTCCAGAGTCCAGGGCCCGTTTTTGAAAATGATTCAAACAGCGGACTGGGTCACATTTTTTCGTAATAGAAGGATATTAATTATAATTTTGACTTACAATGTTTTTTGACTCCTCTTGGCATCTTTCCAACCACTTGAAATTAGGAGGAGAAGGAGGAGGAGGGGGAGGTGGTGGTGGTGGTGGTGGTGGTGGTGGTGGTGGTGGTGGTGGTGGTGGTGGTGGTGGTGGAGGTAAGGGAGGAGGAGGAGGAGGAGGAGGAGGAGGAGGAGGAGGAGGGGAGGGGGGGGGGGGGGGAGAGGAGAGGGGGGAGGAGGAGGAGGAGGAGGAGTTTTCCTAGATTTAGTTAAAATTTCATGTTTTTCTTCCACTTTATCCTAAAATCTAAATCATCATCTTTTTCAGACTAATTTTATCTGATCAAGTTACACATCATCTTTGTCACTGGGACGCCAGAGAAATCATCATGTTGGACTTTGCAATCTTTGCTGTGACTTTCATAATTCTTCTAGTTGGTTTGCTCATCTACATATATCCTGTAAGTAGTCTCATCACCTTTGTAAGCCTTTGCTTGTACACTGGTCTATTGTAAACTTCTTCTATGATGGTATAGGCCCTATGATTTGATTAAAATACTTAACCTGGCAGCCCGTATGCTGAATTACATTCAGTTTACAAGATAAAAACAACTTCACCTGGACACCAATGGTGTAATAATTATCATACAATGAGAAAACGTACAACAAACAAAAAAAACTAACAAAAAAATCACCCCCGTAAAAAAAAAAAATCAAAAATCAGAAATCAAAAATCAAAAATAGAACAATACCGTAAAGCAATCAAAGTAATTAAGTAACTTCCAAGCATCAACTATGACTCCGTTTTAATGTAACATGGGGGAATGGATATTGGATACTATGTAAATTACTTGAAGAGTATTATTTTGTTTCAACAAGAAAAGAAAGGAAGGAAAAGAAAAAAAGTTTAGCATATAATTCCTGAGAGTCAGGGAGGAAGTTCAAGGTATTTTTTAAATTAGTTATTTCTATTTAAACAAAAATTGTTGTAATATTTGATCTTACAGACAACTCCTCAAAAGACTACAACTGTACCTGGGCTTGAACCATCAGACCCGGTGTGAGTATATATCGTAGATAGTTTGTCCCTTATGCAGACCTAACAACCTGCATTTCCATGAATCCAGTCGTATTGAACAGGTCTTCTGTTAGGTTTGAGATTGAAATTCCTAGATTTGCATTTTTGTATAAACTTGGAGCGGATAATCGGATCGGGCTGATCATTGGCTGATCGCCGGTCAATGAAAATGATCGGGAAATCATCAGAAGAGAAAAAAAAGCCGAAATTTGTCAAGTTTTGGGCTATCAAATACTAACAAAAATGCATAGCTGAGTTGTTGTAGACCATGTTTGTTAATATTAAGTGCCTTTACATGACTGAGAAATCAATTATACTAGTCTAAGAGAAGAGGCAAAACATGCGAGCCGCCATTTTGGATTATAATGTAGGCACACCTTTTTTCCTCTGCCATTTTTTTACTCCAATTCTGTTTTCCCTAACAGGAAGGGCAACCTAGATGAGATCGGTGATGCTGGGAGCCTGCATCAGTTCCTGACGAAGCTTCACGCAGAGCATGGAGACATTGCGTCGTTTTATTTCACCGATCAGCTGTGCGTCAGCATAACGTCTCCAGAGCTGTTCAAAGAACACCAGGCAGTCTTCAACAGGCCTGGTAAGTCACAAGTTTTCAATCCAGATAACTTTTCAATGGTAAAGATCAGTTTTGGAAACGCCCCCCTCTCAAAAAATGTAATGGAAGCTCTTATTACCAATCATGTGAAAGAATATGTTTTGACTAATACGTGATGATACAAATATTGCCAAGAAACCACCTACTAATTGATATATTTGGTAAATTATTATATATATTTGGACCTGATAGATATCGCGCATGACTCGTTATTCACTCGTTTTCAATACAGAAAACTGTTTAATGGTGTCTTCACCTATTTATATCACATCAAAACAGGACTCGTTATTCACTCGTTTTCAATGTAGAAAACTTTTTAATGGTGTCTTCAACTTTTTATATCATATCATATTTTTATATTTCTGTCTGAGAGACATCAATGCTGAATATACATGTAGACTGCACAGTACATCAAGCAAAGTCAAATTGATTTGTAGTTTAATTTGTCTTGCATATTTGTAGGAATGTTAAGATGGAGGAGGGAGCTCTTTGTTATTTGATACTCTATTTTCATGCTAAGAATTTAATCTTTTTGATATAAAGTTGTTTTTTTTAAATTCATTGAAAAATAAACTCTGAGACGCATTGTACAGACCAAGTTTGAATGTACCTCAGGGTGCCGTAAGATAAATGTTCGTTACCCGACATTGCTTTTGAGCAGATGGGACTGGGCCGGGCTACCTTTTGATGTGAAAAGAGAAGTTTCAGAGTTCCGTTAGGGGGAGGGGGAGCTAGGGCATGGATTGTCAAATTAACAGTGTACATTCAATTTTTCATGTATACACAAGTTTTATTATCATATAACAATAATAAGCGAGTTTGTAAATAGCTCTGGACCGCATGACCCCAAAATATCCACAGATCTTAGACACGATGGATACATCCCACTTGTGCATTTTAGAATAATCACTGCCAAAGTGATGGAGGTGCTTCATGAATACCTTTTGTTTGCCTCTTGAGAAGAATACTTCCACCTGTGTATCAGATAAATGTACTGTTGGTGCATAAATGAATACTGATTACATAACTTTCATGAGCATGATCCGAGTATTTGTCTCAATGATCTTACAATTTGGGTACGAATGACCTTTATCTGCCCATGCGCAAATCCTAATTACGAACTCGCTTATTAACGTGACATCCTACATACAAACCAAGTGTTGTCGAATGCACCGTGCAGGGCGCATCATTAGGCTTTTTACACATTCTTCACTTTACTAAACTATATTTCCCCGAATGTATCTTACTGTTCTACAAAATATTTGTTTTTCCTGAGAGCCCTATTTCAGTTACTCTGCAACAAGTACACTTGTAGGTCCAGGGTTTAAAAAAACAGAGATAAAAGCCAAAGAGCAAAAACTCTGGAAAACCTTCAGATCCACTTTTGCAAAATATACATTACACAAACCTTACACAGATAACACACAAAGTGATGAAGGCGCAAGCTAGAATGACTCCACAAACCACTACTAGGGACTTTTAGATTCTGCACGACGAGAACGTGGACTGCCCTTTTAAGGCAATGTGACGTCCTTTTAAGGCACTGACAGTGACGTCACATTGCCTTAAAAGGGCAGTCCACATTCTCGTCGTGCAGAATCTAAAAGTCCCTATTACCACATCATATAACTCATACTCCATTCCTAATCATATGCGTAATTACTACTTTCTCTTAGACAGCAACCCTTATCAAACATAAGTATGTAAAAATTAACAAAAGATAAACAACATTTGCCCGCTATACAATCCTATCAAAGGCAACATATATTTTCATGTGTGTGTATTTCAAATTCAAATTTCAAATTTCATATTTATTCATGTTTCCAACAAAACATTACAAATCAATTATAAGCATTTAAAACAAATTTAAGAAATGCATGTTGGAAACAGAGGGGTCCACTAAACAGCAATGCTTGTACAAGTGTGAACACCTCAAATGAAACTTAGGAATAATGAGTAATTAAATTAACTAATCTGTAACTACAAAAGGAACTACAAAATAGGGGAAAGAAAAAGGGGGATGCCAACAGAGACAAGAAAGGGACAAGACAATACTTTACACGACAAAGATAGATGAACATGGTCATAATACAAAGATTAGACAATGACAAAAGAAGTGAGAGATCGAGGGTACAGAAAATAATACTAAATGATGAGCGGCATGTGGGGTTGAGAAGAAGATAAGGAAAGAGAAATGCACGTTAGATAGGAAATAAGCATGAGAAGGAACAATATAATATATCAAATTACTTCTTTTGGAACCTACAGCCCTCTTATTCAAGCTGTTTGAACCGTTGATTACACCTGACAGCATCCAGTATGCAAACGGGGGTGATGGTAGGAAGAGACGAGACTTAACCGACAGATGTTTTGGATTCCAAGCACTCCAGAACTTCATTGGGGTCTTCAACAAGGTAGGATGATGTGGTGTAGAGGTGTCCGGGGGAGTGTTTCACAAAACTTGTCATCAGTAACAAATGACAGTTTTTGTTATAAGCTACTGAAATCCTTGCTTCTGATTGGTTATCAGCAGATTTGTCACTGATTTTTGTCATTGAAAAAAGGCTTTGTGAAACGGGTCCCTGGGGAGTGTTTCACAAAGACTAATATTGACTTTAAGTTGGATTTAACTATGGCAGGCCGTTCATGCCACTGTTTACTCTTACCATTATGATCTTTAGATAATATTTTATCAAAAAATGTAAATGCTGTAGATTTATGACCATGATTTGTATGTCCCTTGAGAGACCAATGTCACTCATTATTGTCAGTAAATGGTGAGAGCAAACAGTGGCATGAATGGCCTGCCACAGCTAAAGGTAAAGACCAGTATTGGAAACACCCCGGCCCAATATCAAAAAATGAAATGGAAGCTCTTATTACCAATCATGTGGAAGAATATGTTTTGAATAATACATGATGATAAAAATGTTGACGGGAAACCGCCTACTAATTGATATATTTGGTAAATTAGTGTATCTCTTGCCTTTTGAGAGATACAAATCCACGTGTCGCGCACGTGTGTAGTCCCTTATACATCTTTCTGTGTACAGTGATTCTAACTTTATGAAGACTTGGCCAAATTTCTTATCATTTTGATGATTCCAGAACCTTGCAGTGCATCTATGCTAGATGATCAACCTTTTCTGATCGATTCCACAATGTTTCTTTCACAATGCAATCGCATGACCATAACTGGTCTTTAGCTTTAAGTCCAACTTGAGGTAGATATTAGTCTTTGTAAAACACTCCCCAGGGCTAGTGGATACTTCATCGGGCTGTGAATCACATGGTTCGTGGTTCAAGTCCTGCTCTGACACTAATCCCGGTGTGGCAATAATGTCTTCCAGATGACAAGATATTAATCTACATTTGCCAGTCTCCAGCCAGGTGTAGTAAATGGGTAGGAAGAAATTCCTTGAATGCTTGAGTGCCTTATCATGGTAGCTCGGCTAAAGCCGTAGTAATAATAGGATTAGAGGGCCCTCGGGAGCATGAATGAAATGGCATGATGGCAATCGCAAAAATGGCGACCTTTGGCGATCGAAAAACTTAAAATGTCCAAAAGTGAGTTAAATCTTGTTTACCATATCCTATTTGACATTTTTGACAGATCACAGAGCAATTGGTGAAGAAGATTTCAGCCCTTCCGCCCGGAGAGCACATTTCTCTGCATGGCACCGGTCTTGGTCTTGCGATCAAGGGGATCATGTTGACCTCTTTTGGGGACTATTTCCAGGATGACAAGAGCATTACCAGTTTCAGGAAAGACTACGACTTTGTGAGTATCCTAAAAGAAGAACAAAACGGCTGCTTGTAAATGTAATGCTTCCTGGGAGAAATTTCAATTATTTAAACATATTTTGTGGCTTACACCCAGGAAGAGTCGCTGCCCAGCAAGCAGTAGATGTGCAGGTTCAATTCCCGCTGGTTCCAAGATTTTTTCTGACTTGTTTTTCAATACAGATCGATCACTTGATCTTATTTACTGGATGTAAGCCACAAAATATGTTTAAATAGATAAGTCTCCGGACTGTAAATAGTGCTGTGACTGTGTACACGCACGAACCACCACTACACATGTAGACGAATAGGAAATTAAACGCTAACTCACATCACTAACTATAAACCACAAGGTACAGGGTTCAAATCCCTGTCACAGCACTTATGTCCTTTGGCAAGATATTGATTTATTTTTGCCACACTCCACCCAGGTGATGTAAATTGGTACCAGGTAGGACATTAATTCGCCGGAAATGGCAATGTGGGGGCATGAGCAATATACAAGACTCCCCTTTTAGTAGTAGTAGTAGTAGTAGTAGTATCACCATCACCATCTCATATTATCATTATCATTGTTGTGTGTTGTTGCTGTCGTTATTACTATTGTTATTATTTTGGATATAGGTGTGGGGTGAGATGGAAGCCAGACTTGATGGGAATATGCCAGATGAAGGAAGTAACAGAGTGAAGACTTTTGAAGAAGGTGATTAAGAGGGTATTTTGGCAAATTCATTTTGCCAATCCTTTCATGAGGATATTTCTTGGATAGTCATGACTTTCAGTTGTTCTTTAATTTGATAATGCTGTTACTTTTTATATCAATGCAAATTTACTCTAACATTTGAAAATTGTGTGTACAAAGTCTTGCACCCAATTTCCAAGTAGTCCAGATCGATAAAAGCGTCTTATATAAAACAAATATGAATAACAAAATCGGCATTGTGTAATTTGCAAATATTTCCTGCTGCAAAAGCTGCTATCCATGTGCAAACTTTCTTTACTGTACAATTGTAGCAATGGATCGTGTTGAGCTTTTGGTAATTGGGTGAACATCGACCTTTAATAATCATTAGCCTTCTGGCCTCTAGTAGGCTTTAGGGCTACTTACTTATTGAGTTGTTTATTGCTCAAAGTGATGGATCACAACATATATTTATCTTTACAAGGCCACTGAATAAATCTTTAAATGCTCCCATTTTGATTTCTTGAATTTGCTAAAAAGTAGCAGAAGTCATATGTTGATTTATATTCGCTTGGTATTTTACTGAAGATGTACATTTAAAATATATCTGAAATAACTTTTATTAGATAGCAAATTTCCACAATTTGTGTGTCTTGAATCAGGGATGCAAGTTTTAAAGGCGTGACACATCCTTGTCGGTTTCACGCCTTTTTAGGCTTCATATTTTACAGCACATATGACACTCCAAAATTTCATTTCAGGCTCATGCACTGGATGCACCCAACGAACAGCCTTTTCACACAGGGGTAAAATTCATCATATCTAGAGCTGATTAGTTCAAAGCTGTTTAACTAAAAAGCTTTAAAGTAGATTTTCCCTTTGTGAACGTTGTTTATATGATGTTCGGATGGAAACAAAGTCGCAATCTAAATGTCGGTCAGAGCAGGCTGCAGATACGAAGCCCATATCTAGAGAGCAAGACATTTTGTGTGTGAACGGATGTACGTCCTTAACTTGACTGTGCACTGCTCTTTAAACGCTCTGTAGGGCCATTGCGCATTTACAAGCAGTGACTGCTCGCAAATGCGCAATGGCCCTACTGAGCGTTTAAAGCGCACTGAAATTTTTTGTGTGTGAATGATATATATAAAGCTGATTAGTTTAAAACTCTTTAAACTAACCAGCTTTAAAGAATTTTAACTCCTGTGTGAAAATGCTGTTGTATGTCTTAGTGAATATAATTATATTTCTACTATGTATATTTGTGCATTGTGTCAATGTCATGTTATGTTTTTCCAATTTCTAACCGATTTTGAATGTAATTATTTCCTATTTCAATGTCATGCTTTTGATGTCTTTTTATACATGATTTTAATGTAAACACAATATGTAAAATCCCACAATGAATTTCCATGTTATGATTGGACGAAATAAAATTGAATTGAATTGAATTTAATTTAATTTAAATGAATAACTTGTATGATTGTATGGTAATTTCAGCCAGAGAAAGAATGTATGCTACCATCCAAGCTGTGATCAAGTTCCGCAGATCTAATCCACCCAGTCAAGATAAAGAAGTCTTCATCGACGTACTCCTCAAGGCTGACTATCCCCCAGGGAGACTGCAGGCTGATCTGCTTACCTATGTTATCGGTGGATTCCATACTTCTGGGAACCGTGAGTGGCAGGCTTTTTTCCCCCTTGGTCTAAAATAATATACAAATAAAACACAGCAGTAAGGGCATTAGTAAGAATTACCCACACAAGATACCTTTGGAACAGGCTAACACACCCGAGGCAATAGCCAAGGGTTTTTGGACTGTTTTGGAGGTACCGAGTGTGGGTAATTTTACTAATGCCAGAACAAAATGATGTGTATTATTTGTTTTTTAAGATAATGTGTTATTTGTTTTCTAAAATAATATTTTATAACATGATTTTTCTAATGATCGGTCATTAGCATTTGTTAATGACCGGTCATTATCCAAATTACGTGTTAGGCAAAATAAATGCCTGCTCACGTGTATGCTCTCGACCAATGATTTGATTAGGATCCATGTCATCATCTTATAACTCTTTAAATGCCACACAAATAATGTAAACATATTTAGAAAAGGCTTCAAAATCATTTTAGTTTCCAGTGCAAGGTGAATTCATACCGGTGTTAAAAGTAATACAAAGTTTTGGTATGGGGGTCATGAATTTGGTTCCAATGAACATATTGGAAGCATATGCGATCCTACAATAGTCAGTGATCGTTGTCGCGGTTGAAATTGAGTCTAAAGTTATGAAATTGTAAATAATAAAATCTTTATGTTGTATAGCTCCCTCTCAAGGTCAAAAAATTTATTAAGCTATAAAATAATGTTTTTGACTAAAATCGACCGATTAGCTGTTCCCGTTTGGAAATTATATATCACAACTACATATTCTGAGATTTTCATGACCGCAGCTACCATTGTACTGCCGTAGGCGCGATTTGAAATTTATCAAAATTTACCGGTAGCACCGGTAAATTTTTATATTCAGTTTTATTCGAAAAACAGAAGTGTTTTAGGGGCTAAATTTTCTAGTGCTTATAATACATCCACAGGGGCATCCAGATATATCAAAATGGTAAAGAGTCACTATCCACCCAATTTTCAAAATTTCCCAAAACTTTGTATTACCTTTAAAACTGTTGTCATGGAGCTAATCAAGACCAGAAGAATGGGTCATTTTGCAAATCCATTGGGTTGCACAAAGAAATCCATTCCTCAAGTGGCACTTGACCTACGAGAAACCAAGCTAAGAATGACATTACCCCTCATGGCCAAAAATTGGTTAGTGAGGAGTCGGTCAGGTGGCATGACTTGAGGTATGAGTTAGAATGTCAGGTGTATTCCAAATATGATCAGATTTCACATTTTTAGGGTCCAGTTTCATACAATACGACATAGAGTGACATCTTTACTTACTACATGTAGGTATGAGATTGTCAGGTTTATTCCAAATATTATGAGATTCAAATTTGTTACGGTCCAGTTTGATACAATACAACGTATATAGTGACATCTTTACTTCTTTCATATAATATTTTGTATTCTTTTGATCATTCTGTTTTACTCAGTGTTTGCCTGGGCACTGTTCTTCTTGGCTGAAGATGATAAGATCCAGGAGAAGCTTTACAATCATGTGATCGACATCGTGGGCAAGACAGGAGAGGTCAGCATGGAAGACATTGCAGAAATGACGTAAGATTTCACATATTTGCTGCTGTTATTTGTTTTATTCTTACAAAACAGGGCCTCATGGAAGACCACCAAATTGGTGATATGTGCCACCCTGTATAAATATCAGAAATAAATAAATAAATAGATAATTCACCCTATCGCCAATACTTATTTGCTGCAGTGGTTTATCGTGGCATACAAATGGAAGTGACTAAAGGTGGTATTTTCAAAAGCCGACTAACTTTAGTCCATGATTTAATCCTCCGACTAAATATGGAATGCCAAGTGTCCATATGAATATGTTTTTGAATAATTTAATCTGTCACTAAATTAAAATGAAATGGAATAACATAATTATTAGACAACAATATAACTATGAACAAATTATTTATCATGGTAACTTAGGGACATATCAAATTATTCAAAAATATATTCATATGGACACTTGGCATTCCATACTTAGTCAGAGAATTAAACCATGGACTAAAGTTAGTCCGCTTTCGAGAATACCATCGTAAGGCTTCAATTCTTGCTATCACCTCAATAGAATTCAACAGTGAAGGCCAGAACTGGCCATGGGTATGCGGCAGAGGCACTTGCGGGTCCCTTACAAATCATGACACCGGTCGAGAACGGGAAAGTCTGATAGAAATGATAGTTTAAGAGCCAATGAAAGATAGGCAATATGTTATGATGGTGCCTACTTTGATCTTTATGAAATCATCGGGGGAGGTCATTAAACCTATAAAATCAGTCTCATTTGCTAAAAAACATGCCTACTCTTCATATGCTTTGTACCTTTAAAGGCATGGTTTAACAATGTTAAACCTGAGATGCATGACCCTACATGTTGTTATCAGTGTCTGTGGTATTGTGTAATCTTGAAACCCCCCAAAAATAGCAATTGAAATATCATGAAGTGTCTCAAAAAAGTAAAAATCTTTTAGTGACTGGTTTGACCATACCCAGTACTCATTTTCCCCAATAGACTGTAGTGTAATAAAAACCGTTAGGAAAACGAAAAATGACATTTCAATTTCCCATCATAAATATCTTGATAATCAGACAGGCGATCGGCTTGTAAAAGTCATGGGATTCCTGACTGACCTAAAGGTTTATAATTATGATTGCAGCATGAGCTAAATCCAGGATTTTGTTTCAGAATCTGAAGCAATGTTACAGAGTCCCTTTAATCGACTGACTCAACAATGTTCTTTACATGGTTTTCTTTCACCAGGTACATGAGGCAGGTTATAGATGAAACCCTACGCGTCTCCATTCTTGCCCCTACGCTGCCAGGTACCAGGACTTTGACGTCGTCCTCGGAGGTCATGTCATTCCCAAGGGGGTAGGTCAAATCACTATTTCATTTTTTTTCAAGAGGGGGCACAATGTTTCTAAATGTTTGCATAAGCAAAAAAGAACGTTATTTTGGAAACGTGCGCTAGATAAATATCCATTATTATTATTATTATTATTATTATTGTAGTTGCTGTTGTTGTTGTTGTTGTTATATAAAGAGTTAATATTGACAGTATTTGAGAGGTTGCTCTTTAGAACTGTAAGCTCAAAGAAAGATTACCAACAGTCCTTTTCAGGACTCCCCAACCCTCCCCCTCTCTCACATGGTGCAACCGTTATCCTACTATATAAGTAATAACAATTAAATGAATATTATATTTTATCTCATTTCAGACTCCAGTAATTCATGCGCTTGGTGTCTCGCTCCAGTCTGAGAAGTATTTCCCAAACCCAAAACGTGAGTGAAATCTATATTAAACACAGAAATAAAAATGGTCTTGCAAGGAGCGCTGTGGCCTGGAACAAGAAACAGTCTCAAACTTACCAGACTGAAATTTTATTCATTCATTCATTTTCAATTCCAATTTCAAATCAAAAGCAGAAAAATGCAAATCGTAGTGATTTGAAGATCACAATACATGAAATACAATACACGTATATGGTTTAAGGAAAGGAAAATACAATAATCATAACAGACATTGAAAATGCATACATATATAAATGCATTTATCGGTGTCTAAATTGATGAAGGATCATTTAACTGTGATTTATAATGAGCTACCGAAATGGTCTAGAAGGTATTACCGTAGGTAGTATGATCAATACAGTTGCTACTGTTCGAAAAAAGTTTTGTTTTTGCTATTAAAACTCTGTAAATGTCTTGGTTTCTTTGCAAAACATGATAAATGTTTCTAGGTTGAATTTGAATACATGTGTCTGTGAGGATTGGTATGTGTGGAATGGAATGTCCATACACGCATGCAGTGCAATCTAGTGTGAAAGTGGCATTGAAATGGATTTATCTTTGTTTTAATCTACACCTTATTGGAGATGGCAGATCATTTTTAGTCATTGCTAGATTCAGACTGATTCATAGAGGTGCCATGGTCGAGTGGTTAAGTCACCGGCCTGTCAATCACAAGGTCCCTGGTTCGAGACCTGCCGCGGCACTAATGTCCTTTGGCAAGACATTGATCTGCATTTGCCACACTCAACCCAGGTGATGTAAATGGGTACCTTGCAGGAATTAATTCTTTGAAATGCTAGAGCGCCGCAATGGCAGCACAGCTAAAGCCGGGGTAATAATCTCCAAGTTTGTAATCGCTTAGTGATTCTAATAAGCGCTATATAAAAACTGAGTATTATTATTATTTATCTGTTTGCCTTTGTAGTTTCAATCCAGAGAACTTCTCCGCAGCCAATGTGAAAAAGCGCCCTCGTGATGCCTACCACCCGTTCGGTTTCGCCGGTCGTCGGGTGTGTCCCGGGCAACAGTTTGCCTACAAAGAAGTGGCCATCTTCCTAGCGGTCTTCATACGTGCCTTCAAGGTCAAGGTGGTCCCGGGTCAGAAACCGGAACACGTTCACGGCCTTGTATCGCATCTTGTAAACAAAGATGGCGGGGAGGTGTGGATTACCGTTGAAAAACGTTAAAATCCTGTGGTTGGCACGATTTGACCTTATCTAACTTTCCTCTTTAGGTTGAAGTAATCTGGGGGTGTTTCACAAAGATCCTAAGTTGAAGTTATCTCTAAGTTGGACTTGAAAATTATGGAGGGCCATTAGCCATATGAAAATATTTTGTAAAAGTCATGTTAAAAGGCATAAAATGTTGATTCAAATCATTCATATTTTCAATTGTCAAGGAGATTTCATGTTCTTGATGTGGAATTTATAAAAAGTCTAAAACACTAGAATTTTTGCTTTTGAATATATTTTATTTTAAGGCTACAAATAGCTCTCCATAATTTTTTAGTCCAACTTAAAGTTAAGTTCGACTTAGGATCTTTGTGAAGCACCCCCCGTGTTCTATATGGTTGAGAAGGACAACATAGTTTATGCCTTAGTAGCAAAATGGTTATCATTCAATGTGAGAATAGAGGAAATCACCCTCTTGATTCTGTTACACCGGTATCTAGTTTCTGAGAGACACACAATAAAGAGATATGGGGCCCCAAAACTTGCCATGATGACATTAAAGAATTCATTTTAAAAGCCTATGATGACATTAAAAAAATTAAAAATACAAAATATCACATTACAGGATTTTGATAGCTTTAACTATTAGTTGATAGCTTTAACGGTTGATGTCAATTCTTTCCATTGATGTCATTTGAAATTAGATCCATTTTACCTTTTTTTTTGGGGGGGGGTGGGGGGGGGGGGTTGTAGTGGAATTTAGCAATATTTCCTTCCATTTAAAGATACTATGTCTCTTTTGCAGCCAACCTCAAATTCTGTAGAACTTTGCAGGAATTATGAATATATCATGTATGTCCTATCTGTGAAATTTAACCGTTAGCAGTGTCCTAATATTCAAAATATGCAAGGAAACCTGTTTACTTGCTAGACTTCACTGTCTGACACTATTGAGCGACTGACTGGCTTTTTTCTTCTTTGGTAATAACATATATAAAATGAGCTGTAAAGGGTACATGAGCATTTGTCTACATCAATAACCCACTTTTTGTAATGGCCAAAATTAAACTGATTGAATCTTTGTGCAGCATAAAACGTACGACCATTCGGTACAATGGTGTGAAAATCAAGACTATTACTTATTGGCTCTATAGCTCCTAAGTGGATTTGACAACTAATAGTCGTTATTTTCCCACTTAAAGACATTTTCAAGCCCTCTTTTTTTAGTGAAGTTCTAAATTAGTATTATCTTTCAAATGCCATTGGAATTTAACGTTTTCATTTTTTGGGCCTGCAAATGGGACATAGTACCTTTAAAGCATGTATTGTTCCTGTGAGACTATTTTTAAAATTTGATGATGCGATCATGTAACAGTGAAATTGGCCTTTTTAGAGTAAAATCAGAAGTTTGACTATAAAAAGTGTGCAGAGGTCATAACTAAGTAAGTGCTAGATCATCATGTTAATCAGTATACCATGCATACATATATATATATATATATATATATATATAAGTGGTATACTTCTTTTTTGTTATGCCCTCCAAAGTATTGGATAGGTACACATTACACAATAGATGTTTTACTGCAATACTAAATATATATATTACTTTATTCTACATGTAGCTAGATATAGGCTTTCCAGATAAGCATATAGGTTAATACAGTGTAGAAAGGAAAACCTGTTAAAGGGGAATCCTACCATTGTAATTTTTTAAGTAGGTAAGAAATTGATTTGTCCAAATTTATGTTTCTTTCGAATGTGATATATTAACGCTTACATTTAAAAGCATTCAACAAAGGCCCAAACTCAACCAGTCCACCTTTCATTCTTGAGTTACGATAAACCTAAAAAAAAACATCAACTTTACAAGGGGCATGAATAATTCAGTTAACTTATATGAATTCATATAATGGTAATACTCCAAGTTCAGATTCTACCTGAGATGTAGGTAGTTTGAGATATATTTTAGCCGCATATTAGTCTTTTAGTTGCACTTATATGAATTTATATTCATAATGCCCAGCATAGATTTTGCTATGGTAAATAAGCATTGCCTTGAAATCATTAAACTTTTTGCAGGTTATAACATTCAAAGTTTTCTTGTTACTGATGAAGTGAATTCATGTTAAAAATTAATGTAGCAATATTATGCCTATGATGTATATTACTTGGCATGGAGATTACCTATATGTGTCCTATAGTTTATTGACTATGAAGAAAGTATGATTGTTTTATCTATTTGTTTGTTTTATTTAGAAGCTTAATTGTCTGATTGCTTTAAAAGCAGAGGTGCTTGTGTTTGTATGTTTGTTTGCTTGTCTTTTTTTCAATTTACAAATACATCATCCGACCTAGAAAATTCTCTTGTCAATCTTTCTTTTCCTGGTGTTAATGTCCCTTTGAAAAAGCAGGACATTAAAGTCCCCATCATTTTATGTTATCCATTAATATTTAGTCAGTGGCATATCTTTTCTTATTCAAGGCTTCAGATAGTTCAATGTTTGCAAAAATGCCTATCTCTTGAAATTGCTGTGACTGTATTCTTGTGCAGCCTATGTAATAAAACAAACTATTTTTCAGCATTATCATTTTGGCTTGTTATGTATGTCATAGATCCCAGTATGGATCGATGGAGAGAGTGGTAGAATGGTGGAGAGTAAAAGAAGGGAATGGAGAGAGAGGGGGAGAGAGGGGGAGAGAGGGGGAAGGGAAAAAAAGGAATGGGAGAAGGGGGAAAAAAAGGCCAAGAGAGTTTTAAAGGGAGCAGAAAAGAAAAAGTAGGCTTAGATGTTAAAGAGAAAGTGAGAAGGAAAGGGAAGGGGGAGGAAAGTGCCGAGAGACTTTTAAAGGGAGCAGCAAAGAGAAAGTAGGCTTACATGTTAATGAGAAAGGGAGAGACTCGGAGAAACCATAGAAATTGAGACAGAAAATTGAAGGAAAGTGGAGATGGAGAAATTTGATTAGTACACTGTTGGTCATAATGGTGGAATATTTATTTTTACCCCAGCCTAGGGAAGGATTTTAAAAAATTATTTATTTCTAATAGATCTAGATAATGGCATGCATTCTCAGATTTTTATTGAATATTAATTTGCGAGTGTTTGTTTTGCGTGACTGCTTAATCATATGTGTGCCACTATGCTAATCAGCTAAGGGACCTACGTCCTTAAGTCATAATTGACAGTAATGAGGATTAATGCCTCACAAAAGGGCACTAATATATAGCTGATCGACACGATTTTTATCCTGGGGCCTCACAGTAACGAGGCCATTGCTTAGCCCCTGAATCATGACTGTACGCAGTGTTTGCTAGGGTACGCGGCCCCTTCCACAAATCCCCCAAAACGAAGAAAATGCAATAAATTGTCAAAAATTCATTGCATTTTCCCCCGGCCCCCAACAGAAAAAAATTCCTCTGTGTGGCCATGCCTTGAACCATAATGCATGGCCCTACAGAGAAATTTTTCCTGTTGGGGGCCGGGGGAAAATGCAATGAATTTTTGACAATTTATTGCATTTTCTTCGTTTTGGGGGATTTGTGGAAGGGGCCGCGTACCCTAGCAAACACTGCGTACAGCCATGATTCAGGGGCTAAGCAATGGCCTCGTTACTGTGAGGCCCCAGGATAAAAATCGTGTCGATCAGCTATATTAGTGCCCTTTTGTGATCGAGGCATTAATCCTCATTATTGTCAATTATGATTTAAGGACGTAGGTTCCCTAGCTGATTAGCATAGTAGCACACATATGATTTAGCAGTCACGCAAAATAAACACTCGCAAATTAATATTCAATAAAATCTGAGAATGCATGCCATTATCTAGATCTATTAGAAATAAATAATTTTTTTAAATCCTTCCCTAAACTGGGGTAAAAATATTTATTCCACCATTATGACCAACAGTGTATATATAAGAGAGAGAGTAAGAGGGCAATAGGGAGGGGGTGGATGAGGGATATATTGCTAAGGAGGAGACTAGAGGATGATGGATATGAAGGGTAGATATCCGTAGGGGTAGCATAGATAGGGCCCTATCACCTCATTTTTTTTGTTTTTGTTTTTGTTTTTGTTTTTTGTTTTTTGTTTTTGTTTTTTGTTTTTTGTTGGGGGGGGGGGGAGAGAAAGAATGATAGAAAGAATGAAAACATAGTAAGTGAGAAGAAAGAATTTTTTTAAAGGTGATGATAGTGCAATAATGTTCAAGCTTAACTGGTTGATATTTTTCACTGTGCAAACACAAAGAAAAGTGGTTTCCCATCTTATTTTCTGAGAGAAGACACTATTGCAAAATAATTAGATAACTTTTCATGTCAGTTTTTCTCTCATCTATCCCTTTCCTTGATACTGCAGGTATACAAAATATATTATTAAAATGAAGTAAATCACCATCATATGCTATTTATCAAAACAAACCGAAACAACAAAAGAAAAGAAGAAATAATGTTTAAAAAACATAGCTTTGATTTATTTCCTAAAACAATCTCGGCTAGGTAATATCATAGCGCATTGAAAATTATAGTTGTGACAAGCGCAGACTAGGAAACTAGCTCGGTACATATAAAATACTGTGCGTGTCAAAACTATCTCTCTCCATACGCTATGGGTACTGTTACCGCACAAGTGCAAACGACAACAAATCGCGTAATCGGTGTGAGAAGACTGACAAATTTTGTTGGTGACATTTCCCTGGACTGAAGTAAAGATGGGGAATTCAGCTATGAGCTCATTACTCGTCAAGAGTGCCGCCTGGGATCTGGGCATTCAATGGTCCTTGTTTCTGGTCGCAACTCTTCTCAAGACGGAAAAGTTTTACGATTTAGCAGGTAGCTATATCAATATCATAAACCATCGTAAAGCGACGGGGCTACGCGCCCAGCTTGCCGGGGCGCAGGACCAGCTCCAGGGTAAATGGAGAGCTTCGCGGGCGTGGCGTAAACTTAAATTAAAGTTTTATTTTATTTTAAACTCAACACGTTTACGTTTTAGGGCACAATTCAATAGTTAGTTGACAGTCATTGTGGTTCATGTTTTAGTGATTTTCCCAACAGTCTGTGGATGTGAAATTAAACTAAAGTGAAAGTTGAAACAGTTTTTTGGAGAAAAAAAGAAACAAGTCGACCACCAATTGATTTCTCAATCACCTAGACTAAATGGTCCTAAACTGTTTTAGAATTGAGTAGTAAAAAGTGCTCAGTGTGCAGGTAAAAATAGTCTACATCCAGCTAGGGCTCAAAATACAACTTATTGCAATTACAATTATCCTACAATATAACTTTCACACAATATTGAGTTTAAACTTTCAAACCTTAAACCAATGAAATGGAACTATGGAAGCTAGAATAGCATGCAGAATTTCTCGCTCGAATTTTACAGTATCTCGAGGCCGCCATCTGGTAAATAAATGTACGCTTATTCGCTGGAAACATGGCGTTATTCTCCCATCTCCATATTACCAATACAAACAACGGAAGCTCGCAGTGCAGCAGCAGTGCGGCTGTCAACAGTGGCTAAACTGCGCCGGTAGTACCGGTGTGCACGCTGACGCCCCATATCTGCTGGAGCTAGAGGCGATCGTGCAAGGACCGATATATGGAGAAGTTTTTTGTTGGAAAAAGCTTGAATCCTCTGAAATCTGGTGATTCCAAAAGACCAGCAAATAATGAACCTCGACCAGTAAATCAATATTGAGTAGAAGAAAAAGGCCAAAGATGTTGTGGAAGGATATGGTAAAGACTAAAAAAAAGCCGACTGTAAATAAGGTTGCTCTGAATGATGAGGAGGAAATAATGTGCAGAACAGGAAGAAATGGGGAGAATGTCATCAAGGGGTAAAAGTCAGCAATCCCTATGTTACTTGTAAATTTGTAAGAGGGAGAATGCTGACTTAAATAAATGATAATGACAGACATTGTTGGTCAAACTGTTTGATTACAAGACAAATTAATGTAACCATTTTAAAGATGAAAACAAATGGAATTCATATTACAAAGAAAAAAGACTGCAAGTTAAAAAAAAATATTGAATGCATTTCTGTTCTGTCACGTCATTAATCTGTCTATGCCATGTATCTTTGACTATGTAGTTATGTAAAGTTGTATGTAATGTGAGCGAAGCAATTTCCATTGGACAATAAAAATTTAATTTAAATTGAATAGAAATACACTAGGTTGTGTTTGCAAGAGCCAAGAAGTCATTCATTATTTGATTTCTTAATTCAATTTCTTTACTCAGGAAGTGGAACATTTCTATTATTGGCAGTACAGACTCTGAGATGGGGAGGTACATTCTTTCTGAGGCAGCGTATTCAGACTGCACTAGTTTCTGTTTGGGCTACCAGGTAGGTCTATGTGTAAAATTGTACCTCATTCATTCATAAAAACCTGATTGAAATCGGTTTCCCAATTTAAACCAAAAAAAATTCCAGATTTTTTCCAGATTTAAAAAAATTTTTAACCTGATATTTTTATCCTGATTTTTCCCAATTTTCTTACTCGAAAGGGGGGGAATGTTGCTAGATGCCATTTTCCCCCCAGAATCCTCTTTTTTTTTACTTAAGGGGGCGTGGTTGAGGGGGAAAAAATAATTTAACGCTCATTATATTTAGATTATTGGATAAAAGCATACATGTACAGTGTATGTATGAATCGTATAGTTGAGCTATAAATGCTCAATAATAAGCTTATCATTTCTAGAAAGCTTCCTGATATTTGCAACACATAGCTGATTGTGGTAGATGAAATATAGAACGATCAACAATGTACTTTCATAATATCTTGATTATGTTGATAGCAAAGGTTTTTCTGAAACTGAAAGCTTTTTCCAAGATCTTCCTAAAGAAATTGATACTGGGCTAGGTCACACTCTACCCACATGAGGTAAATGGGTACCTGGCAGGAATTTATTCCTTGAAATGCTAGAGCGCCATGCGAAAGCAGGGGTAATGATTGTAGAGCGCCAGGTGTTTCAAGCCTAACAAATATTAGCGCTATATAAGAACCCCTTATTCTTATTTCTTGATTTCTGACTTGCATATTGTGAGGGGCTTACACAGACAATGATGTCACACAAAAGGAATGCATCACCATAATTTGAGGAATAGGCCTATATCTTCTCTAAATTCTTTTAAGGAAGTTCCTCAAGACCAATCTCTTTTTGCAGTAATGTTTCTCTGTATTATGTTGTATTATCCATGTTTATAATGTAAAAAGAGAATGAAATTGTAATTATTATGTGCTATACAACTTTAACATTATTATTACCAATGTTATATTTCTTCTCCATGCTTTTCTTTCTACAGATTAGGTTTATATCTTTTCTCAAGAATTCTCTCTGATGGCTTTGATCGAAGGTTCAACAAAGCAAAAAATCAACCTTCTCTATTCTTTGTTTTCTGGACAGTGCAAGGTTAGTAGTACCCCCCCCCCCCAAAAAAAAAAAGTCAATATTAAAAAAGGAAATCCAAATTACATTCTACCCTCCAAAAGACAATTTGGGGAAACAAATTATAAATTTAATTTGTTTAACTCTTATCATGCCACAGGGATAATCCCCATTGTGCCAAGCCCCAAATCCCTCCGTGCCAAGTTTATTTTGAGATAATCTGATTAAATCTTCAAAAATTCATAACTTTCTTATCAGTTATCCGATTTTGCTCAAACTTTTTTTGATTGGTAAGTAAGTTGTTTTTGGAGTGGACTTGTACTTTAACGCGATGGTTCTATGAATAGCGCGTGCAAAACACACAGTACAGTCCAATGAGCATGAACAATAACTGGTATTACGAATGCGTGCAAGCATGCACAAGGCACTGAAGCAGTGGCTCTCTCGCATGTATACAAAGCACTATGATGGTAGCGTGCATGCAGCCTTATGGCAGGCTATGAGTTAATGAGGAGAAAAAGAGTATTTGTATTTAATAACTTTTTTTTTTTTAAAACCACTGTCTGTAGTAGTCTTTAGTGTACTGATACACATGTTTTTGCCTCCATCCAGATTCAAAATGTTTACAACGATGGAGCTTTAGGCCTGTATTGATTATTGAACACCAAACTTCAGCATCTTTAACTCGGCATAATAGAGTCACAAATTAAAATGGCAAAATAACTTCACAATTTCATAAACTTTGTTTATTGATTTAGTGAAGGAAAAAATTGATAATGGTCTCTGTTTGTAGTAACAAAATTATTATAATTTTTCAGCCTGAATGTTTCATGTCATTTTTCTTTTTTCTTCCAAAGCCGTTTGGGTATTTCTCACTCTCTGCCCCACCATTGCATTGAATGGTGTCAAGAGGGATAGCCCACTGTGTGCTCGTGATTACATCGGATGGGGTATCTGGGCAGTTGGGTTCCTGATGGAAGTCATGGCTGATAGGCAGAAATCCATCTTCAGAGCCAACCCTGAAAATGCTGTAAGTAATTTATTAAAGGGATTGGGTGACTTTGCCTCAGATTCTAAAAAAAAAACCCTGGATTTAGATCATGCTGCAATCATAATGATAAACCTTTAGGTCATACATGTATCCCATGACTTTAACAAGCCAATCGCCTGTCTGATCATCAAGGTATCTATGATTGGAATTAGAAATTTCAGAATTTGTTTTCCTAAGGGTTTTTATAACACTACAGTCTATTGGGGAAAATGAGTATGGTAAAACCAGTCACTCAAAGATTTTTACTTTTTTGAGGCACTTCATGATAATTTGGTAGTGCAATTTGTTTAGGTCATCAATATTACACCATATCACAGACACTGATATTAACACGTAGGACCAAGCATCTCAAATTTAACATTGTTAGACGATGCCTTTAATGTTTGATGTTTCTGTCAAATACGTTGGCTGAATTTGGGCCTGCTTGCATCAAACATCACTTGGGATTTTGTTTGTTTATTGTTTTTTGCCACTTTCAAAGGACTTTGATTATCACTGCCTTGGCTAAAGTTCCAGCAACGATAGCGTTATGTGCATCCAAGGAATAAATCCTACCAGGTACCCACTACCTACATACAGTGTATGATACCTGGTTTGAGTGTGGCCGATGTAGATTAATGTCTTGCCAAAGGATATTGGTGATGTGGCAGAGATTCTACCCCTGTACCTTGTGGTTCACAGCCCAGAGACTTTTCCACCAGACCACCACACCTCTACTCTAGTATAGTAAGAATACATAGGAGAAGCTACAACAAATCAAACAGATGTACATTTTGGTTTAACAATTATAGTAGTAGTGGGTTCTTGTATAGGGCTCATGCTAGTCAGACGTGACACTCCTGGCACCTTAGTATTATCAGATCAGGGGGGTCTTTCACAAAGATCCTAAGTCGAACTTAACTCTAAGATGGACTTGAAATTTATGCTGAGCCATTTGTAGTCTTAAAATATAAGATATTAAAAAGCGAAAATTCAATATAAATTCCGCATCAAGAACATGAAATCTCCTTGATAATAGAAAATATGAATGATTCAAATCAACATTTTATGCCTTTTAAAATAACTTTTACAAAATATTTTCATAGATGCCAACGGATTTCCATAATTGTTAGGTCCAACTTAGAGATATTTTCAACTCAGGATCTTTGTGAAACACTCCCCTGAACTATGCACTATTATTAAAACTTAACTACACACAGATTTCTCTGTAAAAAGCTGATCACATACTCATCGTTGTCGTTTGATTGGATTTTAAGGTAATGCAGTCAAAATTGACTATTTATGCTCATCTCTCTCTTCCATCACTTATCAGGGTAAATTCATCAACACCGGTCTGTGGAGCATTAGTCGCCATCCCAACTACTTCGGTGAGATCCTGTGCTGGCTGGGCCTCTACATCTCCGCTTCCACCTCCCTAACCGGCTGGCAGCATCTCACCGCCGTCTCACCCATCTTTGTGACCTTGCTATTGACGAAGGTCAGCGGGATACCGATGCTTGAGAAATACGGAATGAAGAAGTGGGGTAACGACCTGCCGTATCAAAACTACCTTCGCAAGACCGCTGTGCTTATCCCTTTTCTGTGGTAATGATTCATAAACCATTGTCAAAAATTGACCAATATTCCTCCCCCCCCCCCCACCCCCCTCCTGAATATCTTTTTATTGAGAGCCTAGGAAGATGTTGATTTCTTTGAGCTCTGAGCATTCCTGAAATTTGACCCATCTAAAAGAGTTGCAGGAAATCCCCTTGACACCAAATTCTGGCTGTGTGTGATAACAACTCAGGAAAATTGTATTAAGTAATTTGTGTTGGTTTCCTTTTTGTTACTTTTTGTCTTGTTGCTTTGTTTCTTTAAGCTGTAAAAGAGACTCAACACAAATGTTAGGTATTTGATTTTTTGAGTGAAGAATCAAGCACGGATGCCAGTTTCAGGGTTTTCTTTAGTTCAGGCCTTGTCGACTCCGAAGCTATTTTTTCAGACGTCACAGTGTACAAAATATAGGGGCTTACAGCATTTCTCTTTTGAGTGATAGCAACCATTAACTGGTTTTCCGGATTATGGTTCATACATGCGTAAACATTTGCTCTCTTTTGTACACATTCAGTAGAGAAATAGTAAACCTCCTTGCTATTGGCATTTTCCTGCAAAAATGATTTTATTCTCTTTTGATGCATTTTTTCCGTGTTTTGATATTATAAACATGCATAATTTTATGTGAGCTACTCGTGTTTGAGAGATTAACTATAAACTGTAATAATTCATTAGTAAAATTATCACAAAGCAATGAAATGATTCGATTTTGGATTATTGGGAAGTGACTGTTTCAAATCCTGGTTTCTTATCCTCACTGAGTTTTTTTTTTTTTTTTTGGATAGGTAGTACAAAACAATCATTCTATGTATCAGTCTATGTGATCATGCATTTGGAATCATTCTATTCTAGGTTTCATTTGTTGGATGTTTCAAAGTCATATTATTTTGTATAATTTGTGCATATTTTGATACAAAAGTGTAATTAGTTTTAGGACTGTTGAAGGGAAAGGACTGGTACAAATGACATCTCTCTTGTAAAGATCACTTCCTGCATTCAATTTTGTAAAGAAGAAAAATGAAATAATTGATCATGAATTCCATTTAAGAATTATGATGCTAATCATGATACATGTAATGATGAAGAGACATGAGCAAGTTAGGTTTCTCTTAGACAATATTTACTAACATATTATCAGATTATCATTTAAGGAGTCAGGTGAAAATATAAATCAATTGACAATCTTGATTACCCCGTCACATCACTAGACCGACACCAAACTGACCCCAGACTGAACGATTCTTTGGCATAGGAGGTAACATCATTTCTTGTCGGTTTGGTGTCGGTCTGATAGGTGTGACATAATAGACCGGTTTACTAAAAAATTCAAATGTGTGCATACTTTTAAACAAAGGTTGTTATTGACAAGATGAAGGCTTGCCCGAGGATTGCCCGACATATCAACACATAATTTATGCAGACTGGATTTCAAGGATTGTAGTTCATTCATTAATAACAGATAAAGTGAATAACTCATCCAGAGCTGCCAACCATTCCGTTTTTGCCGGAATTACTCTGTTTTTTCCTCCAAATTACGGTATTACGTCTTTTGTTTTTTTTACATACCGCATATCAAACAACTGCCCTAAAATTTTGATTTGATCACAAATTCAATAGAAAACTAAGTTTAAAACATACTTGAATACATACTTGAAGAGAAAAATATCAAAAAGAATGAAATACCGGTACTGATAATATCAAAATTTAATTTTTTTTTTAGAACAGCATAAGGAATGGACATTTCTGCATTGGAAGTGTGTCGCACGTGGTTGAAATTTCTCTTTTTTTTGCCATCATGATTACTTTTTTGGGTAGCACAAGGTTGGCAGCTCTGCTCATCACTAGCTTCCATGGAAAGAGACATCCATAAATTTGAATATGTTAGTTCAGTAAACTACAGGTGAAGCAAATTAATTGTATTTACTTGAATACTGTTGCAAATGTAATTATCTATCTGATGTGTCTGAGAAATGAAATTTAAGTGATAACTAGAGTATATACTGTATTTGTATGAGAAAGTAATATTGTTGTATGATTGCTTTGAAGAGAACTGTACTTGATTCTGTTTGATTTGTGCCTGATGTACAGGGTAAATAAATACATTTTATTTTGAAAGTATCAAGTATCTAACGTGCTTTTACGAGAAACATAAATGTGTGTATAAAAGAAGTGAAAATTAAAGTTTCGCAGTGACTAAAGAGAGAGAGATAGGGGGTTTGGATGTGGGAGGGAGAGTGGGTCAGCGACATTCCGTGTATATGTCTGTGTGTGTCATCAGAGAGAGAGAGAGAGAGAGAGAGGAAAAACGGAGGAAGACGAATAGATGTAGAAAGAGAGAAATAGAGGGGAAGAGAGAGAGAGAGAGAGAGTGATAAACAAAAAACTCGCCGGGAAGAAAGAGAACCAGAGAGAGAGAGAAAGAAAAAAAATTGCCGGAAAGAAAGAGAACCAGAGAGAGAGAGATAGAAGAAAAAAAAACTTACCGGGAAGAGAGAGAGAGAGACTCGCCGGGAGGTAAACTGAGAGATGTGAAGAAAGATAATTTCAGTACGATTGAATACCTTATAAAAACTGTAAAACACAATTAATTTGGTACATCACTTTATTGATTATTCAACAATAAACAAGATAAAGGACTAGAGGTCAATGACATTATGATATCGAAAGTTGTCCTTATTAAATGGAATTGTTCAGTTGAGAGAAAGTGGTGCTAAGGTAGTGACTTTAAAGTCAGATGTTCAATAAAGATAATCTGAAAGTTTGAGTGAAAACAGACCATTATTAATGATAACAATGGGAAAAACTGATCTGATCGATTCCTAAATTCTCCTAACTAGATTATTATAATTTAATTAAACTTTAGGTGAATGTAAATCGTCACAAAGCAATAAATTGGCTCTATATACCATTCCAAACATTTAAATGTTGAAATATTGTTAAAAGCCTTAAACAATGTTACCGGTTCACTTTAAATCATTCTACAGTCAGTCTCTCCTATTTCTTTATCTCTTTCTCTTCTGTTCTTTTCCTTACTTTTAATTTCTATTCTGACCCATATACCCGATTTAATGTGTTCTACCTTTGCTTTCTCTTCTTTCCTTTCGATCATACTAGTTATGTTAATTATGGATCACATTTACCATGCCAAATTGCGTATCATTTTCCCCTGAATTATAAGTTGGTATGGTCTTGTGTCTTATTGTCATATGCAATTTGCTTAATTTGAAGGGGAAAATGTACAATTCAGTCTAGGCTGCTAAACATATTTTGTATTAATATAATATTAGATATAAAAAGAGGCTGAAATAAACCGTTAATGACAACATGAGGGCATGATATCAAGACGTGGAAAGTAATACAAAGACGATTTATAGCTAGGTAATCAAATTGGCAATTCACAGATTGATTCGTACGAATTGTAGATAAAAAGGATGAACAAGACGCAACTCATAACAATACATGATAATCTTGAACGCATACTTGTTCTAAATTTTGTCAATTTCACCGAGGTTTGTTGCGTTAACCGTCGTATTACTATCGTCGATCAGATCCGCAAAGACTGAGTGAGCTCCATAGTGACGGCTCTTCCCGCCAAACATCTGTAAGAAAGCCTTTCTGAAGCCCGGACTCCTCCCAGCATAGATGAACGGATTGGCGCAGGAGTTTGCGAAGGCGAGGACGACGAAACATCGGTAGAGGGGACTGAAGAGATGGCTGACGTCAACGACGCCGATGTTGAACACCAAGAAGCCGAACTGATCCGGCGTCCAACAGACGATGAAGATGATGACGACGATGAGCAGCATCTGTAGGACACGACGTTGCGCCTCTTTAAGCTTTGATGCTATCGGCTCTTGACCTTGATCTGACCTCTGACCTTGTTGTCGGAGACTGTACAGCGTCATCGAGTGGGCGGTGATCATAATGACAATTGGGACAACGTACTCGATGATGAATAAAGACACGCCGATGAACTTCTGGAAATCCGGAGAAGGAAACTGCGTGACGCAGACACCGCCCTCTACGAAGTGGACATAGAGGCTGAAAGTGTTGATGACGAAAGCCAGAATCCACAATGCAACGATGAGGATAGGTATACGTGTATGTGTGAACAAAACTTGATGCAGAGACGTATACCTGACTGCCGCCAACCTCTCAATGGAGATGGTTGTCAGGGTGAAGATGGAAGCGCATATGGAGATCCACATCAAGACGGATGAGTGTATGATCCTACAGTAGAACTGTCCTCCGGGGGTGTCCGGGAGACTGATGACGCGTTGGTGGGGGATGATGAAGATGGACGTCAGAAAGTCGGCGACGGCCAGAGCTCCGATGAGCGTATCGGTGGCGCATCGGCGATGCCTTGGACGAAGCAGGACTATCATCACCAGGAAGTTGCCCAGGATGCCGACTATAGCCAAGATTAGTTGGAGGATCTCCCACCATTCCCAAGCTACAGGAGCCCATGTCCAACTGTATTGGGACAGATCCGTTGTATTTTCCATAGTTCCGCGTTGTTTCAAAACGGTAGCTTCACGTCATGAAAGTGTTTCTAGAAACATGCATGGAGTTATGAGGAAAATGAAAATGAAAGTTTCATTAAATTTCGTTTGATAGCTGAGTTCATGATCCACTAATATATACCCACCAACAAAATTTTTTCCCCGTTTTCTTTTCTCGACCTAGCTTGTCAATATAAAATGACAATAACGGACGTACACAGAATTAACTTTGATTAGGAAACCATTTTCTATAGGCCGGTGGACTATTCTGTAGTCTCGTGTTTATGTTAGGCCTCGTGTATTTCCGTTCAACTTGGTAATCAAACGCAGTGGCGTAAAACAGGGGGCACGTCTACCCACCCCTCCCCTTTAATTTAAAAAAAAATATAATCGAGTGGTGGGAAAAAATTATATAAAGGAAAGATACTGAGCAAAACAGAAAGCCTTGACCAGCCCATCATTCCCTCTCCCTAAAGAGTAGAATTGTTGAAATTCGTGTTTTATTTTTCCCAGTAAGATCGGTTCCCCCCCCCCCCCCCCCTGTCTCAGTGCCCCATCAATGAGTTCACTTATACTATATACGCCTCTGGTCAAAAAGAGTTGATTGGAAATACTTTCCTGGTTGCTTTTACTTGAAATAGCTTATACAGAGTAGTTTTAATTGTTAAGGCCAGGCCATTTTGAATAACGTATTGTCCAATTTAAACATTCTATCGTTTTCATACATTGCCTAATAATTAACATACTGATATACCACATGCTTAACAGCTACGGCATTCATACCGATATATTTCTATAATTTTTGCTACTAATGTTTAGCTTGTATAGGTGTACGTATACCGACAAAATGTACTACCTCTCCACAATTAATCAGTAATTCTGGGCCATGCATGCACCCTTTCTTAACATTGGTGTTTTGGCTTTCAGAGGAAGTATTTCAGACTGACCAAACCTACTGACCAAAACAAGTTTTGCAAGCTCGGAATTAAAACAAAGGATACCTAGACTTTCTCGAACAAATATATCTCGGACAACCATGGTAATCAAATATCCCGGACAGCCTCTGCCCCTTCCACTCCCACTTCATTGGACACTATAGGGCTACATTTTCGGGCAATTTCTCCTGGATAACCAACTGATGGAATATATAATGACTCCGAGAACTTTATGAGCCGAAAACCACTATTTCGTTGTAATATTTCCCTGGGTTAGTTGTCCGAGGGAATTTGTCAATGAGAGATTATAATGATATTCAGTATATTTCGGGGTGGTAGTCCTGGAATAGAGGCCTATACAAATCTGGAAGGTATACGTTTCGTTTTATTTCGTCATTCACATTCCCCCCCCCCCCCCAATATTTCCTATCCGGTATATACATAGCAAGTTATCATATATGACAAAGTCGCAAATTGTATCATCATCGTCAAAGTGACTTTGATCCACACGCTAACAATGCACTTGTGTTTTCGTGCAGGAATGCCGATTAGCTGTATTCAAAGAGATATCGGTGTAATAAGGGAACTTACCAATTCTTATAATGAGATGTAGACGACATAGAATAGACTGCTGAATTAGTGCTCTTGCTTCTCCAATAACGAAATAGTACCAATATATCTCGATCGTTTATTTGCAGTAACTTAAAAGGTCGGTCGACATATAGATTTCCACTCTAGTACACTATGTACGCATAGCCTATATAAATATATGCCTACAATATTATTTGCAGGATTACACACCTTGCAGGGAATACAGTTCGGGCTTGTGACAATAGATTCCCCAAGGACAAACACATCAGCGAAAAGATAGTTTTTGCACAATATGCAATTCAGAAAACGTGACCACAGAGTCATTCGAAAAGAATAATATTGTTTGCAGTGGGTATGCTTGGGTGCACTTCAAAAGTCAGTTTTTCAAAATTGGGGTGGAATTTGGGAGAAAAAAAAATCAATCAATACAAATAATAGAATGAAGTTATGAAAAAGCGCACAAAAGTAGGGCAGCAAATTATTGACAGAGAAGGTAGACAATAGGCTACTGGGCACAATTTTCACCGGGGGAGGGGAAGAGAGGAGATGACATCTCATGCCTAAAAACCGCTTGTTAAAGTCTAAAAACCGCTTGTCAAAGTCTTTTTTTTAACATTTTAAGGTAGTTAAAAATGTTATTTCTTCATTAAATTGGTAACAAATACTTAAAAACATTATAACATATACAGTGTAATACCAGAAACGCATCTAACAAACCACCTGGCTAATTGAATATGAGGTGGCGTTTCCTCAATATTGGTCATTTGAAAATGTTGGAAAGGGAAGAGAAGAGAGGAGGAGGAGGATGAGGAGGAGGAGGAAGAGGGGGAGGAGGAGGAGGAGGAGGAGGAGGAGGAGGAGGAGGAGGAGGAGGAGGATGGTTAACGGTAATACAAGGTTTTGGGAAATTTTGAAAATTAGGTGGATAGGATTCTTTACAATTTTGATATATCTGGATGCCCATGTAGATGTATTATAAGCAATAAAAAAATTAGCCCCTAAAGCATATTTGCTTTCGAGAAAGATTGAATATAAAAATTTACCGGTGCTCCCGGTAAATTTTGATAAATTTCAAATAGCGCCTACGGCCGCACAATGGTAGCTGCGACTATGAAAATCTGAGAATGTTTTCCAAACGAGAATAGCTTATCAGTCGATTTTAGTCAAGAAACATTGTTTAATATATAGCTTAATTAATATCTTGACCTTGAGAGGGAGCTATACAACATAAAGAGTGTATTTTTTACAATTTCATAACTTTAGACTCGATTTCAACCGCGTCAACGATCACTAAATAGTGAATAGGATCGCATATGCTTCCAATATGTTCATTTGAACCAAAATCTTGACCCCATACCAAAACTATGTATTACCTTTAAGTTTTTAAAAAGAACGAGATGAAAATGAAATAGCGTAACAGAAGTAAAGAGCAGCACGCCCTCTAGCTCAACACATCCTGAATACGGTTACAACCTTATATTAGGGGCACGAGCTCAATTTCGCCAAGCCTGCTGACAACTTTTAGCTGACATCATCTTGTGTATCTCCTTTTCTTTGTTTACAATTAAATATAGTCGAGATTTATTATTCATTTAAGTATAAATATTATACATATTTCTACGAATCACATCGCTGTACAGATTATTTCCCTTTTGGTGTCGTTCCCTCATTATTGGTCCTTTCAAAATATTCGTGTGGTGGGGTGGTGGGTAGCAAGCATGTCCATCAGATCAGTCCCCGCCTTATGGATCAGGACGGGTATCACACCCGGAATATCATGATCCCGGACAACTATCCCCGGACAACTACCCCTATAGAGGCTCCTACATTATAGGATAACTTCTCTCTCGGGCATGAGTTAGGACATTCGAAGTTAACTGGCTAACTGCATCATCAATACCCTTTCATAATTGTTGACAGATATATTTGCAAATATTTCTGCATCTCAGTGAATCGGCCCGTGAAACTCCGCATGTAACAAAACTCATTGAACCATAGTGATCAATTTGGTATATTTTATAGACCAGAACGATGTCATTTGATCTTTTATTTTCCTCTTTTTTCTTCCGTCGCTCTCTCTTTCCTCCTTTTTTTGTAGGCCGCCAGGGGGGGGGGGGGCGATTCGGCCCTCACCTGGATCCCCCTCTTATTTATATATTTCCCACCCAAATACTTACGGTAGCGAGTTTTTTTCTTCTTCTTCTTCTTTCTTCTTAAACCCCCTCCCCCACCCATTTCCCTCTCCTTCCTCTCTCTCTCTCTCTCTCTCCTTTTTTCATATCTCCTTCTTTCTTTTTCTCTTTTATTTTGTTTTATCCTTTCTCTTTCGTCGCTTCCCATTTTCCCCTTTTCTCTATTATTTATTATTTGGTCACCAAAGGAAGCAGAACGGCCGATTCCCCCCCCCCCCCCCCCCCCCCGTCGCTGGATGCGTCACTGGTTTTGAAAATGAATTTAAAGTCACAACCTGAAACTATCATAACTTCCTTTGTGTTTTACAGAAAAGATGGACAGGTATAAGAGCTCAATCTAACGGAAACATTACCCGCAACGTTCACTGAATGTACTGATGACAACATAATGTTTCGTTTATCATCATTCTGAATTTCACTCGACGAAAGTAACCATTGCGCAATATTCCTCAACCGTCCCTTTGGAAACGTCATCAAATTACATTCAACACCTTTTTCATTGGTAAGTTTAATATTAACTCCCACTAATGCCATTTTATAGGGGAATTGCAGTGAATACAGTTTGCATGAGTCTATACACGACACACTATGTATACTCTGTGAACAAATTAACGAGTCACATTTTATTTGTATTTTATAACATGATTTTAATACAGTCATCATCACATTAATAATCACATGTTGGTAGATTATATGAGTCTCATTCCCAGCTCTTATAATAATATGACTAAGTTGACAATTCGGTTTCCAGTTGTTAACCATACAACATCGAGTGCATGCGCCTGGCGAGAATTTGGACATAGATATGATTTTCTATCAGGAGAAAATATTTTGAAGTACAGAATTCCAAGTGTCAAGAAAGATTACTATAAAGGATTATAGATTTACGTCCGAATTCAAACTCAGAGTTCTGAACAAAATTATACTCCGTGTATAATGGAGGAATAGAATTAAACCAACCCTATCTTGCATTCATCGTATTAACTCATTCTAGCTTGGTGGATATACAAGTTACAAAAAAATGTTGTTTCTAAAGTTATACATGTTTCATGAACATTTTCTCTCCAATCACAACCACCTCAATCCCCCCTTCTCTCTCTCTCTCCTTTTCACCTACTTTTTTGTTATTGTAAATCTTTCTACATCCAATAAAGCAAAATAGAAAACTAACAGAGATACTTTTAAGAAATATGAATTTCATTAAGTACATGTTCGCATATAGTACTCCTCAAAACTCAATCAATCTCCCAGATGTTATGATTAATAAAATGTTTACAAAGATACAGTTTGCAGTCCTTCTCGGAGTACTATTAGAGAGCTAATCACGTTTTCGGTGTAATTATAGTTATAACCGAGGAATAGATGCGAAATTAAATAATAAAAAGGCACTGTTACATTATAGTCAAAGAAAACGAGGGGAAAAGAACAAAAATCATGAAACATAAATTTAAGTCACTTCCTTCACAGATAAAGCTAAAAATTGCACTTTTCAACAAAAATAAACAAAACGACAATCAACAATCAACCATTATGTAACATAAACACTGATCAAATGTCGTATTTCGCAGCGTTACTCGATCCTGCATATCCTTTTTTAGAAGGTCAGCTGACAATATAGTAGGCGGGGGTGGATCCAGCCATCGGCAGGGGAGGGGGCCAAAGAGGAGGCCCAATTCGTGAAAAAACATTTAGCGGCGAAACAGCCAGCCGGTAAATAAAGCGGGGAGGGGGGGGGGGGGCCTCGAAAATTTGAAAATCGCACCCCCCCCCCCCCCCTTCCCCCCTTGAGCATCGGGAGGGAGCCCGTCTCCAAATGAAGGTAAAATTAACGTGTTTTTACCTTTTTTTCTCAGGGGGAGGGGGCCGGGCCCCCGCCCCGCCCCCTGGATCCGCCATTGATAATAGGCTTGCATTTATTATCACTACGGAAAACAGAATCGTGTGCTGATCCTTCCAACATTATTATAATCATCCTCTGGTCTGACAGGAAAATGCCCATCGATAAACGAGAACTCTAAAGGATATAAACGATTCCAGAAATCATGGAGTCTTCAATGTTATTGACCTATCAGGAAAACGTCCCTCGAGCATGCTGACAACTAGCTTCCAAAGATTGAACATCTGTTCTGGCAGCACATCATTGCTTCCGATGAAAATGATAATATGAAGTTTACCTTCTCTCAATGTTATCATTTTCTCATGAAAATACCAGCCGAACATTTTACGGGTAGCTTCCAAGAATTAAATGTTTTTTCTGTCTGTACATTGACCGCTATCGAACAAGACAAAACTAGAATGTTTTCAATTATTCTCAGGAGAAAGCTCATCGGCCGTAGGGTATCTTCAAATATCAAACATCTTCATTGTCCATGTTTGAGTTTGAATGTCTTTTAACTGCTTATGTTGTCGAAATCATAGAGTTTGTCACGTGCTAAAGGGTTCCGTACCATTGGTGAAGATAAACGATTTCTTTCTATTAATGGTGCTGCTGATACAAGGACTACTGGTTCGCTCTCCATGTTTAGACATTCCCTTCGCTTCGGTGAAATCTTCTTTCGCTTAAAGAATCCAGTCTGTTTACAACAAAGAAGAAAATGATCGAAAATTTAATAATGATGATAATAATATGGATATTTATATATAGCGCCGGTACGCGTCAAGCTCTGACTCTCATGGCACTTTTCACATAATACCCTGCATATATGGTTATAGCCGAGTTGCCAAAATAACAAGCGCTCAAGCATATCAGGTATCCATTTACAGCTGGGTGGAGAGTGGCAAATGTAGATCAATGTCTTGCCAAAGGACATTAGTGCCGCGACGGGACTTGAACCCCGTACCTTGTGATCTGCAGTCGGGTGCTTATCCACAAGACCACAACACCTCTACTTATAGGTTTTATAGGATTATCCATGGAGCGGTAGAAATTATGAGGGTTTACAGTAAATAACTGTAGTGTTATCGACTGTTGTAATATTTCGCAACGGTTTTACTTGCAAGCTTATTCCTTAAATTCACACAAGTTTACATACTGTTAGCGTACTTCTTATTTCATAATGATTTATCACGTTGATAATATATACATAATTCACAAAGTTTGTTCACATAAAAATGAAAGAATATAGGAATGTCAGATGTTCGCGATGTCATTGTATTTCTTAAATAAGGTCAATGTTTGACAGCAAGTACTATCACTTGAAATGGAAACTTATATTTTGATTAAGGATATAGGCCTATCTATGATATCTAATTCAAGTTTATCTCCACATTTGGTTAAAAAACAAAGAAATACAATCAAAATGTGTATATATAAACAACAAAACTTAAAAAGAAGCATGTACTAAATGTGGTGGGAATATCAAAGGCCAACAGGAAAATATTATTATTTGAATTTTAACATTCGTACTATAATTAAAGTTGAGTTACACATTCCAACCATCTCCAGTTGATTTAAATGTAGACCTTTATACCGAATTTCTTTGTCAAACGTACCTTTTGTAGTATAATGAGAAACACGAGTTGTATAAAGAGACCCCCAACGATGGCGACGATGTAAACCCAATAAGGAACATCTGCTCGAGGTTGATCGATCTCAGCGAGCACCGTCGTACTTATCTACACGATGTCGAAGAATTATAGCAGATACAAGAAGAAAGCAGAAACACCATTTTAACACGGATCATACGGTTTTAATATATCACAAAATAGATATATTTGTCAAGTCATACAAATTATTGTTTTAGTCATTATTATGCAGTGAAAGTGAGAAAGATGGATCGGGATTTCAAATTGTTTATCCATGCTCCCGAAATAATTTGGTCTGCATAGTAAAGCTACATTAGGGGCAGAGGGACTAATGTTCCCCTCAAATGGCATAATTATGAAAAGAAAAGTGAGGGAACGACAGGGAGATGAAAGGCCCGTTTTCGCAACTTGCCACGTCGGTGGCTGCGTTATTCACCAAGTAGACGGATGCTGCCCCTTCCCACGCCCCCCCCCCCCCAAAAAAAAAACATGGCTACGCCCACGTTGCCTCCACTGAGTTTGGTATGATTTATCCTCCAAAAAAAAAAAGGTGTGTAATAATATAGAAGATCACTCGTTTTACCTGAACTTCCCCTGTTGGTAAGTTGCGAAACGGTGTACTGGGGTGAAGGCTATCTTTGACTAAAGCTTCTACACGAGTCATCAGCTTGAATCCTGTTATATTGTACTGCAGATGAGAGACGAAGACATTTAAAAGAAAAAGCGGTTGAATTTAAAAAGAAAATATAAAAGAGAGAGATGATGGGGATAGATTAAAGAGGAAGACTGGAAATAGTAAGCTTGATTAAGCATCAATACCAAAAGCTCTACAATTTAGAGGAGAAGTTGAAAAGGAGAATGAAGAACGACAAGGAGCAGTAGTGACAAAGAATAAATGGGAGGAACATTTAAAGGAAAATCAAGAAACACGACTTTAAAAGAGTGATTACTTGGAATAAAAGTGAAGGATTACAAGAAGAATTTGAATAAAAAAGAAAAAAGAACAGTCCAAATGTAAGCATAATGTTAAAAGAAAACAAAGGGGGTAGACAGTAGGGAATAAAGAAAATTATACAAGATGGGCAGAAGAAGAGCAGGGTTATCTTATTTGATACAATTATGTTGCAGGTAAAAACAAAATAAAGCCCTCTAACCCTCATCCTTCATTTACGTTCTACCATACCTTTATTAAGAGATCTGTTCTAAGGCGTGCCGTTACTATGACAAGCACTTCGTCCCTCTCAGAATGTCTTCCCCTGGCCAGCGTATCCACATCGCACACTATCTTATCACATGGTGATAAACTCGATCTACAGGCGAGTGATTTCAGCTCGGACGAGGTTAATGGTGACGCGGTTCTCGGTCGAGATGATGACGTTGGCGTAGAACTTTCTCGGCGACGCCGTCTGCCGCGGTTGTAGTTTCCAAATATCTGGATGTAAAATAGATGCGCAGATATAATTATACAGAACTTTTGTCTTCTAAATAGCATAGCAGTTAAAATGTCTAGAACAAGGGTGGAAATGGTTTGAATAATACATTTTTCTGAGATCACTTGCGGACTTACAGATTTGAAGTTTGAAGTTTGGCTACCTTTAGTTAAGTTAAATTCAGTCATTGTAAGGAAGATTTTAGAAATATTTTCATTTATGTTTATATTGAAATGATGTTTTATTTCCATTCTGTTACTGAGATTATGTTGGTCATTATGGGACTGGTCATACACTGGACATTTTAGAAGTTAGTTTTCTTTTTAAAAGAATTATAGTTTCTTACTGTTGTTAGATTTTCTGCGTTCCATTGCCCATTGATGACGTAACAATCTCCACCATTGTCCATCTTGGCACTGACCGGATAGAGAAGCTGACCGTCTAAGACCGGGAAGGTAGGCCAGGAGATGACAAGGTCGGTAGAACCTAGAGGGCTTGGACCTCTATTTATAAGCTGAAGACAGAAGGAGGGAGGAATGAGAGAGAGAGAGAGAGAGAGAGAGAGAGAGAGAGAGAGAGAGAGAGAGAAAAAGAGAGGGGAGAGGGAGAGAGAGAAAGAGAGATAGAGAGAGAGGGGGGACAGGACAATACGAGAAACAGATGGGGAGCAGATGGGGATAAAGAGAGAGAAAGAGACAAACAGAGAAAGAAACAAGAGAAAGGGCAAGTCAGAAATAAAGAATGAAAGAGAGATAGATAGAAAGAAAGAGAGGGGAGAAAGAGATGAAGGAAGATAGAGAGAGACAGAGACAGAGATAATGGAGAAAGAGAGGAGAGATAGAGAGAGAGAGAGAGAGAGAGAGAGGGGGAGAGAGAGATTTAAAAAAAAATGATTTGATTGACTTACGAAATTCAATGGCTAAACAATTATTAAATCATCTATCCTTCTTCTATAAGAGACAAAAATAGTTATACTGAAAAGAATAAATAACACACTACAGTGTGAGTCAAAAAAAAAGTTTACACCATGAACATTAAACTGTTATATGTCTTATGAAAGAGTGTTTTATCCCAAATCATTTGGTACCATTTTTGTGTGGTATGTGTTCACGCTTGGACAAACAGGAGGCATTGTTTGCGAGAGTGCAAAAATTGACTTGCGCCAAAGTTGATGTTTGAATAAAACAATTGGGATTTGGGTATTAATTCGGTCTTTGCAGATCCAAATAACACCCCTAACAAAATTAATCATGCCAAACATATCAAATATCGAATATCAAATATCAACAAACATTTGTGCGCGTGTGTGTGGGTGTGTGTGACTTTGCCCTTTGCAAAAAACATATGCAATGCATTTCATTTCATACATTCAATCCATGCTCTCACTCCGCTAATCCCAACATAATACATACAGTAGGCATCACTTTGGCGCAAGTCGATTTTTGCACTCTCGCAAACAATGCCACCTGTTCATCCAAGCGTGAACACATACCACACAAACATGGTACCAAATGATTTTGGATAAAACACTCTTTCATAAGATGTATAATAATTTACTGTTCATAGATGATTTTAAAAATAATTAGCAATTTTCTAGGTGTAAATTTTTTTTACTCACACGGTATATATCAATTTAGAGCGAAAAGATTATGAGTGTCTGTATGTATTATTTTTTAAACAAAATTGTTTATTAGTACCCTTCACGACAGAAGAAACTAGCAAAGAAGCATTTAAACTATAATAAGGAAAGTCTAGTAAAAGGATAAATCATGATATTACATCAGTAGCATAATAATGAAATTTGATAAAATCTGTACATAAAAACACAGAATCATTGACTGTTGACATACCGATATGGTATAGGTTACAAGAGGACCGATGTCGGTTTGAAACTCCACCACCCGATCGAGAGGATAATCTTTCTCTTTGAATATCAACAGCTCTGGGTTAACTTCCCTGTTTGGTGGAGAGATGAGAAAGATGGATGACGATGGGAAGGTGAGACGTCAGGGAAGGGAGGATCAAGAGAGAGGGAGAGAGAGACCGAGAGACCGAGAGAGAGAGACAGACAGAGAGAGAGAGATGGGGGAACGAGAGAAAGGGATAAAGAGAGAGAGAGAGAGAACGAGAGAGAGAGATAAAGAGAGAGACAGATAGAAAGAGAGCGGTAGGTGGAACAAAAGTGGGAAAGAAAAATGGCAATGATTCATATTGATAAATAAGTATAGATTATCATTAACAAGAGAGCTTCACTCGTGTAAGTATAGCCTTTGTATCAGTTTTGCCCATCGAGTAAAACAGTATTTATCATGATCTTAGTTCATATCATCCATTTAAACTATATAGTCCTTTATCTCTCATGAATTCAGGCGTTTATTTGCACTATTTCATAAACGATGGGTAACTTGAGGCATCGTGTTACCATGATAAAGCATTCTAACTTATTTCAACTTTTTAAATATAGGCCTACTGTATTTCATAATGAAAATGTGGTTTCAACAATGACAGAATAGGCGCGATAAAACCTCTTTTATCAAACCAACCACCATGTTACGATCAATTCAATAACAATCAATGTAATACCAAAGCTCTCATTATTCTAATAGTACCTGTTTTATAAAATCGAAAGCCGGTACTTACCCTCGAAGAGTAATATTGGATGATGAAATAACAGGAATCGAAACGTTGGCATGGTTGTCATCAGAATGGTGTCTCAACTCATCATCTCCGCTAGAAAAAAGAATACATTTTTTTTGTTTTCGTTTCTTTTGATAAAGCTGACAATTGTTATGACAATATTCATACATTTTTCTTTACATTATTATGCTTCGTAGCCTAAGAAGGTTCTTCCACGAAGTATAGTTAAGTTAACACTAAGAAATGTATGCACCTTTCAATTTGCTTATTTTATTCCTTAAGGTATTTTATGCAGAATTGAAAAGATATTTTTGCAGCTGAAGATATACAAAAGTGTAAGATTTGAAGAATATAACAGAAGTAGAGACCCTCGAAATATAATAACAACAACATTAAAAACAATGAGCAAACGAAATAAAAAAACTAAACAAACAAATCATTAAACAAAGTATAACCGCATAAACCAATATTCGATTATATATCATGATAATTTGACTCCTAAAAGTAAAACATATCAAACCTAATGATAATCTAAAAGAACAAAAGAGCAAAGCTGAGCATAATTATTATTTACCTTTTGGCTATCATTGCGAAGATAATTTCGGGCTCTGTCACAGATAGGTCCTCAGTTTGGAAACAGATTCGCATATTGACCTGAAGGAAAAACCAAAATGGAATTAAAATCAGTCAGTCAAATTACTTGCAATACGCTAACTAAAACGAAACCTTACTGAAATATTAATATTAACTAATATACATGGTCCTACAAGTTTCCAACAATATGTTTCCCGAGAATCATACAGTAAATGAGGCAATCATAGTTATGATTGAATAATATCTAAAGGCAATTTTCATTGAACCCACAATCGTTTTAATTATGTAGATCACACGCTTCCGTACGTCTCTTACTGTTGGTTATCTAATGCATGCATTTGATTACAGTTTTTTTTTATAAACATCTGAGGAAGATGTCTGAAATATAGACAACGAAACTGTGTCGGACATGTTTTTTTTCCTTTTGGATATGATATAAGAAGTTTTAAACCTTTTTCAAAACTAGTTAGAAATAAAATGAATATTGTAACTCAGAGACAATTTTTATCTTATTTTATAGTAATTAATGCTTTGATAACCTCTGTATCCATACCTTTCCACCTGCCTTGATAGGGTTACCTATGTTACATACAACCAGTCGTCTTGTGACCGAACACGTCACAAAGGAATCCTGAAAAGATATCAAGAGAAACAAAAACATCTCAACAAGGACAGTAAGCTGATATGCGATTCATTAAAATTTGTCTCCCATTGACTCCGCTTCAACATGCAATATTTACAGATTAGCCAGACTTTGTTTGTAATGGTATGCCTATACAACGCAAGTCTCCAAACTGGTGTTACATCTTGTATCAAATCATAACTCTCTCTCAATTCGCTTAACATCTTTATTGCAGATGAATGCGCGAAGCGAAAACCTTAAAGTGTAAACCCTTTAAAAATGTGACCCGAAGCTCGAAGCAAAAATGGAACGAACTGTATTCTTAGGCAAGCTTAAACAATATGTTGGCTTGGCAAACAACAACCTATTTACAGTTATTCAAATTCATTTACCGATTTTGCCTGTTCCTTTCTGAACAAACTTCAAGGATTGTCCCAAAGATGGATGACAACGGCACTAATGTCTTTTGGCAAGGTATTTATCTACATTTGCCACTCCATACCCAGGAGAGAAATGACGACCTGGTATGATGACGAAGGCCTTTGGGTTGGTAAATTGCTGTATGCCCTCACGGTGACGATATGGTAGGAATACTCCCCAGGAAGTGGAGATGGTGCACATTGTACGTGCATGAATTCGATGACCACGTGATAATAATATTTTGAAAGCGCTTAGAGACGGTATTTCGTATCACGCGCTATATAAATCCAGATTATTATTACCACTTCTTATAATCCATCCATGCCCTTACCGTAACAGCTCGATCTAGTCTACTGAAGTTGATCTCATCAGGGATGTGAATTTCAAGGGTAGAATAAAAGGAGTCATCGCCGTGGTTCTCTACATCAACCCTGATGTAAGCTTCACCACTATCGCCTGCTACAAGATAATCCGTTTCGCTGAGAAAAGATATGGAAATGTGTTAAAATAATCACGAGAATATGTCGAATTTCAGTCATACAACGCCTTTGCACAAGATATGCCTCATCATAATTATGCAACGTTGACAAATCAAACGTATATTGCAAGAAACATAATTATTCTAATTCTGTCCGAGAATAGTCAGATTTCTGCCATACAACGCTTTTTCACAAGATACGTTGGAAAATCAAACGTAATTGTAAATAACATATTCTAATTCTGTCTGAGAATATGTCGAATTTCAGCCATACAACGCCTTTTCACAAGATACGCCACATCAGATGCAAAGTTGAAAAAAAATTGAACGTATATTGTAAGAAACATATTCTAATTCTGTCTGAGAATAGTCAAATTTCTGCTATACAACGCCTTTGACAAGATACCCCTTATCAGATATAACGTTGACCATAAATTGAACTTATACTGCGAAAAACATATTCTAATTCTGTCTGAGAATATGTTAAAGGTAAAGACTAGTTATGGTCACGCGATTGCATTGTGAAAGAAACGTTGTGGAATCGATCAGAAAAGGTTGATCATCTAGCATCTAGCATCTGCAAGGTTCTGGAATCATCAAAATGATAAGAAATTTGGCCCATTCTTTGTAAAGTTACAAGCACTATACACAGAAAGATGTATATGGGACTACCCTATATCTCTCACAGACCATGAGAGAAACAAATTTACCAAATATATGAATTAGTAGGCGGTTTCCCGGCAAATTTTGTATCATCATGTATTAGTCATAACATATTCTTTCACATGATTGGTAATAAGAGCTTCCATTTCATTTTTTTGAAATTGGGGCGTTTCCAATGCTGGTCTTTACCTTTAAATATCTGCTATACAACGCCTTTTCACAAGACACGCCTCACCAATGCAACGTCGAAAAATTGAACGTATATTGCAAGAAACATATATAAATCATATCTGAGAATATGTAAAATAACTGCCATATAACGCTTTTTCACATGATACGCCGGCATCAACAGATGCAAAGTTGGAGAATTAAGTGTATATTGCAAGAAACATATTCAAATTATATTTGAGAATACATAAAATATCTTCTATACAACGCCTTTTTACAAGATACCCCTTATCAGATGCAACGTTGGAAAATTGAACGTATATTGCAAGAAAAATATTCTAATTTTGTTTAAGATTTTTCTCAAGATTGTCACCATGTATCAATACAAAGGACAATCTTGAATCGGGAAAATAAGATCTTAAGCGATACTACATGTTAATAATTATAGGTCGTTTTTTCTTTTCTTTTTTTCTTCTTCTTTTTTGACTCTGGTCTCTAAATCCTTTAAAAAGGGGCTATAATGGCTTGATCGGAATTACGTGAGAATTGAAAAGGAATTTTGAGGCAGTATTCTCTTCTTGACGGGCTAAGGAGACACCAAGAGACATTATACCTTAATTAGTACTTACGCTTTGGGTGATATGACTAGATTAGGAAAGCAGGTGTCATTAGCGCATGTTCTCTTCAGTGGAATCTGGTTTTAAAAAATCAAAATCATTTAAGCGAGTTTTATTCCTGTCAATGTTGCAAAGATGAAAATAATAATGAGACTGAGAATAAAATCATTCTGTTTGCAAAATAGGAACTCTATAGATAAACATAGAAATAACCGAACTCCTCTTTGGATATTTTTTTCTTCTTCTCCCTCCCCTTCTCCATCTCTACCCCTCCCAAACAGTCAAATTAGACGACATAATTATCAGTGTTCAATTTAATAATTGAACTGAAATTTGATCTTTCATTCATACGGGGCGGGGTTTTTAAAGTTAGAAATTAATAGCTAATATCCTATTCATAATGTTTGTAGTTTTTCTCTTTTCTTTGAATATATTTTCCTATCATCTTTGGATATATTCTAATGGCAGTTGCTTCCTTCCATCATAATAAGAAATGATGAGTAACTAACTTTGTATTATTTATGTTTTATGAATGACCACTTACTGAGAAGGCATTTCTAGTAGCAGCCCATCTGCTGAGTACGGGTATCAGGTAGCCATCGGGTGTCCACTTGGCTTGCTCGTCCTCTAAGTAAGCATAGGTAGCGATCACTGAGATGGCCGTCTGCTTTTCTTCTATCGAGGGCTATTATTGGAATCAGATAAACCTGAATTAACTGGTTACTACAAAGCAGGGGCATTGCTAGATCACTTTGATTTTAGAGTGTTTTTTCTTCTCTTTACCTCTTCAAGATACATATATATTAATTACAAAACAAGTAAAATGAAACATGAGTTATATACAAGACCAACCTAATTTCTTAAACTGTTTGACTTTAAAGTTAGTGTCGTACTAAATTTGCGGTTGAAATTCAAACGACTCCTCACATTTCTGTTAAATCCACTTTTTTTTTCTTTCAAGAAAAGTCTGTATTTATCGACTAATTTATATTCATATTTGTTTAGTTTAGTTTTAATTTGCATGTTTTTTTTCCCCTTTTATTTTTTTCTGGGGGAGAGGGGGGGGGGGGTGCCGACAAGGCTCGAAATGTATTTCTACCGACAGAAATTCTTAATGGGTTGTCAAACCTACCCCGTCTAAGTGACGCCCCCGATCACAGTTATCTTATATGGACGCATATATTTCTCGTCGCTGTGCTATGTGTATACTATATGGGCATATAAAAACCTCATTTAAAATATCATTTCAAAGGCTTTTCACAAAATCATCGTGCATCAAGGTTCAATGAAATTTATCGGGTAAACCTACAGATCAACAGAATAAACGTGATAGATGATATGACTTTGTATAAGGTCATCGTATTGGCCGATTAGGCATTAGCTGTGTCCTTGGTCGAGAAAAACACCGGAAAGTGGAATTACGATTACAACCAGGAAGTCATTATATCAGACGCAGATAACGAAGAAGACAAAATACATGACAGCAAAAGTTTTAAAAAGGGAATCAAACTTTATACTAAAGGGTCACAATTCTGTGTCAGAAACATAAGCGAAACGACAACAATAATACGAATAGTAATAGGCATTTCTATAGCGCCGTCTATCTAGAATTATATTCCGAGGCGCATTTATTATTACCCGGCTTTAGCCTAGCTGCCATTACAGCGCTCTAGCATTTCAAGGGATTAATTTCTGCCAGGTACCCATTTACCTCACCTGGGTCGAGTGTGGCAAATGAAGAGTAATGCCTTGCCAAAGGACATTAGCGCCGTATCGGGGATCGAACCGTAACAGAATGAGACCCCCCCAAAACAAAATTTAAAAAAATAAAAAAATAAAAAAATAAATAAATAAATAAATAAAAAATAAAAAATAAATAAATAAATAATAATAATAATAATAATAATAATAATAATAATAAAAATAAATAAATAAAAACAAAAATAGGGGCATCTTTCCTGGACTCCCAACTAAATGTAATGCTTTAAAACAAATTGGAGGTAAATATACTACGGGAGGGGATGTGGCTGGCGGAATAAGAACGTAGTCCATACCTGCACATAGATTAAATGGGGTACACAATACATAGTGCTCTCCGTTGAAGCTACGATGGTGGATTGCAGTGTCGCTGAGCGTGATTTCATGAAAGCCATCCGAGGAGTCTGCGATCTGGCTGCGTCTAGTGTGATGTTTAAACCAATCACTGTTATGAATCAAACAAAAGATGGTCAATCAAATTTCGTTTTAATATTCATTTCGTTATCTTTACTTCATTACGAGATTAAATTTCAAAATGAGCCCCTAAACATGCTAAAGCTATGAGCTAATGCAAATTTATCAGTGGAGATCTTATGCAATTGCAGTTTAGAATAAATTAAATTATTCGTTTACATTTTCTAATAAACCTTTGCATATGTCGTATTTTCTGATATAACTAAAAGCCTCTTGCACTTTGGGATGAGAACGAGAATAATTGGGAAACTCAATATTCTTTATACTGATATTCTCTAGTAACATTTTTACAATTTGCAATGTACTTAGGATGTAAAAATATCTGATTTCAAAAGAAGACTCACCGATTGATTTTGGTAGACCGAGCCCGACAAACGAAAAACATACGTTCAAGCTCATCCTAGAGGGACAGAAAAAGGAGACAAAATAAACATGTGGGAAAAGTAAATCATCCAAATGGGATGAAGAAAAAAACATTGGAAAGACAAACATTTAATCAAAAGAGAAAAGAGAAGATGTAGGAAGAAGATAGATAATTCAATCTGACTGTAAATCAATAAATCAACAGTAATGTCATGTAGTCAGTCAGTGATCAATTTGAGTACCATTAACAACACTCAAACGATCACTAAATTTGTTATAATCATACATTCAATCAACCATCTATTATATTCGATCATCAAGCTATTCAAAGGGTAAATTTTGAAATCTAGAATTAATCATGAATATGTAAATATATAAATCAACAGATTCACTAATCAATCAATAAATTGTCTTTCAACTATAATATACATAAATGATTTATCTTTACTCTGTACCTGGTACATACCATGTAATTCGTTATTTTGGCGTGCCAAGTCATGTGGAATTATAATAATTACCATTTCAATTTCAATTCATCATCAAAAATTACCCCAATCATTAAATCAATCATTCACCTAATGTATCAAGCAATCAATATATACCTTGTAGTAAGTCTCCCGTCAGGCAGAAGATGATCTAATATATCTAGATCAAGCAATCTAGGTTCGTGAAATACTTGCATTGTCGCCGTGAAAGAAGGCCTCGATCTGAAATCAAATTCAAATACATCAGATCAAATCAAATCAAACCGTCAGTATTTCGAGGCCATATATAAAGCGTTCGTGAATCATTGATATTCATCTATGATTTGTCCATTTATTGACCTTTGCAAGCAGTGCTCTGCGATATATATGTACTATTGTACGTATAGGGGGAATATGAATCTAATATGAAACTTTGCACAACAACAAATTTCTGGTATTACTATCATCATCAATTATAAATGATTAATGCAACTACATGAACTATATCAAATGAGTATTTCTTTCTCTAACACATAATCAATAAATTACACCAAATGTTTCTTAGTTTTGCAAAACACTCTCATCTAAAAAACAAAGTTCATATTTTGCTAATTCAGTCCCGTTCTGAGATCACGTTTAGCAAAGGAAATGTTATACCTCAGACTAACTCCCTCGTTAAATCCGAAGTTAAATTAAACCTTAAGCCAGGGCTCGTGTTCAGTTTTTAGTAGAAAATTCGACAAATAGTTTTACGATGTATCAAATGTTGATTGGAACATAAGATTGCATTTCCATGATAATACCTGTACACAACAGCTACCTGGGACCTATAGGCTCCTACAGCAAGATCTAAACATGAAAGGAAATATACACATATATTTTTATTTCTTAGTAATAGAACGTTTGGACTGAAATATAATATTGATAATAATCATAAAATGATAATAATCTGGATTCAAAATATTTAGTGCCTGCTTCGTCACGAAATGCTTTCCATAATTAGTTACTAATAACATCAGATTCATTCATGCACACAATCACGTGCATCATCTTTATTTCAGGGAGTTTTAGGATCACAATGACTTCAAGAACAATGACTTTTATTCTGCAGTCCCTATTGATTTCGTGCGTCTGTAGTGGCAAAGGTAGATCAATGTCTTGGGAATGGGGATATTAGGTCCCTGTTAATTCCATATGACACATCTAGATGTAATTTCTTTGGTGATATTTTTGGTGAGATATAAATAATACATAGAGATTTTCTCGATAATGAGGTGGCAATTATCTTTCACGATATTGATAGTTTCAAACTTTCCGAATGGGAAGGGAGGCAGACCCTGTATCCCCCCCCCTGCCTAACTTGCCCATCGTCGTGTGTACAATGTTGAGCGATTGACCATGATAAACTCTAGTGTCTGAGTAACAACAATATCTTATTAATCTTTCATAAGCCTCATGCATATGCGTAAGATAATGAATATTCACTATTCAAATAACAATAATAAATTATCTGAATCATTCATAACCCTCATGCATATGCATACCTGGGTAAGAGTTTGAATCGACGTCCACTCCGGATGATAACGAGCAACCGAAGGGAACCAGAACTTGATCAAACTGTCTTGACTCCAAAACCTACAAAATAATTACACGTGTGTGAGGGTAGAAATAGACAAGGTTAGAATTGAATGTTTAAAATATATAGCATCACAAATTCAATTCAATTCAATTCCATTTGTATTTATTTAATTTCCAACAGAAGATTAACAAAGGTATTATAGATATCATTACAGAAAGTATTAAAAAATGTATGTACATATTCATTTTTTATCTTGATAAGTAAAGAAATACACTTTACACATAATACAATTATTACCCACAAAAATTGATTTCTGAGGAAATGGGCGGATTCACTAAAAAGCAGTGCTTGTAGTTTGTGGATCCCCCAAGTCAACGAGGGACCGAATATTTCTTGGCCCCCACTCCCTCAAGAAAATTGAGGATGAGTATTTCAAGACAAATGTACTGTATTTCGATTTCCATCTAAACCGCAGTACCGCCCCCTCTCGCTTAAAACTAAGTTGCATCGTGTATAGTACGTCTCTTGCATCCGGCGAAAATTGCTCCCAGGTAACTTCCTACACTGACAAATCCGTAACTTCGATTTTGGACTTGACACTACATCTAATTCGTATCCTAAACCTAAACCTAAAACAAAATCGTATCTATTGTCCATGTAATTTCATAGGAAGCCTTTAATTGACACAAAATTCAACCGAAAGTGTTTCTTCAGAATAACCAATATAAAGCAAATATAGGCATATCTTGTTAAATATTCCTCTCAAAATCGATTCACAAGGTGCAAGTCTACCAATTTAAATGATAACAAACGGTTGTTTTTACATTGCCCATAGAACAGTTCTCGTGATCATAATTATGACGGACGGAAACCGCATTTTTGCAACCCCTCACTATCTATCAACAGCATTCACCACAATTGAACTACCATACCTGTACTGGTGTCAGAGGTATCCTGACATTGCGGCCTATCCCGTGGTATATAAAGACCTTCCCTCTGTTTCCTCCATCAATAAAGGGCGCAGAGATGGCCAAGTCTGAAATGGAAAATGGAGTAAATGACATTGGCAGATAAAATGCTAAACAACTTTTCTTTCAAAATAGAAGCGACTTTCGGCAAAAACATAACAATTTTTTTTTTAGCGAGGTTATTTTTTCCAATGTTGCGGTTAACTTTATTTTGATCATGAACACAAAAAGATCACCAAGGCTTTGAAAAGTCAACGTATATGGAAATTTCTATAGCCTTGTGCATTGTCGAGGGAAATGGGCGACCATTGCAATGACAATTATTACGCCTCAGAATAGGTTACTAGATCGATGGCGCATAATAAATGCTGTATTATTATTATTATCATTATTATTATTATTATTATTATTATTATTATTATTATTATTATTATTATTATTATTATTATTATTATTATTATTATTATTATTATTATTATTATTATTATTAAAGGTAATCCAAGTAAAGAATTGAAATTGCATTTAAGTTGAATTTTTGAAAGCCCTCGAATTGTTTTGGTGTGCACTTATACAAAGGGAAGATGAGCTTCTTGGCAATGACAGATGCAACACTGAATTCAGTTCAATTCGTATATTTTACTAAAATAATGGTGAACAACAATTTATTTTCATCAAAAGAAATGCAAGAGTCAGTTCCTTTTAATCATTTCCATCATTGGTACATAATTTATCTGGCTTTCATGCCATTGGCAGCTATCAACTCGACGTTCAATAGTACAATAACCACAGAGTAGTTATATAATGTTGCAGCTGGCTGGATGTGCTGCCAAGAATTTTTTAAAGAATGACGCGTTCTTCATCATTAATCTTTTATAAATCATCAAGGGGCCCCCGTGTACTTGACACATTAGTAAGATTGTTTTAGCTAATACGATATTGGATCCATTTCGCATGAGAAACAATTTCTGTACTACCAGATGGAAAAAACTGTATCAACAACACAGCGTTATTTGATTAGTATGCGTTCTGGGGTTATAATGATTTGTTTTAAAATCAAGAATGATAAAAACACGATTGCTATTAAATATAAGTGAATAGATTAAAAAGAGGGGAAGAGGAAGAGAGAGAGAGAGAGAGACAGAGAGAGAGAGAGGGATAGAGACAAGCTTACAGGCAGAGACATAATTATATAAGATCAGAGATAGAGACAGAGACAGAAATATAGAGGAAACAGACATAGATGGACGGAAAGACTGACAGACAGACGGACTGACCGATCATGGCAGATGGTTAATAATAAATGCCGCACGAAAACGAAAGATAAACAAACAAACGAACAAACAGACAGACATGGGAGAGGAAATAGGAATGCTAAGCTTCGTAGAAGTACCAGATATTGCTTTATGAAACGGTGATCATAACGTCACTCGATCTCTGAACTCTGTCACCTCTTAGCCCGAACTGGGAGGAAATAGGCGGTAAATGTATTTACCGTATTTCAGAGATGATGCCTTATAGATATAGGTCATAGCTGAAAGACTTGATTCAGCAAATTATAAAAGGAATTCGCGTGCGCTCTTCATAGAGTAAATTCGCACAACCGATATCGATGTAGCATAATAGGCGATGGGCGTGGAGGACGTGCCCCTCATCCAAAAGTGAACAAAACGTAGAGAAAGACAGTTTAAAAGAAAGGGAGAGTGGGATAAGAACGATAGCATTTGAGAAGTCGAAACAACCCCTCCCACACTATTCTTTTCCAACTAGTAGGAGCCCACCCCCTCCCTCCCCATCATCATATAAAGTGTCCCTAAAATGGCCAGACCTATACGCTATTACATCCACAACGTATAGGTCTACTTTAGGATGCAGGTACCAGCGAGTGGCGTAGCATTATGGGGATAACGCGGGGGGGGGGGGGCGGTATCCCCTTCCTAATAATGAAAGGTACAGAACAGGGAATGGGGGACGGACAAAGACAAAAATATTCGTTTCCTTCAATCCCTGTAAGACTCGCCCATCATTGGTCCCTTGCAATTTGGTAAAGTCTATTTCTTCTCCTTCTCCTTCTTCTTCTTCTTCTTCTTCTTCTTCTTCTTCTTCTTCTTCTTCTCCTTCTTCTTCTGCTTCTTCTTCTTCTTCTTCTCCTTCTTCCCCCTCTCCTTCTTCTTCTTCTTCTTCTTCTTCTTCTCCTTCTTCTCCTTCTCCTCCTCCTTCTTTTTATTCTTTTTCTTTTTCTTCTTCTTCTCCTCCTTCTTCTTCTCCTTCTTCTTCTTCTCCTCCTCCTTCTTCTTATTCTCCTTCTTCTTCTATTTCTCCTCCTATTCCTCCTCCTTCTTCTTCTTCTTCTTCTTCTTCTTCTTCTTCTTCTTCTTCTTCTCCTCCTCCTCCTCCTCCTCCTCCTCCTTCTCCTCTTTCTTCTTCTTCGCTATAAGTACATGTCACCGTTAGGTGTATTCTCGCACTAACCCCCTTTCACTGGACCTATCCTACGCCACTGACTGTGTCCGATATTTGAAAATCAATTGATCTGTTACCGGAAGTGGGTCTTTCTTTTTTAAATCTCAGCCTAATGCCAGGTTTTGTTTTCATCTTAAAAGTATAAAGTTGAAGGTTAGGACAGAGTGAAATTCGGTTGAGGTTACTGGACCTATGCCTAGTGTTTAATTTCATAACTTTACCAGAAAACGGGGTCTTAAATTGCTTCCAGCCATTAAAGGGACACTATAGTTTCATGTGGAAAACTGCCTTACTGGCCAACATGAGGCACGACAGAGCAATGCCGTAAAGTTGGGGTGTATGGGGAGAGTGATGGTGGCTATTACCACCTTCTTTTCACCCCTCCCTTTGATATTTTCATACTTTTAAAAAAAAATTCATTTTTCTCCATCCAATATGATTATAGGGCCCTCAGAGAAAACAGTATTAATACTGATGAGCCTATACCCTGAGTAAACAATACTAACGTTATTATGAATAATATATTGGGGCTATAAAGCTCTTTTTCATAAGAAACAAAGCGCATAAACCAGAAATAGAAACAAAGAAACAAATAGCATATTACCATACAAAGCTTACATTGATGACAACAAAGAGGTCTTTTAAAACAAATTAGAAAAGATGTGTCTTCATAAACTTCTTGAAAGCTGTGAGAATATGGCAATTCTTTAGTACAGGAGGTAATATGTTCCAGGTTTTGGGGGTAATAACTGAAAAAGTCTATCTATTTACAAGCATTATTATTATCCTTTCAATACACAATCTGTCCAAGCCCCCCATAATCGAATACATATCACACTCACTATCAATAGAACGTCAATTGCAGAAACATACCATTGAATCCATCAACATTTATATCACCGAGAGCATTCAATGGAGGTGTGGGGGGCATACCCTCCTTATAGGTACGAAACCGTGTGTAAGAATAATATCCTTTCATTACACAATCTGTTCTCTATACCCCCTCCCCATAATTGAATACACATCACAGTCATCTATAGAAATTGCAGAAACATACAATTGAATCCATCAACATTGATATCACCCAGAGCATTCAATGGGGGTGGGGGAAATACCCCCCTCATAAGCACGTAACCATGTGTAAGAATGGTATCCTTTAAATTCAAAATATGTTGTCTATGCCTCCATAATCGTATACACATTACAATCACTATTCCATAGAAAGTCAATTGAAGAAACATACCATTGAATCCATCAACGTTGATATCACCAAGAGCAGCAGCGGCGTACCCGAACCGTCCGCCCACGTCTCGCCCCGTGGTGGTATCAGCGTATCCGAACCCACCCTGTATAGGAAACAGAAATATAAATTACAAATGAAGGGCGTATCCAGCAAAAGTTAGAGCCACCCTACGACATATCCCCCAACCCAAAGAAAGCATCAACAACAACAACAAATACAAAAATAGGTCCCCCCAAAAAAAAATATTTAAAAAAAAAATGCAGATGATAAATATGCGCGGGGGTGCCCATATTGCCCTCTTTTTGTTTTTGTCATATCCCCTTTCCTTTGTTGATTAGTTTCTGGATACGTCTTTGTCAGATGAATTCTTGTTTAGGAGCAACGATTAGACGACAATTTCGGATATAATTTCACTGTTTACATGCACATGATAATTATTCTGTCGACCACTCCAACTACACAATGTTATTTTTTTTTAAACGATTATATATCGCATATGAAGATCCTTGGTCTCAATTCAGTGCACTTAGACCGGTAAATTTCCCTAGACTCTACAACTAAATACATTTTGACAGGCATATGTTTTGAAACATTAGAAAACATACCTCTCAGCTACCGTAGTCTACTGGATATAATTGAAATTCATAAATCCAGATCTTTGGCTCTTGGCCATTAACACATCTGGTACAATAATATTTTACGTCCATTTTGTAATGAAGGGGAAAGGGAGGAATACAACTTACATTTCTGTCATTGTAATAAATGAAAACTTTTCCTAACTCCCACAACGAACCGTTGGTAGAGAAAGAATCAGTGAAAAAAGGGGCGCCAACCATTAGATCATCATACCTAAAGGAGAAAAAGAAAAGTAAGAATTAACTTAAAGGTAAAGACCAGTATTGGAAACGCCCCAATTTCAAAAAATGAAATGGAAGCTCTTATTACCAATCATGTGAAAGAATATGTTTTGAATATTACACGACGATAACAATTTTGACGGGAAACCGCCTACTAATTGATATATTTGGTAAATTAGTATATCTATATACTGTTGAGAGATACAAATGCACGTGTCGCGCACGTGTGTGTAGTCCTATATACATCTTTCTGTGTACAGTGCTTCTAACTTTATGAAGACTTGCCAAATTTCTTATAATTTTGATGATTCCAGAACCTTGCAGTAGGCCTACATCTATGCTAGATGATCAACCTTTTCTGATCGATTTCACAACGTTTCTTTCACTATGCAATTGCATGACCATAACTGGTCTTTAGCTTTAAGGGAATAAGATTTTTTTTTTTTTAAGAGAGAGAGAGAGATAGAAAGAGAGAGAGAGAGAGAGAGAGAGAGAGACGGAGAGAGTAGGGAGAACGGATGAGGAGACAGGGGCGGGGAGATGACAGGGGAAAATATGGAGGGACGGAGGGGAGGTACAACGTAGGAAGAGAGAGGGAGAGAGAGAGAGAGAGAGAGAGAGGGAGAGAGAGAGAGAGAGAGAGAGAGAGAGAGAGAGAGAGAGAGAGAGAAAGAGAGGTAGAGAGAAAGCGAGCAGAGAGGCATTTTGAACCCATCAAACCTGATGAAATAACAATGAAATGCAAGTAATATATTTGTTTTCAAAATACGAGAATGTTACACGCGCACATGCTATCCCAATTATTCTCATACGAAACTAAAACACCAAACAATGAAAGCGCTCTGCAGGTCACCATTTTCTAAGGATAAAGGAAGCAATATTAAGCATATTTATGTACTTACCCGTCATTATTAAGGTCGGAAGTGACGAGTGTATGCCCGAAATATGACCCCATGTCACCATTCTCTAAAGCATTGTACTCGTTAAGATCACTGTCATATAAAACAACCTGTCAAGCAAGCCATCGAGGTAAAGAACAATATGAGAACGAAATGGTAAATAATCAGGTATATATATATAATTATCATTATAATATTAATGATAATAATAATAGGCATTTCTATAGCGCCGTCTATATCTAGATAATTCTATTCTGAGGCGCATTTATTATAACCCCGGCTTTAGCCTACCTGCCGTTTATACAGCGCTCCAGCAATTCAAGGAATTAATTCCTGCCAGGTACCTATTTACATCACCTTGGTCCAGCAATTCATGACACTCCTTGTAGTCACTTGCCTCACCTACCATCCCAGTATAGCTTCCTGAGTGAGCTGCCAAAGGGATTACCCAACCAAGTACCAAGTGGCAAATGTAGATCAATGTCTTGCCAAAGGACATTAGCGCCGCGGCGGGACTCGAACAGCGGACCTTGTGATCGACAGTCCGGCGACTTATCCACTCGACCACGACACCTCTAACATTGCCGCTTGGGTGTAATCATAATGGTTTACACAATCAAAATCAAAATGAAGAAATTGTAGTAAAATAAAAGCTCATTGGATTCTCCTGACTACGTATGTAAACTACATAATAATAGAGGAGAATTCAAATTCATAATTAGATTTAATTTGATTTATTTCCTTCTGCATTCCATATTCGGTAAATTCGGTATTCGGCATTCGGTAAAAAAATAACAAACATAAAATGCACAAAGAATTACTTTCTGACAATGAATCATGAATAAGCAAACGTACATACATGTAACAATCATTTTGTTTCTTTTAAAAAGTTAACATAATCTTACAGATACATGAACAATAATCAGGAAATCAAGCAATACATGAATAATCATTTTATTATAATTGTTTTAATACGCACCTTGCCAAAAGCTTGTTTGTGTCTAGGCACTGATATAGCGTACTCAGGGTCCGAATCCCCTTTAAAATCACCAGAAGTCACCGCGTAGCCTTAATAGACATAAACCATATTATTCCGTAATCATTGAATTCTAACATTTACTAACGCATAATCCTGATGTATATTTTGAAAATGCCAATATCTGGGAAGAGTACACATGTCGTAATTCAAAGTAGAATTGCATGTCACTTCCATCATAAACATAAAAATAGGATTTATATGTCTTGGAAACGTTATTAATACGGTTGCTTTAATTGACACTAGTTTCAAAGTCTTTTTTTTGTCAATCATCATCACCATCTTCCTCATGGTAACACATGCCGGGGAATAATTGCACAATTTTCTCGTCCAGTTACCACAGTAACATCATAAAACAGGTTTATGTAATCTTTCGTCGTGACCACGTTTAGATAGTTAAATGAATGGATACATGTCTAAATTTCGACAGAAGATATAAGAAAGAGCCAATCGTTTACAATTATCGTTATGGCTAAACAGACAGTTTTTCAATCTGCAAATTAACAAACATCCACCATATCAATACAGAAAAATAGATAACACAAACAAAAATCAATCCTAGTTCTCATAATTATGTAAAATAAAAACAAAGTCTTACCCATATAGGTGTAATCCTTGGTCCCACCAACCTTTTTGGTTGGTCTCTTCTGCCTCTCCTCCCCATTGCTGTCACTCCTCCAAAACTGACCTATATGAGAAACAATTTTCATATCGTTTTGAATATTTGATTGTTTTCATAATATGTGACCTCTTTTAATAAAGGTTAAGTAGAATTGAAAATCGAACGGAAGTCCATATGCAATTTAATCCAATCTTAACCGTGTCTCATTGATTATATGAGAAACAATTTTCATATATTTTTGAATATTTGATTGTTTTCAAAATCTGTGACCTCTTGCAATAAAGGTAGAACTGAAAGTCGAACGCTAGTCCATATGCAATTTAAACCAATCTTAACCAATCTCATTGATTAAAAGTCAAATTTATATCATTAAAAAACCCGTGACCTTATTACGCTTTCCTAAAGATTAAAATACATATTATTTTGACAATTATCCTAAATGTACTTTTATAATGCAATATTCCGCGAATATCGAATACATCTGAACATCTAGTAAATCATTAAAAAGTAGTATGCCAGCATCGTTAACGAACTTGCGGGAAAGTTTTTTCATAATCTATGAAGAGAAAAAGCTCTAAATGAGTGACCAATTAAGGTTAATCAATCGTCCATAGTATAATTGCATGTTCTTGTAACTAGAAACACTAACAGAGCAATAAATGAATATTTATAAGAAAAATGAAAGCACATTGATTCTCACCTTCCTGTCTACCAAGTCCAACAGCTCCATAAACAATGTGATCCTGAAATTAAAGGTACATTCATTCGTATTTTGTATAAGAAAAACTACAAATGTTTAGGCTGATTCAATTCAAAACGTGGACATCTGACACATTATTACAATGCCACTTCTATTTTAAAGTTTATGTTTTTCTCTTTAATTCCTTAATTTCACTTTTCTGATAATGCTTTGCTTTCCTCCCCTTCTTTTTTCGTTTTTTGTTTTGTTCTTCTCCTTCTCCTCCTTCTTCATCTCCTTCACCTTAGTCTTCTTCTTTCTCTTTTCCTTCTTACTCTCTTCCTCCTCCTCATTCTTCTTCTTATTCTACTACTTCCTTTTCTTTTCCTCCTCTCTTAGTTACCTATTAATATCATCCTCAGTATTCTTTTTATTTCATTTTTCATGGGAACTAAACAATGGATGTACATAAGCTTACCTTCTTCGCATCTACACTGAATCCAAACTGGCAACGTCTGTCACCTATACGAGGTAAGATAGATGTCATGAACTCCATATTTTATAATCAACATGCTTTTACGAAACAAAATCTAGGGGAACGTCAGTTATTATGTCGCATTCATCATCACTATATCTGCATATTTCAAAAGGTGACTCACATAAATATTGAAATTGGAGTATGTGGATTTTTGAAATTCCAACGTACATTGTTTCTAGACTATGTCTGAATGTTCTCGTCTAGAAAATCGAGAAAATATTAATTGTAAGATATGAAATTGGAATAAATATATATGCATGGAGAGAGAGAGAGAGAGAGAGAGAGAGAGAGAGAGAGAGGTAGAGAGAGAGAGAGAGAGAGGGAGGGAGAGAGGTAGAGAGAGAGGTGACAGACAGATAGAGAGACAGTGACTGTCGTAGCTAGAGTCAGAGAGAGGGGGGGGGGGGACAGAGAGACCGTCACTAGAGACAGACATACAGAGAGAAAGGGGTGGGAGACAGACAGGCAGACACAGAGAGAGAGGGGAGGAGACAGACAGACAGACATACAGACAGACAAACGGACAGAGAGATACGAACCTCCAGTAATACAGGGTAGGAGGATGTTAGGCGTATCAAAGTTTTCCTGAGTAAGTACAAAGCACCCGCCCAACAGGTCCCGCTGCTGTTGCTGTGCCCCATAGCTCTTGTAAAAATAGTACCGGTAACGCGGCCGACAAATCTAAAACGGGAAACAAGTACATCAAATGACAAAAAGTAATTTTCATTAAAATAATACATTTATAGTTAATTTCATTAACACCATGGTTCAGCCAAAGCCATTTTAATTAAATCGTAAGTAAAAAAAATAATCACGAATTTGTTTATATTTATACATGACCTTATTATATGGCCTTGTGTTTGATTTATCAAATTTTTGAAAAACAAAAACAAAAACCCACTGGTTTCGCGGCCGACAAAATAATTTGAAACAGGAAAGGGTACAAGTGAATAAAATGATTAAAATTGCACTTTCATCATATTATCAAGGAAATGGCACAACGATACGTTTCCTTTGCACATGGACAGTGATTGGTATCTGTGACAGGATATATCCCGATCAATGTCGGATGCAGGGGGGGGGGGGTCTTCTTCTTCTTTTTCTGGTGAAGAAGATACGTATATGGAATGCTTTAAGGGAGGTTCATTATACTACAGATGAACGGAAATGGAGATAAGGTGAACATCTGTGGAAATCCTCCAAATATATCACTTGTCTTTTATGAAATATAATATTAATTTTTTCAGATTTGTAATCTTTTCTTTATTTTTTTTAACGAAAAACGCGAGAAATATTTGTACAAGATAAGAGGAGATGTTAGCGGTATGTTTTCATATTTTTAAAAAAATTTCTTTTATATTATTTGATTTCCAAAAACGTCAGCAAAACGAAAAAAATATTACACGACAAGACTTTCCTTTCATTTAAAACTTCTAAATTATTAAAATTGATCTTGTTCTTTTACATCCTATTGATACAAATTTGTTCATATAAGGTATGAATATATTGAGTCTGATGACCTGTAAACAATGCGAATGGAATTGAGGGCATAGACCTATACAAACGTGTAAGTTTCAACGATAGATGGAACTACATTTTAATCTATATTATATCCATGAGTACAAAGGGGTTTTTTTTTACCGAAAAATACAATTTTACCTTCCCAACGATATTTATCATATCGAACGATAATCATTATCTTGAAAGATTCAGTTAAAAGCTAAATAATTCATACGCTTTTGTTTTGTATTTTTTGTTAAGTATGAGAAAATTTGATTTATCCAGATTTTGAGAATGTGACATATTTAAAGGCATTCAACATTCATCATTTATTAAATTCAACCAGTCCACCTTTCATTCTTGATTTTACGAAAAACACAAAAACATCAAACTTACAAGGGGTATGAATAATTCGGTTGTTAAATGTAATTCTCATATTTGCACAAATCCAGGTCAACAAAAGTAACTCTTAAACAACGGTTATCATCTTTTCAATGATAAAACATTCGTTTGATTAATAAACGAGTCAAATATCCCAGCGTATAAAATCGTAGAATAGCCTTGATTTAAAGCCCGTCTGCACTAGTTTGGCCAGGGGATTAGACCTCCCTGCAAGGTCACTCACAGGTGGTTATCTCGTCAATTCAGCTCTCAATTAACATAACAAGGGGGGGGGGTCATGTGGGACCAACAGGCACCGATTAGGCATTGTTTGCTATAAAGAGGGCGCAAAGAGCTACATGTATAGGTAGTGCAGTGGGGCTTTATATAAATCATTGTCTTTAAAGAAGATATCACGCAGTGTTGCAGGCTGCAGAGAAAGGAAGTTGTAGATATATCAAATTGGTCAGCTTGTCTCGTACGTGACTCGATGAACGATGGAGTTTCCCCTGAATGCCAATAATTGAATTACTCTTAACTTTTATTGAATAACGTCTTTATAATGACAGCCACTGCTTAGCATGGTGATGTCTTATACACGTGGTTAATATGGTACAAGGAACGGAGGGGGAAAGTGGGTTTCGACTCCAACGTGATCGGGAACTGTGAGAAACCGTAGTTGCTTGTATCGCAAAAAATATCGCTATCCCGTTGCTGATATATGAATTATATTCAGCCATTCATTTATTTGATAGTTTCAAATTTAGCATTCTTTGATAATATTGGTGCAGAAGAAAGAGAGTGAAAAACGTGAATTCAGGGAATATTCTTTGTATTCGTTAGCTGCAGTACATATAAGGACAACTTAAACATGTGTTCTTAAGTGACATTTTCTCCAACCATATGTTTTAATCATGCATGCAGTTATGTGTCCAAATCCTGCTTTTATTAATCATATATGCAGGAATAATAAAGCTCATCCAGGCAAACATGAATTCATTGCATCAATTGGATATAGATGAATGCAAATGAAAAATATCAGTCTGGTTTACAGGTGAAACGAGGACACAAAATAATGAAGGGTTAATAAAAATGATAAACTAATGAAAAAAGATGATTTCTACTATCGTTACAATGCCTATATATATCTTCTGGCCTTTCAGTCAACTCTACTTTTAAGCTCAAGGTTTAGCTGATTACTGGTATGTCCATTGTTATTACAAGTTTGATTTCGATAAGTCAAACGTCATGTACTGACATATGTTGTGACACGTGTATGTTTGACTTTCATAGTTCACTGAACTTCACCAAGACAAAGAGAATTGGAATGGGTATAAGTTTGGATAAACAACCAAGATTTCCTGATTTCTCAGCATTTCCAGCATGGAAGTTCATTCGAGGTCATGGGTAGTTCTCTCGTTTTCTCTCTCTCTCTCTCTCTCTCTCTCTCTCTCTCTCTCTTTCTTTTCCCCCCTCTCTCGTTCTTTTTCTGTCTGTCTTTCCCCCTCTGTCCCCCTCTATCTCTCCTTTTTGCTCACTCTCTCTCTCTCTCTCTCTCTCTCTCTTTCTCTCTTTCTATCTCTTTTTCTCTCTTCATCCACACCATTCTCTTCGTCTCTTCGTATCCATCTCTTTGAATGTCTGTTTGGCGGACTGTTTCTCCCCTTCTTCTCCATCTCCACTTCCCTACCCCTTTCTATTTCCCCGCCTTTGATCTTTCTTTCTCTCTCTCTCCCGCTTTCTCTCTAACTCTCTGTGTATTCGACTTCGTGTCTATAATTATGTTTGACTGATCGTTCTCGCCTTCTTTCTATCTTCCTTTTCTACCCCTCTCTGACCCCACTTTTTCCTCATCTCTCTCTCTCTGTCTCTCTCTTTATCTCTCTCTCTCTCTCTTTCTCTCTCTCCTTCTCTTCCTCTTTTTTCTATTTAATTTGACAGGGTCGGTACACGTTCTCACCCTATTGACGAGGTCATACTAATTATCAAGCCATTGACTGTCAGGAAAAGTACATGTCACCGGTATCATCACCCCAGACTAAAAGCTATTTACAGGGAACAACTAAATTATGTATACCCTAACCAGTCTTTGTATTTGCTTTTAATAATGTTTGAACATTTTATTTTCCCGATTTATGATTTTTGAGAATATGACCAATTAAAGCTTACATCTAAAAGTATTCAACAAAGACTCTAAATCTAATAGAGCGTTTTACTAACATATTCACAATTATTTTAAAATAAAGTTGTCCATGACAACCTGAAAGCTTCCCCGAGCTTTGCCCGGCATTGTAGTTAATTCATTAATAACAGGCTAATGGAATAACTCGTCACTATGTCCCCAGGAATGTGAAATCCAACAATTTGAATATGTTAGTAAACCGGTTTCAGTATTAAACCAGTTTACTTTCACTCTTGACTTACGAAAAACACACACAATTTTTTGTTGCAATGGGTGTGAATAATTCAAGGCATGGACCTGCTACCTCGGTACTACAACCGGTAAATCCACCACAGTAACCGGAAATACTTTATACTTGTGAGCGACCCGGGAAATGTAGATCGCAAACAACTCTGGAAAATGAAAAGGCTCTGGTAAAAATAGATTTAAATAAATAAACATCACTGCGATGAAATCTCACTTACACTCTAATAGTATTCCAAGTTCGATAAACAAAAGAAAGCAAAATATCCCATCGTGATAAACAAAAATTACCCTTTCAAAAGTTCAAACTGGAAAAAACATAAAATATCGAAATGAAAAAAAAAAACAAATGCTCTAGCATGTTATTTTGTTGGCCTCCAGTTGCCATAACTTATTCAAGATAAGTGTGACTGCATATCATATACATATAAACTACATGTAAATTTACCAAACTGTTTACAAATTTACTCTGTCGCTTCTACCTGTTTACGCAAATTCTAAATCGAATTGCTGTACGGCCCCAAGATTGTTCTCATTCTCTCTAAAAACTTTGAATGATGATACATAGATTGATGTGAGTTGGTCATGCGGTAATGTCCGTGGTACGGTCAGTTCTCTGAATTCGCCCACAAACTGACTCATCCGACCCCGGTTCGAGTCTGAGTCACGTCTTTCGGACCTAATTAAACATATCTGATTGATGCCCGTCTATAAAAACCCAAATTACACACACACATGCGCGCAACGCACACGCGCCAAACACCCACCCACACGCACGCACACACACGAGGGACTATTCTTCGATATTCAAGAAACGAATAATGTAATATTCCTTACCACAAGTGAGCCGTTTGGTCCTCCGCTAGACATAGAGGCTCCTAACCACTGGTCTGATTTATTATAGATCTGTCGACCAGTAAGACCTGAGTAGTCATTACCTGTAGATAAGGACAACGGGTGAACATAATTATTTCGAAATAATTTTGTGAATATTTCTGAATAATTTTGTGAATATTTTTGAATTATTTTGTGAATATTTCTGAACAATTTTGTGAACATTTCTGAATAATTTGTGAATATTTGTGAATAATTTTGTGAATATTTCATTTTTCTCATTATACAATTTTTCTATTTCAAATTTTTAAAAATCAGAAATGGTCGAAAATATATATTAGTCTAGTATTACTGATATTGAATTATCTTCTTACTTATAAAATTAAGCTGCATGATCTGTAATCTATTCATTCATTCATTTATTGATCTGCTCCATGTGTCTAGTCAATATCTATATACACTTTTACAAATACAAAGTTTGGGAAGAATAACAAAATACTACATTCATTGTACAAAAAGGGGAAAAGGGAAGACAGTAAAAAAAAACATGACATTTTATTTTGATGCCATATCGAAAATAACTATTTCCTGCAGTATCCATTTAATTATCAACCAATTTTAACTTTTAGTCAGTAAACATATTCTACTGATGCGCTTGTAATAGCCTAAATTAACAATAATATCTTTCATTTTGTACAATACACATAATCATAAAAACGCATTAATCAGTTCACATGCATGCATTTTCTCGAAAGATTAATTCCTAATTTCTAAAAGAAAGCAGCACAGCTAGAAATGGTGGTTGCTAGTTTACTCATACTATAGTGACGTACCTCGATTATCCAATTGTAACTCTGTGCAATTACCAGCCAATGATGCGTTGTGATTGGTGAAGGAGCATTTGTAGGCCACACCCCCTCTCACGATGTCAGTATAATTGCATTGTCCTTTGGGAGCACCTACAACCAACCTGTCAAAGATAACAAGCATGATGATACAGTGAATAATGTGTAAGGACAACTACCCCCGGACTGATATCCCCGGACAATTAGCCTACCTCCTCAACCGGAACGATTCCCAACCCGGAATATTACCCCTCTGAAACATCACAACTAGAGGTTGATTAGATAGGGTGGCAATTTCAACGACAGTAGTTTTCCTGCGGTTAACATCCTAAGGAGATATTGTCATCAGGTCATATGTCCGGGCGCTGATAGTCCAGGACTAGTTGTCCTAGAATCTATAATGATGATGATGATTCAAATGATTCAAATGATTTTATTTGTCATGCAAAACATAATACAAGAATAATTATATCACAACAAAATATACAATGAAACAATAAATAAAATGGAAATAGCACGAGAAAAGAGGATCTAACTTGAAGCAGAGCTTGTTGAAGAGTTAGTTCCTCAGATGCTGTATTACAATAAAACGTGAAAAAGTATGCTTAGTAATCAATAAATAGACAAATATGTAGGTAAGAAATTCTGAATGGGGGGGGGGGGGGATAAAACAAAGAGAAAAAAAAAGAGGAGAAAGAATAAAAAATGGAGGAAAATAGTAGAAAACAAGAACAAAAGCTCTAGAAAAGGGAAATTTGATCAGTAGAATGAGGGGAAAGAAACTGAGTCGAGAGTCAAACAAACCGAGATTCGATCATGTATATGTATTTAAAAGTTTAATCTTTAACTGATGATGATAATGATTTAAAACAAAACGCTAGTATGATGATAATTTTTGTAAGACTATATTGTACGAACTAGTTACCAATAATGTTAATGTTACACGACAAACTTGACCATTTTGTTAATAATAATAATTATGATAATTTTGTTTGCCCAGGGGAGCCTCATCAGCTTCATTGCTCTTCTTCTTGAAGGCCCTGCAACTATCATTACACCCAGCAATTCCACACATTTACACGTGGTTAGATAGTGACAGATGTGGAGTAATCTAGTTAGTGCCGAGTTGGGATTCGAACCCTCAACCCTTGAATTGAAAGTCATGTGAATAAACCACTAAACCACGACACCTCCACGAGGCGCTTGTTGTAAGCTTGTTCATGGTTCGAACTCTTCAGACAGTCTGAATGACACATTCGGATTTGATCCGTGCAGATTAAGACAGATACCAGACAGGAAAGGAACAATTAAATAAGAGCTCACTCGGATACATGTTATTGATTGCGAGATTACGAACTTAACATTAGGCTTACTTAATGATCCATTGTCAAATGCCCGGAATACATAACGGTTCACCACCTAACATCAGACATGTGTTATGTAATTACAGGTGGAAACAAATGTCAGTTACAATGATGGTCAATTACCTATATCTCAAAAGCCAGACAACTATTATCTGATACAAGAGATCAGACATGGCTACTTGATATCCCTTCCAGTCAAAATAATCTGAATTTGAATAATCAATTTGACAGATGTGAGCTTTGAAATTTAGATAAGGCAAAGTGTACACTGTACGTAAACAGCATTAATACAATTATGTGATAGATATACATTTACCATTGCCAAGCGTTAGATTGATGCATGCTGACATAATTTAATATTACTGTATGTTTACCAGAGTTAGATCTGCTACGTTAATACCTAAACACATTTATCACTTCATGGATTTGTCAAAGATGTTTCTTTAACAAGATATGCTATGAATTCATAATAATAATAATTTGAATGTATATAGCGCTTCATACAAAATACCGTATCTAAGCGCTTTACAGATTTTGTCAGTATAATAATCATGTAGTGACTAAAACCGTAATTTAGAATGAATATAATGTCCAACAAATACTCCTTAGATGGTCTAGTGGTCAGGGCAGTGGCCTCCATACCAGGAGGTCCACGGTTCGAAACCAACAAAGTGCTATCCTAAAATACTTCGTCCCAATGATAGAAATAGCCACGAATCAATAGGTGTTACCCTACAAGGCACCCAATATGAAATAAGAGACAATGTAAGATCTAACATTTCAAATTATTCACATATTTTGTGAGAATCGCTTTTTTTTAACTATCACAAAAATGTGTTTGAATTCCTAAAAAGTATACAACCGGTAGAGCACGGCATGTCGTGGCGTTGATGACAAAGAAAAGTCGGGATAATGTTTCTCAGGAAAATGACAGTATACTTGTCATTTCTCAACGCCAAATAATATCAGACTGCTCAGTGGGATAGCTAGACGGAGGGCGTAGGGGTACGCCCCCTCCATAACAGCGAGGGGGAACAAAAGAAGATAGAGAAAAATACATTCAAAATAGGAAATGGAGAGGATAGTGGGAGAAAATTTTAAAAGAAAATGATAAGGATCCCCTTACGACCCTCCTCTAATCAATGACCCTGTTCATTTTATTCAACGTATCATACAGCGAGTTTGTTTAAGAAAAGTACGTATTAGTTCCAAATACGTTTAATTAAAACAAAAATTGTTAAAAATGTCATGTTATGACCGATAAAATCACTTATACAAACATAAATAAAGCGAATGAGTCCGCCCCCTCAATAATGCCAGTACCCTTGTGCCCTCACCCACTGAAACTGCAATATTCCTGTACGCCAGGTAAAACAAGGTCTGTAGTTTCATTAGAACTGATTGGGGTATTATCTACATGGTACATGCATTAAAGGGGAAGCCCACCCTGATATTAAGCTGGGTTTTTATATAAGAAGAAAAAATGAGAGAAACAGGTCAGTGAAAATTTGAGCAATATCGGATTAAGAATTAGAAAGTTATGAATTTTGAAGGTGCGATCAATCAAACTCAAATTGGCAACTCTATGACGTATTTTGCGAGCTCCCTTCACATTTTGCCCTGTAAAAAAAAAAAAAAAAATTAAATTTTTTACATTTTGACTTAAGAATGTGTTCAATCATATATTCTCGTAGTTATAAGTATTGCAATTATGGTTTTATATATCCCCTCTGTGAAACATGCTTTAACTATATTTGAACTCAATTAACGCAAAATTATGTCCTGCACTGTAAAAAAGAATTTGTTCATTGGTAATTTTTACGTATTTTTTCCATGTAGAATTTACATGAAAACATTAGTTTTGCCACTTACGCACTAAATTTAAGTCTTGCTAACTCAAACTTTCAATTTAGTAGAACATACGTGGAATATTTAAGTAAAATAAAATACATAAGAACTTTAAGTAATTTCAGCTTGTATTTATTTAGTAATTTTAAGTCAAAATCAGAAATTATACGTATTACTCAAACAATTTAAGTTGACTATTCTTATCTTTTTAAAGTAAGGACCGATGCAGTGCGTAATAGAAATATTTACATAATTTATGAATATTCATTAAGACCAAATTAAACTCTTTTTTAAATAAAACAATTCTTTTTTGTGATTGAATGAAAATTTAAGGACTTTAAAACATTTACTAATTCATTTAACATGGCTAAGCAAAAACAAGACTATTTTTAATTGTTACCCAGTTCAAAACAAATCAAAACTTAATATTTCAGGAAATTGTCAACCAATTTTCCTTTTAAGATGCTACGATCAAGTATATATAAAATTTGGAGCCTTTCAATAATGTGTCGAATTGAAGCGTATGTAATATTTTGTGATGGTGGTAGATATATATATATATATATATATATATATACATATAGCATATAGCATATATATATATACGGTTAAATCTTAAATAGAAGTAGTGTTAGTAATTAGTGATTAATCTTAAATAGAAGTAGTGAATGATTAGTGGATGTTACTTGTTAGATTAGATGGGTACCAAATCGTGCAATATGTAATCCTATCATAGCTTTTTTTTAATTATCTAAAATGATTACAATACTTAAATTATTTACGTTAATGTAACTCGATTTAACTGAGTAAAAATTTATTCAGCAAAATAAGTAAATTCTACTTAAGATGCCGTAGGTAATATTTACTTAATAAAAATAAGGCAATTCTTTTCCTCAATTTTATTGAGTTATTTCGACTATTATTTTTTTACAGTGTGAAGTATATTTAAAAAATGACGGTTGCTTTCTCTTTTTGGAACTACTTTATAATAATTACATGTATGCCTACAATAATTGTACAATATCCTCGTAATTGCGCCAGGGTGTCAATTCTGACAGATATGTCGCATTATATCATTATCATTAGCAGTAGTATTGTTATAAATGTCACTGCCAGTTCACAATTCCTGCTTATTTAGAGGAGCATAATGCCGATGGTGACAAGGAACTCATTTAGATACGCTATCAAATCACGGATAGCAGCCCTCGTTTACTGAAGGTAAACCAGACGATTAACCCTCTTCATAAACTCCATATCCTTCCGCTTCCCTTTAACTTAATTAGACGGAAATAATTGAGTAATTAAGGAGTAACGCACGGTTGCTTCATCAATTAGACCTTCACCGTTTTTTTCTTTTATAGTTTTCCCCTTCGAGTGACCCATAGGGCAGACAGGTGATGAGATGAACAGATCACGTTTTAATTGATCATCTTCCTCTTGTTCTGTAACGAGGCGACCCGGTCTGTAGCTTCCAGATACCTTAATATAATGTGTTCTTTTATTTACATTTAAAAGAAAATAACCAACAAAACATCAACAAACCGTTCCGTTGATCGATGTTGTGTATTCTTGGGGGAGGTCGTTTCCTTTCAACTGAAACGAGGATGTAATGGTATTAACATCTTGTAAATTAACAACATCAATCTTTAATACCCTTGGCAATATGAATATCCAACGTCATTTTATGGCATCTTGTGATGAATCAAACTTGTTAATTTCTTAGGAGTTTGACATGCAATGTCAATAGGCATACTTTGAAGTTAGCAGTTATATACAAATTCTTTTTGATAATATCCTTATACAGGAATAATTCTATTTTCATTATTTTCTTAAATATTTAATATCTTAGCATTCTTGCATCGTTCTGTTGTTGATCATTGCTACATTGGTAAAGATAAATCTTATTTCATATTTTGTATAATCTATGAGCCAATTATTTTACAATTTTAACCGAATGATGTACTCGTGCACCATGTATCTAGGTTGTTACGTATATATATTTACCGTCTCTATACCTTGATCATTTACTTAAAGGGAAATCCAATCTTAAATGACAAATATTCTAAAGGAAAGCAGAAAAGTCAGAGAAGCTGACTGGTGAAAGTTTAATGAAACTTTTTGAATTTTCACTGCAGGTATGGGCACTTCAAATTTGCTTAATCGGTAATCATGTTACTGTATAATGAAATACCGGACTATACTTTCTTATTTATTTCAACACACACTATGATTACCATGTTCATGGCTTACCAACGGTTATAATATCTGATTCAGAACAATTCATATTTATTCTAGATTGTAATATCTTCCCCAGGCAAAATCAACTGATAATGGATATATTTTTTTGTTTGATGATGATGATTGTTTTACCTAAATGCTAAGAAAGCTTGCTTGTAAGTATAAACAACCAGGGGACCAACATCTTTAAGTCCTCTCCGAGTGCCTTGGTAATGTGGATTAATTCCTTAACTAAGGGCATGGGGTTTGACTTGGTTCCGAACCCGGTATCTCACGGTTACGAGACCACTGCTCTACCACTGAGTCATCGTGCCTCCTCATTCGTTTACAATATATACAATATAAAAGAAACGATTCCACCCTTTAAAGATACTATGTCCCTTTTGCAGCCAACATCAATTTCTGTAGAACTTTGCAGGAATTATGAATATGTTATGTATGTCCTATTTGTGAAATTTAAACATTAGCAGTGTCCCAGTATTCAAATTATGCAAGGAAACCTGTAACCTTCTAGACTTCACTCTCAGACACTATTGAGTGACTGACTGGCATATTTTTTCTTTGGTAACATACATAACATGAGCTGTAACAGACTAACAGGTACATGGGCACTTGTCTACATCAGTAACCCACTACTTGTAATGACCAAAATTACACTGATTGAATCTTTGTGCAGCACAAAACGTACGACCATACGTAATTATTGTCCCACTAAAAGCCATTTTCAAGCCCTTTCGTTTTGTGGGAAGTTCTAAAATAGTGTTGTCTTTCAAATGCTGTTGGGATTTAATTTTTCATTTTTTGGCCTGCAAATAGGACATAGTACCTTTAAATCTCACAACAAATCTTCATTTTCTTCGGGCTTACTCATCAGATTTTTTTTTCGAGGAGTGACTAAAAATGCATATTTCTTGTTGCTGAAAGGTTGAAGGTCATCCTACCAGTATCCTGGCACGGTTCTTATTTCGTCACTCCAGGATCACTTTAATGGGTTTAACAGCACCGATATGAAAGCTTTACTAATCACAGTTACTTTCATATTCCTCTTCGTGGCGACGATGATATTGAATGTGGCACCAAACCATCGCTGGACAAAAAGGTTACACGGGTTTATAGACCACCATGTTGTTCTTATATTGTTGCTTTTGTTTGTTTTGGTTTACTACAAATTGTGTTTAGATCGTTTTCTTTAAATTTTGCATACTTGAACAAAACATCATACTCTGAAAGTTAATTCAAGTTCATTGACTATGAAAATATATTTATATCATTTTTGTTTATCAGTCGCATGATATATTAGAATAATCCTTAAAAATGTTAAGTAATTATAAAGGGGAAGTCCACCCTGATATTAAAAATTGCCAATTTTTTGTTTGATTGATCGCATCTTCAAAAATTCATAACTTTTGGTTTGTGCTCGAACTTTAATAATAAGTTGTTTCTCTCATATTTCTGCTTCTAGTAAAACAAACTTAATATGTTGGTGGACTTCCCCTTTAACTAATTTTGCTGTTTGAATGCTTGTGTCAGGCTAGTATTTGATCATGTGAGCTATACCGTGTATTTGTCCGGAGACATGCAAAGTCCGTTTAAATGGGAAAGGACACAAAATTTGTTTTCATTATTTTGTACATGATACGCCTTCGAATCTCCTTGGTATAAAGCACTCATTAGCATGACGCAAATCACGCAGGACGAAGACAAATCGTCAAATTAATGTATCGATTCGATCATTATAAACTGTTAACTATATTAAAAAGAAAAGTATGGGTTTTGTTCCAATATATCTTTTCTTTATTTTGTTGGTATTGACATGATCAAGCTCGAGCTTTCGTGGGTTATCCTGTTCAAGCTCATTTAATTTTGATTTTTTATTATTTTATGTTGTTGTATAGTGAATGATGGCGAATAAAACCAATCAATCACTCTATCAGCTCCTCCTAGCCCCTCTCTCCCTCCCCCAGCCCGAATAAATACTGCTTGTAATCTAGATATGTATACGTATCAAGTTAAGGGGGTAGTATTATACCATTCTATTCCAATCCAGGTCAAGAAGATGATGACCTAGATCAAACTTATAAACCAAACGTGTTAAGGTCATTCTGGTGTCACAATCGAAGGACTTTGATGCGACAAAATAAGGAAGACTGTCGAAACTTTCTTAGACCAGAAGTATTACCTTAAAGCGCATTAGCAAAGTCGGGTTAGCATCCGATTTAAAAGGAAATCTGATTAAGATGTGTAAATCTGTGTCGTTGTCTTTATGATATCTGCTATAAATCTAGATATGTATCAGGAAATCCAGAGTTAAAATCAAAAGTGACAAAAGTAGAGCACTTTGGGGTGAAATTTTTGCTGACAGGTGTAACATTTGGGACAAAATTATTGTTTAGTAGTGCAAGGAAGACGGACTCATGTATAATGACGAACGTATGACACTAAAGAAGAGAAGTATGATGAGCATGATGATGACGAATATGATGATATGATGATGGTAATTATGGCGGTGGTAGTGGTGGTGGTGGTGGTGGTGTTGGTTGTGATTATGATGATGGTGATGACGATGATGCTGATAATAATGATGATGATGATGATGATGACGATGACGATGACGATGACGATGACGATGACGATGATCCTGATGTCGGTGATGAGGAGGAGGAGGAGGAGGAGGAGGAGGAGGATAAAGAGGATAATGATGAAGGGAAGGTTGATGTAATAGTATGATACAGAATAAAGGATGGTCTAGGGGTTTAAACAACCGAAGTCATTACTTGAAATATCTCATTATTGAATGGCTCATCTCTTAATCCCGAAAATGTTTCAAATGCAAATATTATCCTTTGAACTAAATAACATTCAGTTTACGACGGAATGAAAACATTTCATGAATATGTTTTAACACCTTAAACTACTTGATCTCCTAGAATAAACCTCCTCCTAATTTGAATAAATTTAATGACTAAACCTACATTCGAATCGATTAGCAAATAGCAATAATGATTGAATCACAAAACAAGATAGCTTTATCGAAGCGAAGGATACAAATCAAATTCTTTATCTTATCACATTAGGGAAAATCTGTATGTTGTATTGAACGGAGCTATCAAGAAAGTCTCTTCATTTGAATGAGATCCAAGATAAACTATTCAGACAATGCAAGATAAACAGATATCAAATTTCATGTTGCTTTAAAATATTAAAAAAAAGTAAATACCGACCAAACTTCCTACTTGTGATCGTCTATTTTGAATATTTGTAATTTAAACTTTCCCCAGCTGCTCGTGCTTTCCTTACCTACTAGTTAACTCTTTCCCTCCCCATGTTGTTAGATGCCCCCATTGTTTTTAACTTTAGAGCCTTTCGGATCCCAATTCCCTCGGTCCAGTAAAAAATCACTGCCTCCCCTCCTTTTGCTGTGTACACAAAGGTATATAAACATTGATTAATACATTATTGATGACTTTGCCGCCCCCACACAAATAATGTATTGACGCTCCTGTTCAAAAAATGACTTACATAGTTTCAGAGCCATGCTGATGTAGGGTGAGGGCTTGCCCGAAACGGCTGTCGGCGTGGTGATCGGTGAAAATGAGAGGCGATGTCGTATCGATGTTGTAACATCCACCGAGACCAAACAGCAAGAAAGGTGTTACCGCCATGAGGACACCGGTCCATAACTGTTCAGGATTCATCTTCGCTCAACTGTGATCTACACGAATTGTTTCGATTGAAAATGACTGAAATTTTATTTTCCCCAGCTGTAAGTTTCCCGATAATTCGATTTGCAGTTTATCAAGTTAAGCTGAAGAAAGCTTCGTCCATACCAATTTGTGTCTTTATGCTCATACTCCGGTGTTCCTATCCTGTATCATTCTAAGAGAATCCATCTATAACGGTTGATTTATTCCAGTTATTTCATTCCATTAGAAAAGAAGAAATATCGTTTGCATAATAATCTAACAAAAGCAAACACAAACAAACACAAAGAATGATATTTCGCGACAGATCCAGTTAATGAAAAAAGGCCGACTCCAAACGCGAATCCAAACACATAAGGAACACGTTCTCATTCTCACATGTCCTAACAGAAAGAGAATTCGAAGCTAATGACTACTCTCTATCTTGATGAGGGTCCCCTCAATTTAGGAGGAAAATAAAACTTGTGCTGAAATTAAAGATAAGAGTGATATATATATATATATATAGGCATATCGCAACGACAATGGCCAGTTTTCCTAGGCCAGAAACTCCAATGATTTCTTATTCCCAAACGCAGAAATTAATCAGCCCGTTATGCAGTCAAACAATCTACTTCTCCTGTATAGAGACCAATCCTCAGTTGATGATGTCCTCATCCATTGGTGTGAAACTGGATGTCAACAAGACAATGCGTGTCAGACAGACGTCACTCCATCAGAAATAGTTTCAATAGATCGGACATCGGGAAGACCTTACAACTCGTTTATCTCCCACAGGGTTCTGGCTAAAAATAATATCTCAAATACTCCTTAGAGGGGGGTATTGCCATTGGTGATTTATTAGGTGAAAGGGTTATAGAGAGTGGGAAAGATGGGTAGGCCTAAAGATAGATGCTGTCCGGTGGCTTTCCTGTATCGGGGCCCGTTCACACTGCCCGGGTGCAAGCGACCGTCTGGACGGAAGAAGGTCTCCGTCTGGTCTCCGTCTGGTGTATCTACTCTATTGCTTTATCTACACGAGTACATTAAATAATGTGGATGTGACGCGATCATTAGAGACTTTTAGATTTGCGTGGACTGGATACGTGTGACGTCCATTCAAGGCAGGGCATTAAAAGGACGTCGACCGTAGCAATCCACATTGTCTTCGTGCAAATCTAAAAGTCCCTATTATCGACGTGAGACGTGGTCATGAATTATTCAGAATAAATTAAGTGGCGCGAAGAGTTATGAAAATGTGTCATTGTGTCAGAACATATTGTCTATATATACACGGGAATAAACGCAGGCCAACTGATTTTCTTCATTCTCAGTGATAATATGAAGAATATCGAACACGGAAGGAAGACACCAATAGGAAGATAAACACTGCCGATGGGTCCTTGGATTTCATGCAAAATATGGATTCCAGATTTATACAAACCATCTGGCGAGAATATAATTAGCGGCGTATATTTGAGAGCGTGATTTCTGCCAGCCGGTTAAACAAGCAGGGAGGGTATAAGCGTGTCGATTGAGTTGATATAAGATTGGAGTTGCATTCCATACTTTTAGCATGACCAGTATTTTTAATATATTGCAGGTCACAAGTAAAAACGGGAAGTTCGTCTGAACTTGAACTCTTGAGAAAAGTTCTTTGCCCCGTGGGTAACACTAATTGGTGCTGTATCTAAAGGGTCAGTTTTCTGCCCGCAGACGTATGGTCAGACATAATTGTATGTAACACAGGGGAATGCACTTTAAGGATGGTCAAGCGATGATGAAACGGAAACGACAGAGCCGCATGAGAAAGAGAGAGAGAGAGAGAGAGAAAGAGAGAGAAAGAGGGAAGGGAGGGAGAGAGCGAGAGAGGGAGACACATAGAGAGAGAAAGAGGGAGTGTGTGTGTGAACTTGGGGGGGGGGGGGGGGGGGAGAGGCGCGGTTCACCTGCCAAAAACTGGATACATTGGCCCGAATTCACAAAGCAAGGTTTGAGCTCAAACCTCCTTTTGTTTCGCCAAACCTCCTTTTGTTCTTTACAAACCAGGTTTTTAAAAATGCGAAAAACAAGGTTTGTCGACAAACCTCCTTTGTGAATTCGGGCCATTATGTTCATACTGCTGGTTGTAGCTAGGTCGTAGGCCTAGCTGGTGGTGGTAATGGTGTTGCTATCTACCACACCCTGAAGTATGTTGCTGTAGTTTGATGAGGAACCATGGCCTTGTTTTTAGCCATGGTTGCTTGATGAACCACCCCTGTCGTAGCTAGACTACCGGTTGTAGAGAGAGGGGGAGAGAAAGAGAGAGAGAGAAAGAGAGAGAGAGAGAGAGAGAGAGAGAGAGAGAGGAGAGAGAGAGAGAGAGAGAGAATACTCATCTGCGCATGATCATAATGACCATGGTGACGCACATATATCATACAGAACCCACCCAGATTTAATAATAAAATTGTTAAATTGTTTAAGCGCGAGATTTAGCCTGAGAGCCCTGCAATTTTCTGTCCATTAATAATTTATCTTTTCCAGCTTAGACCACGACATTTCTTGGGTCACGAGATTTTCACTTATAATTTCATTTAATTAAAATTCATATCATCATGATCATAAAGATATTTGGTCATATAGCAGAGAAGACAGTCAGTTTCAGTAAATGATTCAATCATCGTAACTTCCCTGGATTTTCTCTCTAGTGAAAAATACAACATTTCGTTAAACCTTATCATCGTTATTTCATTGTCACTGAATCCTTTTGTTTTTCTTGGTTAATCGTAATGATCACCATCGTCATCGTCACAAACTTTATGTTAATACCATCGTCTTAAAAATCATCGTCGTAATCTCTACCATCGATAGCATACGCTGCAATAGCATCATTAACGCCGTCTTAATCACCACCACCATCATCCTCATCCTCATCATCATCGTTATCATCCACTTCAACATCAAGTTACATTTCTGTGTTCGAAAAAAAAAATCATCGTCGCTACAAGAATTGCCCAAGCATAACTAGTTTACGTCAAAATAAAGCTGTTACTAACAATTTGAACTTTTAATCTCTAAAAACCATAATTATCGCCGTCATCATCTTCGTTGTCATCGTCAACTTCGTCGTCGTGTCAAGATGCGGATAGATGCTGACATTTTTGTTGGCTTCCTCTCGCTGTTCAGCGTCCTGGCCATCCTGCTCAACGGGGCGACGTTGATCGCTATCATAAGATGTCGGAGTCTTCGAAAGACGCAGAACATCTTCACCTTCAACGTCGCCTTGGGTGACTTCGTAGCATCAATCGTTGTAGCCGTCCAGCGATGGCTTGATCATTGGGGAGACGTGAATGTAAGTTTGATTTGATTATCTGTTTTTACTCCATAAATAAAAATGATAATAATGGTGTTGTGGTCAAGTACAGCGGTTTTCAACCTTTTTCTTTTTGTCACGGCACCCTTTTGAGAAACAATGGCTCGAATTCACAAAGGAGGTTTGAGCTCAGACCAAGGTTTTTGTACGTCATATGACGCGTTTTACGCATTTTTTTACAAACCTGGTTTGTAAAGAACAAAAGGAGGTTTGGCGAAACAAAAGGAGGTTTGAGCTCAAACCTTGCTTTGTGAATTCGGGCCAATAAGTTTCACGTCACCATAATCCCAAATTCAGTTACAGAAATTCGCTTTGCATCATTCTGACTCTCGTCCACCGCCATGTACGCAAGAACACATTTGTTTCTAAACATAATAACACCTTTGATATGATCAAAAAAATTACTATATAATCTATACACTACATGCAATATAAATGTGCAGGCATCTCGCTGCCGAATACATAAATACAAAATTATTATGTGCGGTCAATTCGAAGCACGAATATGAGGAGATTCGGGTACCTCATTGCCAAGAATTCTCCTGTTTCTAAATGTTGCGAGTAAGTAAAAGGAACGAGTGTGGTAAAAATGTAATTTCGATATAAAAGATACTATACATATTCGGGCACCTCGCTGTAAAATAAAAGGCTATTTGTGCACCTCGTTGCTCAAATATGAAGGTACTCAGTGACTTCGCTTCCAGAATTCAACATGTTACTAGAGGTTGCGAGAAGGCGAAACGAGCGAGGAAAAAAAAATGTTTCATTGTCTTTGAATTTGTATTTCCTCAAGAAAATTTCTGAGGTTTTCGAGAAATCGACGTTATTCAAAAAATGATTTTAAAAAAAATTGCCGCGGCACCGCTGGTCTAAGTGAATAAGGAAAATCCCCGGACTATAACGTACATGACGCGAGGTTCGATTCCCTGTAACGGCACTTGTGTCCTTTGCCAAGACATTATTCTGTATTCGTCATCCACTCAATCAAGAAGAAGAAGAAGATTAAGAAGAAGAAGAAGAAGAAGAAGAAGAAGAAGAAGAAGAAGAAGAAGAAGAAGAAGAAGAGGGACGAGAAGGAGAAGAGGAAGATGAAGAAGAGAAGAAAAGAAGAAGAAGAAGAAGAAAGACAAACTTATCTTGGTCAATACGGTTACATTCTCTGTTCTGAAATGCTTGTATTATTTGCCACTTCATTCCGCCTAGGCATAAAGGTGTGATACCTTGGATACAGGCAGGGAAAACATCTTGACCCTCAAAACTGATATTCAAATATCTGTTGTTGATATATTCTTTCGGGAGACAAAGTTACTGCTAGCCACTCGACATATTTAGTCAAGCTAGCCCTCAATTCCTCGACCCCACCCCCCCCCCCCGCATACAATATATTATCCATGGATAACAATGTCTATAAATTAAGCAACTTATAATGAAATGGACAACTATATGGATTTGAAAAAAAATATAGTTCGAGTTCTATGTGACGGTAACGTGTATCGGCTGTTGAGAGACAGAAGGGCGTTTACTCATATTCATAATGACTATTAAATCAAAGAAGTTCTTTTATGCTATTTTTCTTAAAGCTCTCAATCTTGACACGTACTCTGGGAGCTGCTATGATGATAAGCGTCTTAAGCACACTCGCTGTGGCCATTCACCGTTTCATCATCATCCGCCTCGACCCTTTCCAAAACCGTCGTCTCGTCACGCCTACTCGCTGCGTCATCGCCTGCGTGTTCATCTGGGCCGCCGTCTTCGCCGTCTACCTGGGCACCTATCTCCTCAACGACCGTCTCTTCTTCTACTTCGTCTCCCCCATCATGCTCCTGTGCGCCATCGGGATCTGCGCAATCGTCTACGCCGTCGTGTACCTCACCATCTCAGCATCGATACACGGCATTGGGTTGACATCCGACGCGTACATCCTTCGAGTTAAGAAGAACCAGAAGGTCCTGTGTACCTTCCTCTTGGTGGTGTTCTCAAACCTGGCCTGCTGGGTCCTCATGTGCTTTGTCATGATTTGCTTCTTCCTCAGGCCGTCGTTCATTCTCCAATACTACCCCCAGTACGGCCGGTATTACACCGCTGCCTGGTTCTTAAACCTCTACTACGTCGCCTGGTGGCTCGTCAACGTCAACGCCATCATCAACCCGATCATCTACTGGACGAGGCTCAGCGACTTCAGACGACTGATTTGCAGCTGCTGCGGTCATCGTAACGACAAAGAATCGTTGCCGGTGACGGAGGATAGCAAGATCGAAAGCGACTACGACAAAGGCAAGAATGATGTGAGCATGGTTGCCATGAAGGGTGTGATTAATCAACAAGAGAATGGATGTATTTAAAATAGTAAATGTTGTGGATGAATAGCGGATCTAGAAGGGAGCTCCAAGCTTGCACCCCCCCCCCAAAAAAAAAAAAAAATCACCCTCCCCCATCTTGATTATACAAATTAAAGAATCTGTATATAAACCTGCCTATAAAGAACACTTGCCTTGCCTCTGTTGAGTGGTCTTTATTGTATCATAAAAATAACATGGTTCTAAAAGAGCCATAATAAAATTTGTGTACACTACTTACAAAAGATTGAGTGTAACACATTGATTTCGCTTACATTTGCAAGATGCCCTAATTGCAAATTCATCATCGAAAATAAAAGTAATTCAAAAGATGACAAACGATGATTATTTGAGGAGTCGTTGTGAACAGTTTGAAATATTTACGTTCTATTTGAAATATTTGTAATTTGTAACATAGCCTGCTCTTTAAAGCCATATGGTAGTGAGTGCCCACGTGTATTGCATCATAATTCGCTGACACTGGATTTGGTTGATTTACCACATTAATGACATATATACATGAGTTATTCCATAAGGTGGTAGGCTAGGGCACAATGCATTACACAAGACTTGTCTTTGAAAAGTGAAGTCCACCCTTGGTGACTGACAACACCTGTTATTGGGTGTACACCAGAGTGGTGTCAAATTCCCCATAAAAACCCACTAGTATGCGTCTTTATATTAAATGCTAAGAGTGATTAATTTGAATAGATAGTTTGAATGACTTCGCTGTATAAGACTTGGAATATAAACATAGATATGGATCTGTCATAAATTGTATTGATATTGTCGAAGCGCAATTTTAGTGATGGAATTTGATTTTTCATATTCTATTATTCATTTAGCATAATACCCTCAGGACATTTACGGGGTCTAACCCCCCCCCCGCCCCCGTTGGTTCTTGTGTGCCCTTTTTCCATTTCTGACCACAAAGGGACCTGAAATTCTGATAGAATTCTATTCGTCTATTTTAGTATCTTTATTCATGTGTTTTGCTTTTTTACAAATTTTAAAATAAGATAACACATGTCTTGTACATGTAATTTTAAAGAAGTTACAAGGCTACTTTTGTCATAGTACTATAGTATTAATTATGAGCAGCACTGCCATTCTAGTGTTATCGTTTTATTTCGTGCAGTAATAAAAGAAAATCGTGTATTCAGAAACGTTTCAGTGTTACACTTTAAAGCCTGTGGCTATCGCGTCCGGTTGTGTAGTCGCGTACAGTACGACCTGTCGTGAGACGAAAACGGAAGATCCTGCGACCTTTCGTAGATTTGCCGTAGGGTTTTCACACAGTGTCAAGTAAATTGGACCAGACAATTTTGTAGATGAGAGGGGTTTATGTCACAAACATTACCCCGACATTTCGCGAATACAGGGGCATGTTTTCACAAAAGGGGTCGGGTGACGCGACCACCCGACCCGACACGATGATTCGAAGTAAGCCAAGCCCGCTATGATTCATGAACACGAAGAATGAATGCAGTTAATATTTGGACCAATATATCATGAAGTTCATAATCATGATCAAATCTTTGCATCCTTTGCAAATAAACTGTTTGTATCATTGTTTTGACTTAGTTGTGTTATTGCGTTTGTAAAGGGAGAATTATAAATGTTCTATTGTGTACAATATCATGTTAGAAGTCAGATGAGATTCATGGACGAAGCAGTTTCTGTAGAAGAATTCTAATATTTTTCTGAAGAATGCGTTTTGTAAATTAAATTCTCGTATTGTGTATTTTCGTATTTGCTATTTTCATAGTTTGCATTTCGACAATGTAAAAAGGAACACGATAACAAACTTGAGTTGTTACTTGGTATTATACAACCTTATTAGAGCGTTACTTTAGACTGAATATCATTCATGTTAATTTTGTTTGATTATTGATAATCAATACAAGTTTGAAATCAGATCATTGCAAAAAGAGTGTTCACGGCTAATCAGTTAACATTCGAAATCAAAGAAACATTGTTCATGTCTCAAACGCACGTATATGCTGTCATCATCTTTCACGAGCATCTTGCCTGAGTATAAAAGTTAAATATGAAAATGAATTTGTATTGTTAGCGACAGTTGTATACATAGTGGAAGACGCGATACATGAACTCTTCACCCTACGTTTTTCACTTAGTTCATCACGCAACGCGCGATGAAGAATAGTAAAATCAACGATTTTGGTTGAGTATTCTCTCCGTTTCGATTTGTTCTATTTGTTATTGACATAATTTTTCCAACCTGTCATCAGAGTGACAAATTCAATTATTATAGTAGCTTTGTATGTTTTTGAAATATACGATATGGCACATACGACAGTACTTTGTTAGTTGTTTGTATAAAGAGTATAATGTTTAATATTTGCGTCGATATCTTGCATTTCAGGTTAGGATTTATGATCAGATAAGGTGTAATAAGTCGCCATTTCGTGTGCTCTAAAATCAGAAAAAGAGATGGAGAGATGACAAGATGGGGAAAAGAGTTACAGTCTTGTTTTAACGTAAGGCGATATGATCGGCATAATTCATTTATCAACATAATGACTATGTTAAATGTATAATAAATTACATTTCAACCAGCAGAAGCAAATGAAAAATCATTATTTCAATTGAAACTCAAAAACTGGAATGAAATTTTAAACGGATAGATTTGCTTTAATACAACAATTTCATATGCCGTATTGCCCAAGACAAATGAGAACTGTTACGTGTCGAGTTTTCTAATACAATTTGAAATATCTTTTACACGCCACTCCTGTAAATTTATGATGAAGAAAAAGAGACATTTCATTTATATAAGTGTTTGCTATCAATAAACTGAATTTAAAGAAAGTCTTCTCGTGTACTTTGAATCTTTGGTGAAACATTAAATTATTTTAAATATCGTTTACACGTCACTCCTGTAAATTTCTGACGTGGAAAAGGAGAATTTTCATTAAGGTATGTATTTCCCATCAATCAACTGAATTTAAAGAAAGGCTTCTCGTGTACTTTGAATTTCTGGTGAAACATTTAATTGAATATCGTATTTTTATTCACCTTTTTAATTTATTCATTTATGCACCTAACTTTTAATATTCTTTTTGTGGAAACGTTATTTGCATTAATTTAAATCAGGACAGTTATTGAAGAGGGAAGGTGGAATTGATAAAATAATACCCCTGATATTTTCAGCTATTCATATTTTTGTATCGGGATCAAAATTTCAACTCTATTTCTACGACATAGTTATCATCAATACAGTTGCACAAGTTTTCATGATGGAAATATATAATATACTTTATATAAATGAAAGACTTTAATAGTTTTTTCGATCTGTATTAACGTGTTTCAAAGTTAACAGAGCGGAAGTTGAATCACCTTTTCTCGTTGGACCAAAAAAAAAAAAAAAAGCATTTCAGAAACCCTCAGTTCTAACAATTTAATAGATATTTTGCGAATTGTTCCGGTGAAAAGGTCCATTAGTTCTGTATTGCTAAACCCTGCTTTGATCATTCATGGATGTAGGCCAGCTTTCCGTTAAAAACACGTTACATTGTTAAAGCGGTATCGCACAGGCTTAGTAAAGCAGAAAAAGAAGCGAAAATATGGTGTTATGATTTTATTTTCGCGCGAACAATTGAATAAAGGGACTGTGATATTGAAATCCCATCCGGCATGATTTCTTAGAATCAAATACTTCGTCGTCGTAGCAAGGTAGGAATACTTGAACTACTCAGCCTTCAATGCACAAAAGCATCGTAATCAAGTCCTGAGATATTTGACGCTACAGCGTGAAATACTAAAAGGATCAGGGCTGGCGTGGGTGATATTTCAAAGAGAGGTTGTAAAACATGGTTTCCTTGTACACAATGCACTTCATCTTATCTGACATGCCATATCAAACTGCAAAAGTGATTTCTAATATAAGTTCGGTAACAAAGACTTATTGAAAATATATCACTTTCTGTTTTTTCCGGAGAAAAATTGAATGTTCTTTTGCTTATGTCGTTGAAGGCTCTTTCTCTTTTGGGTTGCTTTTAATCACAAGTTAACAGTATGAATCGTTTTGACTCTACAGTGATTTTTCGTAAAAATTAATGACAACGACAATAACAATCTTGATGATTTGTTTTCTTGTTTACACATTCTATTACAGATTGAGTGAAAGTAGAAGAAGAAGAAGTAGAAGAAAAAGAAGAAGGAGAAGAAGAAGAAGAAGAAGAAGAAGAAGAAGAAGAAACTGTCAGAGTAGGAGGAGTGTATATGAGTATAAAAGAGGATGTTGAACTAGAAGTAGATTGTAAATCTGGTGAGATCACTGTTCATATTTGCATCATATATACGATTTTAAAAAAGGAAGAAAGAAGTAAAACAGCAGTAGGGGTAGGACATAGTCGTGTCATCATATATCAGTCATAGGAGAGTCTAAACAATACAAATCAAAGTCTCAAAATCATTCATAAATAGAGATACTGCAATTCTAATATTTTATTGCAATTCAGCATCAAGAAAAATGTGCCAAAATACAGATATGTTTTAAATCTATCTAAATCTATACTACACACATTACATAAACTCTACTAATTTCTATTGCAAACAAACTAACAAAATAGGATAAAGGTTAAACAAAACCAAAAAACTAAAATGACAAAATGCTTAAAACTTAGAATGGAAAATATTTCAGTTAAGTATATGTTTCAGTTTGAGCTTATAACTATTATGTTAATAAAACCTTTACCCTGTTAATAAAAAAAGAAATTACAATTACACTATCATAATTTGCCCAAACAATGATTGAATATAGCAAATCAACTTTCTTGCTCACTAGATTGTTCAAATATTACAAGAATTGTTAAGATGTTACATAATTAATTACATTGCTTCATTAATTTTCCATTACTCAAGGTATAAACAATAAAGATGAACCTTATGAATCTTATGAAATTAATGAGAGCTGCAAATTCAACAACTATCATTATGTAATAGTGGATGAGACAACAATCTTTAATACAATACAATCACTA